ACTTGGTATAATAGTTGGATGCCTTTCACTCCACATTACGGATTCACGATAATAGATTTCGTCCTATTTATCGGTGCAAGTAAATATCAAAAAGTCTTGAGTTTTGTTCGGGAGAGTTAGGTACCCGATTACTAAATCAAGTTTAAATATTATTAGATGTCAAGTTTCCTATCAATCTACCAAGATGTTTAAGTGAATGTGAGGTAGAGAGAGAAACACTTTATTTTCATATAAAATATAAAAGCTTGCTGTCCAATTAATCATATTGGGTTGCTAGACACACAGCATACTAGTTAATCCATAGGACAATAAATAAAACCTATATATAAATATACAGAAGTGGTTAGTATATATGAGTATAATAAATATATATATATATATATATATATATATATATATATATATATATAATGAGTATAATAAATAATATATATATATATAATATATATATAATAATATATATATAATGAGTATAATAAATAATATATATATATATATATATATATATATATATATATATATATATATATATATATATATATATTATTTCTTTCCTTTTTCATGGTTTGTTTTTTTTGCATTTAATTTCCCTTTCTCTTCCTGCTCTCTCTTTCTACATCTCTCTTATATACAGTATTAAAATGCTTAAAATTAATCAATTGAACAATAACAAAAAACATAAGTGTATAAACATTTAGAATTAAATACAATTTAATATAAAACAAACAATACACATTTTACATCAATAAATAAATACATAAATTAAAACTCTCAGCCTAGCCATGCACGTGATGGCGAATGATTTCCAGGGAACTGAGGACTAAATTTTCAGTCAACTTCGCTAAATCCTTAATGTCAACAACTAGTTCCTCGAGGAAGCTCCTTGTTCTTTTTGGAATCGTTATGCGAGACCCAAACCAGAAGCCTCTCACGGTGAATTCTCTCTCTCCGAAGGTCTTTTTAATTCAAATAGTTTTTTACTTTAACATCTTTATAATTTAAATATTAACAATTTATTTTCATAACATATCGTCGCACCATGTTAAAATAACGAATCTTAGCCTGTCCTACATTGCACATTCGTTACTTTAAAACGGTGACGATGATATCATCACGTGATATCATTTCCACCGATGCCCATAAGAGGGTTTCAAGGCTCAAGTTGCACCATGGCTGCATGGTGTATGGTGGACTCTCGGGAGAACTCGAAGCTAAACTTAAACGTCTAATGAATTGATCAATCCGCTTTATCTTCGGAATCTAAGGGATACGCATATTACCCAGTTTTACACGGAGTTGAAGTGGCTTTATCCGTCCTACCACCGTCAATATTTCTTTGCTACCTTTCTATACCAGGCCATTAGAACACGGCGACCCTCCTATATTCTACAATTCAAATGCTGCTTTCAATCCCGTCCCACAAGATCCCGTGCGTCCGACCTCTATCTTCCTCCTTACCGAACTGCTGCGTTTGATAAATCCTTTTTAATTCAGGTTGTCTCCCTCTGGAACTCTATACCTTCAAATATTTGACACGCCAAATCAATATCCTCTTTCAAATCTCTCCTCTTCAAACACCTACTCCATTCCCCAATCCAATTGATCACGAAATGCACTTAAACACCTAAGCTGTATGAATCTCAAAGTACACCCAGATACTTTGATTATTTTGTGATTCATTGATATTTTGTTTACTTAATTTACTTTCTCTGTTTATTTTATAGTTATAAAAGTTTTTATATCTCTTTATTGTAATCCTAACCATCTTGTAAATATTAAATAGTATTTTATGGACACATCAGAATATTAATAAATATTCTCTATTTGTAACTTGTTCTGAAGGGACACTAGTCCCAGAATAATCAAATTATTTTCATTCATTCATCACAAATTTTGAGAGAGGCACATTTTGATAGGATTTTGAACTTTTGAGGGGGACATATTTCGACGGAGTTATGAATTTTTGGATTAAAAAGTTTCAAACAAGGAGACAAAGGAAATATATGGAACAAACCTTAGGAAGTGTAAATTAATATGATTTACGGCACTTTAATTTCTAATGTTTTAAGAAGAGGTGAGCAATAAAATATCTTGAGCAGGGGAGAGAGGAGATTCATGGGCCAAGATTCATATCTTGGGAGTGTGGGGATGGGTACCCCTGATCATTTCAAATCAATTAATAATCAAGATAATTAAACTATAACAAGAATGTTTTTCCGTATTTTTTGCTTAAATTGTTTCAAAACATTGAGGAGATCTTACTGAGTAATTACAGCCATCAAAGTTAAAAATTGGTCCAAACATTTCAGCGGATTGATTAAACACACTTTACACAGTAATTTGCCAGAATTTAAATAAATTAAATACATTTTATTTAATAACGGGCCAGTACTTTAAGCTCAAATTATTTCAAAACATTTAGGGGATGTCACCGATTAATTTGAGCCATCAAACTTGAAAATCGATGCAGCCATTCTCTCTAAAAAGCTTTACATAGCTTTTAATGGATGACCCAAATATGTAACCATCGTTTCGCTTCGCTTAGTTGGGTCAAAAGTTAAAAAAATCATTGATTTATCAGTGTGTACAACCTCAAATAAAAATAAGTTTTTCACAATCGGAATAGTATTCCATGGAAAATATGATAGCAATATCATCTGAAAATTGAAGGGTGATTGAATCATAAAATCCTAGGATATGTTGATATATCCAGATGGCTACCAGACAGTTAAAGTAAAATTTTCTGGCTGTTCCCTATTTAATGATAGTTTTCTCTGACCAATGTGAGATACAAATATTAAAAATTTATAATTATAACTAAATTTATTTATTATAAATGAAAGAAAATTGTTACAAAATGATTTGAGTAAAATAAAATCAGTCCTTTTTCTTTTAAATTTTCTCTATTATAAAATAAAGCAAGCTATGGAGCATTCTAATATTAATGTAATTTTTCATAAGTAATTTAGTTTCTTGATTACTATTGACAGCATAATAATTATCCATATGACATCAACTGTGACATTTCTGGTTAATAAATGCTCTTTTAAGGAGCACCATGGTTGGAATGAATGAGTGCTTGCCAGCCAGATCTTGACCCAGATGTATATATTACAAATAGTAAACAGTATTGGTGTTTTTCTTATCAAAAAAGCACTGTTTTAATTCCATTTTGCTTAAATTTTATTCAGGGAGTAGGGTGGCTCAGTGATAGCTCACTAAGCTTCCAATGCTGAAGGTCCGATTCGAATTCCAGCTCATGACAGAAAAATTATTTTTTCTGTTTCATCAGCTAGACATTCAGTACCTGGAGTAGGGAGACCCTCCTGGGGCACACCCAGTCTCTACTATTAATTGAGGGGGAAAACCGGACGATTGAGCATGATCCTGGCCCGATCCTCTCCTTGCACAATTGTCCTTGAAACAGTACTTTCCCTAAATAGTACTGAACCCAAGGCCCTTCAAGGGTAGTAGTGGTACAGGTTCTTTAATTTTATTCATTACCCTTGTTTGATTTAAATATAACTACCAGTGCCATTATTAAAAGTCAAAGGTGGATGAATATAGCGACTGTGGTCGTTGATAACGACAAAATTTACCATTTAAAAGTCATTATAAATGAATATCAACTGTATTTTTCTTTCCAATTAAAAAAATATTTATGTACTAAAAAAAATTCCATGACTGACAATTTTTTCCCTGACTTTTCCCTTATTTAAAAATTCCCTGACTTCCTATTTTCCAGATCGGTCGCCACCCTGTATGCATTATCACCTTTGAAGATATAAGTCAATTTAACATAAAAGTAACATTCTCCTTCCTTTCAAAGGTATTGAAATCCTGAAAAATCTCAAATTAATGATGTGCAATGCAATGATAAAGCCAGTTCTAATATATGGCTGTGAGACCTGGACAGTAAACAGCACCCTGGAAAAAAATGTTGAAAGATTTGAAAGAAAAATCCTCAGCACGATAACCGGAGCAATCTTGGATCAGAGTACTAACACATGGGGAAGAAAGACCAATAAAGTACTGCTTACAGAAACTGGTCAATCAATATTCCATGATATGAAGGCAGGAAGGTTAAGATGGGCAGGGCATGTAGCTCGTAGCAGTCCGTCTGGAAGCCTCTACATAACAATAAATGCCTCAATAGACCACGTGGAAGACCAGAAAGCAGATGGATAGATAGAATCAACAAAAATGCAATAGAGCTGCATGCAGATAAATGGAAAGAAATAGCCCAAAACAGGCAGAGATGGAGTGGGCGAAAGATCTACATGGCAATTAGAAAAAAAAACAATTTAGGTATCAATAAAATAGTTACATGTCTACTTCTAGGCCCTAGCCTAGCCAACAAGTCACCTTTTCTTAATCGGTTTTAGTTTACATTTTATTCATTCATGTTGCTTATTGATTATTGATCTTAACTTTTTTTGTCTAAAATTATTGGGAGGGGGGAAGAAGAAACAATATTATTGCCTTCTCTCCTCTCCCCCGCAACATTTTTATTGGGGAAAGGGCGATCGCCCCCCTCGCAATCTAAAGCAAGTACCCTTAATTAATTAATCATATGAAAAAATGATGGCTGTCTACTGCTCAGAGATAAATGGCAGAAAGGTTAGTTTGTGGCTGTGAGCAGTAAAAAAAGATCCTCCCTCCAACACCCTATCTTGGGCGACCTCTCTCCCTTCCTCCATCTCTTTTCCATTATGTAAATTTTTATTTCACTGCAGCATTTCCGAGAGATTATTGAAGTTATAAAACTGATCACAAATGGTGAAACATGGAAATTTAACTAAAACGTTGCCAAAATTTGGAAGGCTGCTTCTCAATGACTACTTAGGTCTACACAGATTAATTAGGTCTCACTTTATTCTTATTTAAAAATCAAATCAAGTTCAATTTAAATATTATTTGTTCACCTTTTTTAAGTAGAAAATAACTTATATGATCATTGTAAAGTTATGAAAGGAAGGAATGGAAGAAATAAGAGTAAATAATCAATAAAATCACTTTTATTAGTATATCCTTTATACATTGATTACTCATAATTGATTTGATTTTGAATATCACATTTGATCAGAAACTTAAAAAAAATGGATGAACTAACAAAAAATTAATGAAACATTAGTCAACTAATAATTCATTAAGTTAAAGAAATTAAAATTTAAACCAATGATTAAGAAATTATTAAATCTTGTTTAAAATAATCATTATTTCCCATTGTGTGATATATATACCAAGTTAATTGGTATTTTTTGTTTTGGCTTTTTTACAAATATTTACAATACTTAGTCCAATTCATATTCTAAGGAACAACATGTACTTATGTAAAAATAAAAAATCTACTGCTTTTCTTTCAGTTACAGATCACAAATAAGAAGTACAGATTTACAATTAAAAACTTATTTATACATGCCAATAAATTTTTTTTAAAAGAAGAAAACCTTTGAGAAAATATTAGTGCCATATTAAAAACTAAATAAAGTCACTAGCTATTAAGTTTTTCAACTTCATCATAGTCATCTGTATCTAGAAGTGATATAGTCCTTCCTGAAAAAAAAAAAAAAAAATTATATTTATAAGGTTTTTATTACATATCATCGATATAATAAATAGGGTTGTTTAATTTTAAAGGCCTTAATGAGTCGTTATGGGTTAGCTATAAGGATTAAGGTGTAGCTCGGTTAAAAATGCACTTCAAAATTTTTTCAATAGCCCAACATTGCCAGAAAATAGTTTCTATTCAAAGTAGAGTGGTAAGTGAAAGTTGTGTAATGCACGCAACAGATTTTTTTTCATAATTTGTGATATCTCCACCAAGGATTTCTTTGGTGATCCTTTCCATCTAGTTACCCTCTGATGTCAAACAAAAAATTTAGTCATTTTTTTTTTTTTTTTCATTTATTCACAGGCTATTTTCATGCTGTGACCTCTAGGTTCATAGGGGGAGGGCTTTCTGGCAGAAACCCTTTTTCACTAACTTTTGTAAGGGATCGACTTATATTTTTTTAACTTTTGTCAAAACGATTTTCTGGCATTAGAGTACTCTCAATTTACAATAATAAACATTTACCAAAAAACTTATATGAAATAACACAACCACCAAAATGGTATAAAATTTTGGACGATTTACTGGTTAGTATTTTCCATAAAATATTTCAAAGAAATAAATTCGAACCTGTCCTCAAAATAGTATGAGGAAATTCATTAAATATAATTTATGGTGGTCTCAAATACAGGAGTATACTTCATTAAACTTAGCAGTTTTCTCAGCACGATAATGGATCATAAATAATATTATATTGAGGGGATGAATACCTAAATAAAATAAATCTCTTCTTATTTTTTCTTTGGTTGCCAAGTCTCTTGTTTTATTAGTATAATATAACGTCCTTAAAATTACAGAGAATCTTTTTTTTTCCAATTATTTACCAATAATAAAATGAGCGATAGCTCCCAAAGTTGTATAATTATAGAAAAGAAACAAACAAATTTGATATATTCAAAAAATGAGCACAGGAAAAAAAATATATATATATTTTTTTTTTTGAGGAATCACTGAAAATTCCAGATCAGAAATTTCTCAAATTATTCCCAGTTTTCAGGAAATTCCCATACACAACTTTAACGGACACCCTGATTAAGTAAGGTCCCCCTGGAATTTCAAGTATATAGATCCATTCAACTAGCCCCTGTTTCTGTCTCTCCGTGGATCGATCAAGAGACCTGGAGATTAGGGGCGAAAAGATTGGGAGCTTCAGGGCTCTACTATAATTACATTTTTTGGCCTATGTGAACGGTCCATGTGGATACTTGAAGAGATGTTAAAACATTAATATTTTACGAAGCATAATTAAAATATTTGAAGAAACAACAAATTTTTTTTTTTACATACATTTTGGCAAATTGATATCTCCAAAACAATTCAAGATACCAAAATAAAAATTTTCAAAATAAATAGAAATTGTAAATAGAACAAGGAAATAAATAATTTAGAAAGTTAGAAAAATCTGAGGCCATGGATTTCATTTTAATTTTAGTCTGGATTATTTGAAATGGAATGACACCCCTCCCCTCATCGACACTGCAAGAATTGTTGCTAGATCACTTTAAGACTGTTTTTTCTTTACTTTCTCAGAACATATTTAATTAAGAACAACTAAATTATGTAAAGATCTTAGTAATTAATTATTTAAAAAAGTAGAGTGAGAAATCAGTAAAAGACAATGAAACATACCAAAATGATCTTGGATTTGCTTCAGCGTGCTGTCTGCCTCTTTTTTACTCACTAAGTTGATGGCAAGACCTCTTTTACCAAATCGACCAGTCCTTCCAATTCTGTGAAGGTAAGTTTCACAGTCTGCCCTTCCTTTATCTGCTACTGGGATATCAAAATTAACAACTATTGTCACTTGTTCCACATCAATACCTAAAATAAAACAATATTTAAACAAAATAATGTAGGTAAAAAATTTTCAAATTAAATATTAAATTTAAAATTGGTTCATAAGATATTCCTTTATTTATAAATCTATTGATGCATTATTTAATTATAACAGAAAGCTAGAAATTCATAAAAACAGAAACTGAAAGAATTAGACAGAAAGTAGAAACAGAGTAGCTAAACCTATTCTACATTATAATAGGCCATTGAACTAAATTTTAAATACATAAGTGAAGTTTATGAATTAAAGTCTTAAAACTACAAGAGCACCTTATTAATTAACACTAGAAAAGTCGCAACGGATCTGAGAGTTCCGTTGAGCGGTCTTCTTGATGTGGTTATATACCTGTTGGGAGTAGTGAACCAGGTATTCTCTGGCTCTTGTAGTCATACAGTTTAATATTGGAGTGACCTGTGTTACATTAAATTTTTATAGTAAAACTTAGGTTGGAGATATGTGAGATCTCTAGCGACCTAATATGTAAGTACTTTCTATTTGTCGTATCTCATTTTTGTTTTCTTTTAAATTTATATACTGTTTTTGTGCTATCATTTTTAATGTCACTTTATGTAGTATTTTTTTTTCTCGACATTTTTCTTTCTTTTTTTTTCTCTTAGTTTCTCCTAACGTTCAATCCAAATTAACTTCTTTGACTGGTTGATTTCTATACTATGTATCGTACAGATGAAATGGCGTAAAAATAAAACATTCTACTTAATTAACCCTGAGGATGGTTCCTAATGTTGTTATAAATTATCTTGATTTTTGTACTAATTATTTCTCAATCTAATTTAATTCTTATATAATTGTTCCCAGTGTTCAGTAATTTTGTGTGTTGTATTTAATGGTATACAGATTTAAATGTTCAAGTTTCTAATTTCTTCAATGTATTTTTTGTATTAAATTTTAATAAATTTTTTTAAATTATGTAACCGAGTTTATCATTCAATAAATATATAAAACTCATCTTATATTTTATTCTCCAATGTAAAATTTGTTGGTATTTTTGATCAATGAATTGATTTAGTGAAGCGGATCTGACAGAATCGTAGCGACCTTCCATGTGACTCTTAGACTAGAGACCTTCGGAGTGTTAAGATGGTAATGACAGTGAACATATGACATTCCTACACTGATAACAAATTATATGTGTGAAAACTTAATGCAAAGCTTTATATGTTATAATTTCTATTATAATATTCTATTTAGTTTCAACTAAAACATAAATGTTAAAGTTTGTGAGAGTTTCATTTTATTTTCATGAAATAAACAAATCCAATGTATACAAAGTATGTTTTTATTTATTGAAGTGATAACTTCTTTAGGTGTGTTTTCATTTTTTTGTGGAGAGTGAATTAGATTGATTCGTCAGATTTCCGAAATGTTAACGCTTGGGTAAAGTCCGCAAATTGAAATGTTTCTAATTGTGGGTTTATGGTTGACTGTAGTGAATAATTGAAGAGGATGGTTGAGGTGATCAGTCAAATTAAATTGGCAAAAAATAAATAATTTTATTTATTTTTACATTCACCAAAGTTTCGGCCCGAAGTTATGGCCTTCATCAGGGCTGCTGTATAAGAAGTAAAGTCAGACAGAGTTTTTAAAAATGTTTTTACTTATGGATTAAAATATCTTATGAACTAAAAATCGGGCCTGCATACTGTAAGCGAGGAAATTATTAAGTATTTCATTCTCTCGGTAATGGGCTATAATTCAAAATTGTATCTTAACGTGACACCGTGTTAGGGAGGCGAAAAGGAAAAAATAGTATCGAAAACACAATGATAAAGAGTTTAGTTTTAAACATATGGATTAAAATATTTCAGATCCTAAAAATCGGACCTGAATACTGTAAGAGAGGGAATTGTTTAACATTTCATCTTTTTTGTAATGAGCTATTATTTGAAATTGTATTTTGACGTGACACCGAGTTAGAGAGGAAATAATATAGTGTCAAAAACCAAATAACGAGTTTTTTTGAACAATTGGATTAAAATATTTTCAAAATTTAAATATTGTAAATGTTATTACTTAGTGAATATAGAACAAAAAAAATTATATTTCATATTCTTAATCATGCCTTGTTCATTTTTTCACTTCTATGGTAGCTATTCATAAATCTTTTAGCTATCAATTAAATTTAAAGATTTTAAAATGTTTCTATGTTCCTGTTTAAAATTATTTTTAATGTAATATTGCCAATACCGTGATAAAGAATAGGAGAGGGAAAAAATATCTCACAAACTAACGATCGGACTTGCATACTGTAAGCAAGGGAAATGTTCAGCATTTCATTCTCTTTATAATGAGCTATTATTAATACTTTATATTTTATATTATTAATCTCGCATTGTTGATGTTTTCACTCTTATCGTGTGGCCTAAAGCACAGACTTTTTTTTTTTGTTCTATCCAATAATACAACATATATTTACACAACTTAAAAATTGGCCCTATTACAATACTTTATTTTTCTACCAACACAAGTAAATAACAACGACTTCATTACAGAATTAATGAAATTCAAAAATCAAAACACCATTAAAAGTTTTCAAAAAATAAAAATATATATGCACTGTAAACATGAGTTCTTTATTTTTAAGCCTGAGAATATATTTTAATTCTCGAAAATTGTCTGGTTCATCACAATAAAAAAAGAAATAACAGCTTAAAAAATAATAAAAAAGTTCTGAAATAAATGAAGTTTTAAAGAATAACATGAACAAGTTGTGTAATTGATTAAAAAATACAATGAACAAGCAGATAAAACCAGGCAATGTTCTGTGATTAAAATATACACTTCCTTATTCTAGTTTAGAATGGTTTGCTAATTTTTACTACCAATACAGTTTGCTATAAAATAGGAAATGTAATTTCATAGATTGTATATTATGTTTAATTTCAGTCAAAAACAATAGATGGATAATAAGCAATTAACTAATTATATATATTTTAAAATGGAAAAATAATTCTGAAGTGTTAAAATAAATTAAGTATTTGGAAGCTTCAAAGTTATATCTAAAAATTTCAAATCATCATAAAAATAAAATTATAACAATATCGTTCAATAGCAAACCAGAAGACAACACTTAATAGATCATTAGGTTTTCTTATTTACAAATAAAAAGCTGCATTTTAGAAAAAAATTGAAGTACATACATGAAATTTCCTGATATACACAGTCTACCCTAACCACCAGGTGGCCAACTAAATTCATCCAAAATGTCGTTTTTTATTGTTGAAACTACTATAATAAAAAGCAGTTAAATAAATGTCCATAACTAACCTCTAGCCAAGACATTAGTGGTGATCAATACTTTTTCCTTTCCTTCCCTGAATCGATCAAGAACTTTCATCCTATTTTCTACGCTTAGGTCTCCAGAAAGTAATGCGACAGCATGTCCGTCTTTAGACATTTTTTCACAAAGCCATGCAGCGGTACGCCTTGTCTAAAAGAAAATATACTTTAAAAAAAATTTGTCAAAGTGATGAAACAGATTTATTATCATATAAACAGGTTAAAATACTGGAATAAGTTTAAATTGAATACAAAACGCTTATTACATGGCTTAGAAATAAGTTAAGAAGTAAAAGAACATTCTACAAAATAAGTCCAGTCACCAATCCAAGAAATAATTATGGCACAGAATGATGACCATCATCAATCATGGATCAATGGCAAAAAAATGTATTATATTGATGCAAAGATTCAATGAAAACTGCAGATAGAAAACTTTATTTTATATTCAGGGCAGTGGAGGGAAACAAAGGGCCTCAGGGACAAATTTTTGTAGCCACACATCAAATATTAAAATAAATACTGAAACCAAACTGAAATAGTTAGGCAATATCAATAATAGTTTTATTTTAAAAAAAATGCAAAAGGTAAAATATAAAATCTGGTAGACTAGACCCCATAGTAGAAAAAAAAATTGTTTTTATTTTTTTAATCATCATAATTTTTTTATGTGGTATGCTGCAAATAGATGAGTTTTCAATTCAAATGTTTTACAATTCCTATATTAAATATATGAACATATAAAAATCTAACAAGAGTTTATAGATATAAAATTCAATATTAATTATTATTACTATATACATAATAATAATAATTATTTAAAAATAATAATTCATTTATAGATATAATTTAATTTACTACTAACATTGTATTTAACTCATTTTATAACTAGTTATAGCCCTTGTCGCTTTTAATTATAATTCAATTTTAATTTGAAAATGTTTTAATACAAGAAAAATATATCAAATTAATGCAATCATTGCACTTGGTGTTTTCATCTTTTCTGTAGAAATATTTTTCATTAGTTTTAGAAATAATAAACATGTCTGCTACTGTACTATATATATATTTTTTTATTGATATTATTTACATTTTCATTTTAAATTTATAAACAGTTAGCTACCTGCAATTTACAATGAACAAAAAACACGATGCCGGCCACTTAAGACACAACCTATAAATATACCCGCTGCTGAAAAAAGGTTGGGAACTCCTGCACTAAAACATTGATGATCAAAAGTACTCTCTGTACTAATTTTTAAATATTTAATATTACAATTGATATACACTAGGCAAAACAGGTGAAAAAAATAGCAGTGATAAAAATTGGGCAAGAGAAATAGGTGAATAATTCACTCATAGAGCTAAAACTTAGTGAATGATTAACAGTACTCAATAAAATAAACTGAATTTCTTATTGACTGAATGAATGAAGCCATAATTTATTTTTTAAAAAGTACATCTCCAACTAGAGATCATTGGTTCTTTTTTTTTTTTTCCGATGAGTGGCTACCTCTAACCAGAATAGTCAAATAGATAGGATTAAATGATGGATGAAATGGTCGGGCGTAAAGTGGTGGAAGCACTATACATTCGACGGGGATGAGTGGAAGAAGACAATACCAAAGGCCATGGTCTTCAAAAATTGCAGAGCCCAGCAATAAATTAAAGATAAATGGATCAAATAGATTCACATGGAGAAATGAGAATGTTTAATGAAGAAAAATCACCGAGATGATTACCTCTTACGCTTGTAAATGTTCTATATTTTATATGAAAATAAAGTTTTTCTCTCTACTATATTAGGAAATAAAAATTTAATTTACCTGACAGAAAATCATAGCTTGTCCAACAGTGATTCCACCATATATGTTAGCTATTGCATTGTACTTATCATCCTCAGACTCACATAAAACATAGTGCTGTTTTATGTTATCGAGTGATTCCTCCTCTCTCTTAAGTCTTATAATTGTGGGATTAGGAACAATTGCTTGAGCAAACTCCATAACTTCATCATCATAAGTGGCAGAGAAGAGCATAATCTGGCAATTTTCTTCAACCAATGCTCTAATAACAACATAGAAATATTATTTTAATAATCATGTAGAGATGGTTGACCGTTGATATAATATGAGAAGGAGTTAGTCGAGGGTGCGGTCAAATAAATAAAAAGATTAAAATATATAAATTATTTTAATTTTTGCCGACGTTTCGACCCACTTTGCAGGTCGTCTTCAGGGCGTAGGATGTGACACTGCAGGAGGCAGTTGAAACACTGGCCGTTGTACAATAGCCAGTGTTTCAACTGCCTCCCGCAGTGCCACATCCTACGCCCTGAAGACGACCTGCAAAGTGGATCGAAACGTCGGCAAAAATTAAAATAATTTATATATTTTAATTTTTTTATTTATTTGACCGCACCCTCGAACTAACTTCTTCTCATATTTTAATAATCAATAGAAAATTATTTCATTAATAATAATTAATGAACTTATAATTAAATAATAGGTTAATTAATAATTAAGTTATATGTTGTTGTTGGGCTGCTAAGCTCAAGGTCCTGGATTCGAATCTGGCTGATGTCAAATAATTTTCCATCAGCCATGGATCAACCCTGAGATCAGGAGACCCTCCTAGGGCACACCCAGTCAATATGAAATTGGTAATATTATTAAATAATTAATTAAGGGGAAAAACCAGTATGATCCTGGCCTGATCACCTCTCTGTACTACCGTTAGCCTTGAAACAGTACTTCCAAACAAAGTATTGAACACAATACCCTTCATGGGTTGTAGTAGTACAGTTTTTTTTTTTTTTTTGTAATCATGTGATGAATATAAATTGTAAACAAACTTGCAAAATAATATTCAATTTTAATAATAATTAATAATTTAATTTAAAAAAAAAATAAACCTATCCAACCTAAGAGGGATGAGTTAGCATTTAGTCAAATCATTGCAAAAAGTTATTAAGTAACATTTTAGAAAATTATATCAATAAGTACTTCGATGAATTTTCCCTCCCTGAAATAAAAGAATTGCACTGTTAATCTAACTATTTTTGACATATAATAGGCTTTGTCTTATTTTGTTGCACTAAATGAATTATAGAATCGATAAATATGATTGATATTTACAAATATGTACTTAAAAGTTTAACTCTAATGAAAATATACTTAGTGAATTATTACAATAAACCGATAATAGCAACACATTAGTAGAATATTAGTGAAATTAATGTCTAAAAATATTTAAACATGGTGTCGTAACTACATATTACAGCTCGGGGGCTTGGACCCCTCCCCATAGGTAATGACGATTTGATTGTTTAAATTTTGTTTTTGTTTTTTTATCTCAAGAATCAATCAATTGGAAAAAAAAGGTTTAAGATAAAGTAAGATCCAACAATAAAAAAAAAAATTGTTTAACACAAGAAATTATTGCTGCTTTCTGTTAGAATAGTCCATATAAACTAGTTTTAAAAGATAGAAGTCAATATACTTTCAAATCAAAACAAACATGCACATGCTGTTTATCTAATATATAATAAAACTGTTACCTCCTGATTCTGAAACTTTGGTCTTGATGACCTTGTGTGGCAATCATAACATCGGCTTCGTCCAAAACAAAAACAATAATCTTTGATAAATCAAAGAATTTATACTTCAGAGACCAGTCAAGCACTTTTCCTGGTGTTCCAATGATTATATGCTCTTTCAATTTAGTTCCTCTGGGCACTAGTTTAAAAATAAACATTAATAAGTTTAAAACTGAAAATATTCATATCTTTATATATTTTAAATATATATATATATATATAACAGGTGGCCTTGAAACAGTACTGAACGAATCCTTGACACTTCATGGGTTGTAGTGGTTTTTTAAAAATTATATAATAGATAATTAATAATAGTGGAAAACCTGTGGCCTCAGTGGAATTTTATGGGACATTCATAAAGGCCACCACTAGAATTAATTAATATTTAATTTTATATATTATATCATTAAAATCAAAGTTTGCATATATACGCTTAATCAAATAAATAGTGAAATCTAAATAAATCTATTATCAAAGACTAATCTATATTTGGTCTCACTACCTAACCACTATATAAAAATGTTCTCAATCTATGATCTATTCTCTACTCTATATTGAATTGGAAAATTATATTTGATATAGTAAAAAAAAATAATTTTCTACAATAGTCATATTTTTTTATGTTTGTGTCATTTTAATGTTTACTATCTAGTTTTGTTTTGGCTGAGAGGCACCAAAAAAAAATATACGTTTTTATTACATTCCTTTCATTGTGATGTGAATCTTAGCAGTGTATACTTGAATAAATTGTTAGAACACGCTATAAATAAATTTTTAAAAACCCTAAGATATTTACAAAGTATTTTGATGGCATCCAGGCAATTATGGATAGAAATGAAATAAATTTTTTTTTACATATATTGAATTCATTATCTGATTAACTCAAATTTATAAACAAAATAATAAAATTAGATTCTTGAATATTAATATAAATAAAAATGAAATAGGTATATTAAAAGTGCCCTGAAGTAAAAAATAAATAGAATACTAAACAGGCATAGCAATCACAGTCCACAACAAAAAATCAATACGGCTAAAAATTTAATTGAAAAAGCAAAGTTAACAACTGATGAAATACATATTAAAAGAAGTAAAATTGCAAACATACAAAATTATCCTTCAAAATTGGTATCCTATAAGATATAAATAAATTATGAAAAAAACAAAAAGGAGTTAAAAAATTATAATAATAAAAATACGACAACAAAAACAATTATATTTTCAGTAACACATATTAAAGATTTAACCAATAAAATAGACAATACGTTTAAAAAGTACAATCTAACCGAAATAAATTTTGGAAAAACTAAATAATAAATTAGAAAATATTTATGGTAAAACTAACGATAGTATTCCAAAAGAAAAATTGACTTATCTAATATATAACATAGAATGTGAAGACTGAGAAAAAAAAAGCAAACTACGGACAGACTTCACAATGATTTGAGTGTAGGTTGAAGCAAACAAAATTGCAAATCAATGACTATGTAATCAAAACTGTCTACTGAACTATCGCAACACATAAAAAATAATGGACATAATTTTGACTTCCGCAACACATTAATTCTGCATTGAGAAGAAAATGCAGAATTATGGAATCTATGTTTTTATAACGAAAAACATAAAACAGTTGGTTAATCAATAAGCAATGTGGATAACTTCAACACTTTGTAGACTAGCTCAATATACAAAAGTAAAATATAAAATTTGGATGATTTTATATTACAAGGTTTTGGATAAGATGTATTTACCCAGTATTTGTATGTAGAAATGTAACTGTTGTTATATATAAAGTATGTAGGTTAAGTGCGTATGAATGTAGGTAAAAAATAAAGTATGACTCTAAGAGAAATAGATAAAACAAATGATTTCTAACCCCTCTGATCCCATTCCTATACATAATAATCCAGTCTCTAGTAGATGGATAGACAAGTCAAATCAGACATCATGTCTTCCGCCAGCCCAACACATAGTTATGATTAAAATACTATATTATTTTCAGAAATAGATTTAACTTTATAATATGTTATATATATTTAGTAATTGCAATGAAATTACCTGGAATATGGAATGGATCATTAGGACAAATTTGTATAAAAATTATATATACAATTTTTTAAAAATGGTGCTCAATATGTGATTACATTTATGTAACCTAAAGTAATCTAAATTAATTCTATCATATACTAAATTACATAGGAATATGTCAATAGTATTGGTATGCAGAAAGTTAAAAATAGAATGTGTTAAAATTGAATTATCTTAATTGTATGTGACAAATTAAAATAAATTTACAGATAATACTTGAAAACATCTCAAGTAGCCGAAACGTCAACAATAAAAATTATATATTTTCTGGTGACATATATTGGTGACAAAAAATCAATTAAATAATTAAAAAATTGATTTTGTTAATTAAACAATTTCAACTTGATTTGAGTTGAACCTAAAATAAATGCCTGATGAATTGAAGAAGACTTAAAATTCAATAACTAAACAATATAAGTAAGTTTTTTTAGGTTTATCAATCATCACTAAATACATTAAATATTGAAAGTAAGTTTAATTATTGGATAAATAATAAAAAAAAATAGAAATATTTAACTTACAGACTTCATCTCTCACAGCTAGCCTAACATGGGTATCAACACAAAATACACCCATTTTTGTAGCTACTTCAGCAGTTTGAACAGCTAACTCATATGTTGGAGATAAGCATAACACCTAAAAACATTAATGAAAATAATAAATCATATAATTAATAAGAAATAACTAATGACCTGGCAAATGAGGACAATCTTATTATTTAATAAGTATGCTATATAATCTAAGCACCAGTTAGTTGATTAAATGGACATAAAATTTGATCTAGTATTGTTGAACACTATAAAGCTACTACTACTTCTACAGTCTTTCACTTGACAAAAATATATAGGGTGGGCGTAGAGAGAGAATATATACATCTTCAATCTGAAGTTACAAAAATTCTGAAGAAGAAAGATAACTTATGAGAAAGGCTTGCCACCTCATTTGTTAATGAGATCATGAAGGCCAAGCATGTTAAAGCGTAATGTTTAACATTCTCAAGTCTAACGATGTCTGTTCGAATCTGGTCTGGGCTGGTTAAAATTTATATTATGGTAGACCCATAGAATGAATCTCGACCTTCAAACTCTATTTAGAATAGGTTTGGTTGTATCTTTAGAATAACCTGCCATATGTCTAAAATAGCAAAGTAATGGCATCGTAAAGAATAAAAAAATCATTTATTAATGTATTGCCTTCCAAAGAATGATTCATGTATTTATGTAATGATGGCATTAGGACCATGAATTATGTGAAAGAATTAATCCATTGAATATTTAGAGGTTTGCAAAAACTATTAGACTAGACTGCTTTACGTGTGTACTGGGTACTCCAAAACATGACTGTTAATAACTAAAAAAAAAAAAAAAAGCAAAATATTTTGAGACATAAAAATATGCACATTTACAATACGTAATATAAAACAGAATATACATTTTTTTTATTATGAAATAAAGTTTTGTTTAAACAGAGCGTAAAGTACTTCAGTGTAAATTAAATGACCTTCAATATCAGCCATATCATATACACATTGAAATAGTCAGCCTCTGCTTTAATCTCTATAAAATACCAATTTTCAAAATATCTTTCCCTAAAATAACTTTGAGGGAGTCAGATAGTTCAGTGGTAGGGTATTTTTTTTTGGTACTCCCCTTCCTCACTTTTAAGGCTATACGGGGGTTTTCCCAGGGCAAGGAGTGTGGGCGGGGATTTAAAAACTCCTCTGAGCACCGGGACATAAACTCGTGAAAAGTGGGTACCCTTAATTAGATAATTAATTAAGGGGGAAAACCTGGCAGTAGAGTGTGATCTCGGTCAAATCACCTCCTTGCACAACCGTTGACCTAGAAACAGTGCTTTCCCTATATAGTAGTGCACACAAGACCCTTCATGGGTTGTAGCGGTACAGGTTTTTAAAGTAACATTAATTTTATTCATTAAAAATAATTAAAGGCTTCCTCATTATCAGTACTAATGCAAAATGAATAGATAAACTATGAAAATTAGCAATAGGAAAAAATGGAAAAATACTTGCCCATGTTGAAAACAAATTTCCAGAAATAAGAGTGGTAATATAGATATATAATGTACTGATGGAAATGTAAAGATTTTGGGTCTTTAGCAGATTAGCCAGTTAGTTTTTAAACAGAAAATTGTTACATTGTTACATACAAGATTACCTTTAACCACTTCCATTATTATTTATTTATTCCTGTTGTGAGAAGTATACTACTACAAAGTACTGTTCTAAAGAATTAAGCATGGCAGAACATACTGGACAATCCAATCAAAATAGGAGGACCTGTCGAGATTGATGAGTTGTGCTTTTCTAAGCGGAAGTACAATGTTGGGAGGATATTTCCCCAACAATGGATGTTTGGTGGCAGAGGAAAGAGTGCTTCCTGAACACCGTCCCAGACAGGACCTCAGCAACTCTCTTGGAATGCACTAAAGAAACAATTCTTCCAGGTACAACTATTATATCTGATTTATGAAAATCATACAGGAATGTACAGAAAATTTCAGGAATACACTACAAACACCTAATGGTGAAACATTAGAGAATTTCATAGATTCTAATACTGAAGCAGACACTCAGCGTGGGCTGCTGCAAGGAGAAGAAACACGAAAAAATGTGGCACAGCCAGAACAATGGTGGACTCATACCTATGTGAATTGTTTGGAGGAGAAGACACCACAGAAAAGATTTGTTAAAGTTAAGATTACTAAATATCAAATAGTTTTGGCCATGTGAATAATATTTTTTTTTTTTATTTTAAAAGTAAATTAGGTTAATTATAATTAAAGCTTTTGATATCTTGTTTTTCTTTAATCGCATAAAATAACAGTTTACTACTGAAAAGTAACTGGTGGGGCTAATCTGCGAAAGACCCAAGATTTTAAATAAATTAACAGTTATCTTGTTAGTCATAGAAGTTTAGGGGAAATGAAAAACTAAAAATAATTTATACTTGTATATTACTGAATGTAAAATAAATGTTTTCATAGAAATTAAAAGGGATTATAGTATTGTTAAATGAAAAGTTGATAAGTGAAAGTTGTGTGATGCACACATTGCACCAGACTTTTAATGAGTCGTTTATTTCCAAAGTGAATCCTAATCATCATTGAAAATTTAACATGAAAACTATATTCTCTATTGCAATATCAAAACCAATATTTTTTAAAAAATTACAGTAAATATTTCCTAATATCATTAATTATTATGATAATAATTATATTATACAATTATATCAAATTATTATTATTATATATAATTTTTTACTTCAGTAAGTTGTTCTTTATTTATATCAATACAATGGTTTGCCTGTAAAATTGATTTAACCTTCCTGTCTAATATCATTTAGTTATTTTAATTTTATTATTCTTAACAGCTATATCGCAGTATTATAACCCTAATGCTCATCTGCTTTCATTAACAGATCTCAAAAACTATGTATAGACTTGTTTTATTATTTATGCTTTAGTTACTCATTATTATAATAGGTCTTTTGGCCAGATTTATTGATTATTTGTATGAACAATATTGTTATTCTTAAGGGACTTTGACCCAGAATAAAGATGATTTTTCTATTTCTATCAAATGCAGTATTTCTTTCCTTGACACAGAGAAAAATAAGTAAAAAGTGATTCCTAATATTGGCTTAAATAATTAGTTTTTTTTCATCATTAGTAATTTGTTAAGAAATATAGACAACAATCTTGATTTCTTCACTTGAAGTACGACTTTCTAAACACAATAACAAATTAAATAAGCTATGCAGGAGAATATGTGGAAAATATTTAGAACACGAAGTCCTTGCACCAAATTGTACCAATTGAAATTAGTAGATTTGTTTAGGTGCTGCAGTCCATACCAACACAGGTTTTTCATCACCCATCTTCAAAGGAAAGGGCGGGTAGTAATGTCGAGGTAGTAGGATCATCCTAGGGTAACTTCTGACTTTCATTTCAGATTTGAAAACAATCGGTCCAGTAGTCTCGGGGAAAAGCCACGGACTGTGTACGGACCAAAAAATTGTATTTGATTTTCGAATTTTGCATATTGTGAAACGTAAAATCTCAAATTTTGAGGGGAGGTAAAATTTTTTAATTTTTTTGGATGATTACAAAAGTTCATCATTGGAAATAATAAACCAGAGGGTTGAATGGAGTTCAATTTGGAGAGAAAAAGAAAAGAAAAAATTCAGAAGAAAAAAGTAAATAAAATTTAATTACAAAATAGAGTCATTTTATTTAATTTTGAATACATTTTTATTGAAAACCTTTTGATAAATTTGTTTAAAATATCTAGAAATGCAAGTATCATTATATTCCTTGTAAAAATGGTGAGTATTGATAATGAACTTCAAACCCCGTTTTTTAATAATTTGGTCAATTTTTTAAGAAAAAAAATGTTTCATCAGATTTATTGCGTGTTTATATTTATCTTGATTTTCAAAAAAAAATCTATAAGGGTTCACTTTGGAAATAAGTAAATCATAAAACATGTAAGTAATATTCCATTTATTCAATTTTTTAATAACATTCATTTTGAATGTTTTTTATTTCAGCAAGTTAAATAATATATATATATTGTTTTTAATAGGTTTAATAGGTCTGTTACACATAACAAATCAAGGTTGTAATCTGGATTTGACTTTGCATTACCTATTGAAAGAGTTTTATAAATACTCATAAAAATTACATATTCATACATCATTTCATTGAATTAACATCATAATCATTCAACAGTTCTTTAAGAGCTATTCAACTATTAATCAGTTTGCTATTGCATACCACCATACCATATAAGGTTTTAAAAAACAAATGAATATATATAAATTACCTGAGGATGGTTCAACTGAGGATTGATTCTTGACAACATAGCAAGAACAAATGCAGCAGTTTTGCCCGTTCCTGACTGTGATTGAGCAATGAGGTTTTGAGGTCTGACAAAAATTTAAAATGTTAAATTAATAGTTTTTTATATAACATAGAAATTTTATAGTATAGTGAAAAAATAATTTCTATATAATTTCCCTTCCTGCATCATTGGTTTCAATACTCCCCACCATCAATAAATTTTACTTGTTCAATCATTTTATAAACATACAATGTCCCAAAAAAAATGTAAATAAGTATTTCTGTAAATATGTATATAAATTATTTTTCATTTCTTTTTTTTTTAATATTATTTTATGCTAGTATCATTTTTTTAAATTTATTACTCAACTAATTAAATATTAGAAATTATGTTATAATTTTTAATTATTAATATATGTTTTTGGGTGAGCCCCATCACCTTTACTGATACATTTAATAATTATTGTAACAAAAAAACATAAACAAAATTTCAATAAGGGCTTAAAATGTAACATAGTTACAGTAAAAGGCGTTCAACACAAAAAATAAACTGTTTAAAGTATTACATTATTGAGGTTAAGAAAAAAAAAAGTTTTAATATTGCCAAATTTTTATTCTACTCTGAGGCTCTATAGCCCACATTAGTTTTTCTTTTCAACTTTTCCAGTATTTTGTCTTAAGAGGATTTATCCAGGAATAAATAAAGAATTTATAATTAGTAGTGTAATCAAAGAATAAGAGCTTTAGATCCTTCATCACCAAATATTTTGGATAACCCAGATATATGGCATGAGATATGAAGGAAAAAAACGTAGTGCTGTAGAAGACAGAGCCATTCACAGGACTAGATTTGAAAATCATGGGTAAGAGAGATCGAAAAGGTATTTCCTGAGGCATTTTATCGTCAGGAGACTTTTCATTATAAGAAGAAACTATCTCTGCACAGTTTTGCATTCAAACAAGGCAACTTATATACTTTAAACACACAGTTTTCCTTAATGTGATGTATATAGGTTTCATATTCTTCTTCTTCAAAATTAAAAACCTAAAAGGACAACTTCCTCCAAATTTTATTGATATATCTAAAATTATTGTATAAGACAGAACTACAACTTGCTGGTCTTAATTAATCTGGAGGATCTCAACAGGGGATTTTCGTATGATGAATATAACTTTACCAATTTGCTCTGTCTAAACCAGGCCTAGGGCCTCTAATGTTTTACATCCACAAATTCAAATCTCTAATTTTCAACTTGCATCATAAAATTTTTAAAGCAGGCCTCATCTTTATTACTAAATAAGAAATACAACGTATTCATAAGATGTGTCAATAATAATACTTACGGGTCAGCAAGCAATATTGGAAGAGCTGTTTCTTGAATTTTGGAAGGTGCATTGAAACCCATTTCATAGACGCCTTTTAAAAGATTTGGTTTCCTGAAAAAAATTTCTAAGATAAAATAAAAAAAATAAAGTGAGGAACCCCTCACTTCAGAAAAATCACAAAATCTTAACTCCTCATACCAACAGATAATAGTTGTTGATGAATTGGTAATGTTTATTGATGAATAAATTGAGCAAAAATGAATATATTACTTACAAATTTAGTGCTTCAAAAGATTTAACTGAGTGTAGAGGCGAATATGGATTCTTCTGCTGAACTTCAATATCAGCTTTAGTGGTAACTAATCTGGTTCTAGAAATCTTTGATAGTAACGATAATTCAGCTTTTGAAATGGTGTCTTCTTTATCCTCTGAATTATTAGAGGTGTCTGGAATCTTTTGTTCTTCAACATCATCTTTCAGAATACTTACTTTATCAAGCTAAAAATTAAAAATACATAAGTACTTGCTTGCCATGCATGAAATAAGTTACCTTCAAAATATGAAATAAATTGAATAAAACAAGACAATATACCTCTTTAGCTAATTCATCATCCTTGTCTTTATCTTTTTCACACCATCCGCCAGTAACTTTCAATAAGTTTACAGCCATTATAAATGAATGGCAAAATAAAACCACAAACCTCAATGTTAAACCTAAAAATTAACGTTTTAAAATAAACGAAATCTCAATAACAACCCAAACAAAGGACCGTAAGCTACCACCTTGTGGTGAGGTAATTCACAAGGTTCTAAACAAAGATGGAAAGGAGGTACCGCAGCCGGATGAATAAAAACAAATGAGGGTTCACTTGAGTCTGGAAACTTGCACGACATATTTTGTTGACGTCATTGGCCTTAGCAATGGAATACCCATATAGTTGAAGTTGATTAGAAGTTCGGTCAGAGATGAAATAACACAAAATAAGAAGTAGGAATTACTAAACTCAGCACTAATTCTATTAATGGACTTCATCAATTGAATCCCGCAGTGATGGACAGCTATTTGTGTTGTATTTAGGAAAGACCTCATGGATTCTAGCAGATCAACATTCCTGGAAGGTTATAAAACCCTTCGAAAATAAAAAAATATGTTCTAAGGAAATAACTACCTACTTAATTGTAGAACTTAAAAACAGAAATCAATATAAATGTGTAAAGTAAAACAATAAATAGAAATAATGAGGTTACAACCAGCAGATCCATCGATCCCAAAAATCAGTGGAACCGCTGAGCCATTGGCGAGTCAATCGCTGATTAAAAGAAGGTGCTGAATCCCATCCACGGTTTCCGTTGAAGAGTTAAGGAGTGGATTGAACTGTTTATGATGCCATCGATGAGCTCAGAAACTTTAGTAAACCTTATTTTATTGTTTACCGACGTTTTGGACTAAGTTTTAAGCCTTCGTAAGGTCTACAGAAAAACAAAATAACAACCAATAAGATAAATCGAGGGCAACAGATGATGTATTAGTACATCTAAAATAATATTATAAAGGAAATAAAAGTAACAGTATACCTAAAGAAAATAATGTATCAGAGTGATAATATAATAAAATTCAGATAGTAAAAGAATAAAAATAAACTATTTATGGTAATCTAAATTTGTATATGTAAATAATGAAAATTAAATTAAATAATGAGATGTGAATTAAAAATTCCGATATGTATAGGGTCCCTTACATGGTCAATATTATTGAGCCAATATTCAAGAGAACTTTGAAGTAGAAGAGGACGACTTTTCTAACGACGCCGAGCCACTGGATGATGAAGACGAACAAGCGGCCACAGCAAAGCAGAAAAACAACAAAGCTCTGGTACTGGATGGAATTCAAGCGGAGCAGATACACTATGGAGGAATGCAACTGAGAAAGGAGCTCCATAACCTCATTTTGAAGTTATGGGAGGAAGAGAAGATGCCTGAGGTGTGGAAAAGCGGAATTATCTACCCAATGCATAAGAAAGGGGACCAATTGAATTGCGACAATTATCGAAGTATAGTGCTCCTCTTATGTGCTCGTAAAGTTCTCTCTAACATCCTATTTGAGAGATTAGTTTCTCATACCGAGAGGGAAATAAGAAAATATCAAGCGGCATTTAGGCGAGAGATGTCCACATTGGACCAACTGTTCGCACTGAGCCTGATGCAGGAGAAATGTAGAGTGTAGAACAGTTACCCATCACCTCTTCGTTGATTTTAAAGCCACCTACAATAATGTAACTCGGTGGGAGGTCTTAGGAACTTGGGCTACACATTAATGAAACTAAGAACAAGTATATGAGAGTCGGAGCAGATGGACCAGAGACGAGTTCTTTTGTGGCTGGACCATATAATTTCGAAAAGGTAAGCAGCTTTGTCTGCCTCGGGTCTGGGATCAAAACGACATCTCTCCAGAAGTCAAGAGGAGGATAGCAACAGTGAGACTGTGCTACTTTAATCTTGTGAAGCATTTTAGAAGCAGGTTCCTCTCTAACAGGACCAAGATCATTCTCTACAAAATCTTGGTCCAGCCTGTTTTAACTCATGGGCCTTTAAGAAGCAAGATAAAAATAGACTTCTGATCTTTGAGAGATCAATCTTGAGAAGGATTTTTGGTCCTATTAGAGAGGATGGAATTTGGAGAAGGAGAAATGCTGGTCTTTATAACAGAGATGAGCAAATGCTACCCTTATTTGCGATTACCAAGTATTTTACTGAAATTGAATCATTATTGAGAATTCAATCACTATTTCAGTTAATCGTATGACATCAACTGAAGCAGTAATTAAATTCTTTGGAGCTCGAAAAGGTCAGTATTTCAGTAAAATATTTGGTGCTCAGTACTCAGAGTAGCATTTGCCCATCTTTGCTTTATAAAGATATACACTTGGTCAAGTTTAACAAGAAAAGAGGACATCAATGAGCCGGGCACGTCGCACGTATGGATGATTCGGCGATACCCAGGAAGATGCTGTCCGGAAAGATGTATGGACAAAGAAAGGTTGGCAGGCCAAATATAAGATAGAAGGACTCAGTAACATTGAACACATGAGCTCTACTGAGAGTCTGAAACTGGAGAGCTGCTGCAGCTGATCGTATTGACCAGCGAAAGCTTGTGGAAGGGGCCCAGCCTCGGAATGTAGTGCCATCTATGTATGTATCTTATAAGTTTATTTGCCAGTTGCCCTACTAATCAAATACTTCTATGGTCTATGGCATTTCAAACCTTAGGAGAAGAAACTGCTCTAGTCCAAGCAGTCATAACTTTCTCATGGTTGGTTCCAATTTGCCAGCGATATTTCATTGCTTTCGATCCAGCATACTTTTGCTTAGTCTAGCAACTAAGCGAGTTACTCACTTGCATATCTTGCAAGTCTATTCCATTGTTTTGTTTTTTTAATCCAGTTTGCCTTGCCAAAATATTTCTTTAGTAGATTTGGTGTCAACTCCAAGTTTAATATGACTCTCAGCTAAGCCATATCGAGATATCCAATCTTTTGAAAAATGGTCCCTTTTCAGTATCCTCAGGTACATCTACCTGCTCATAGTTGCAGCTGAACCCCATTGGTCACTTCCTAGTTTAATATGACTCTCAGCTAAACCATTTCAAGTCGATATCATTGATGAATGGTCCCTTTTTAGTATCCTCAAATACATCTACATGCTCATAGTTGCAGCTGAACCTCATTGATAATCAACATGGACTTTTCATGATGTGTGGAAGCCAGTGAGCATTATCTTCACTTCCTTGGTTCGATTCTTGGTTGATGAGGAATCTTGTTACATACTTATCAACGTTATAGAGAACTATTGATATAAATATTGTATAGTGCATCTATTTATTTGAGTCTATAAATGTTTAGATTTATATTGGGTGAATCCATAAGATCGTTCGGTTTTTGTTAGTAGTGCGGATTGTATTCAAATATCTGCAGTTCTCTTTGCCTCATACGAAAATCATGATACTTTTTGGAAAGATTAAAGTCCGTTCTTGAAAAGAGTTGTGTTTGGTTTCATTGGCATCAGTTTTGTTTGGCTACAGCGTCGTAAATATGTCAAATGATAAAGTGCATTTTCGGTATTTTTTGTTTTTTTATTTCAAAAAATTGGTGCGCGCAACACACAACTTTCACTTACTGCTCAATTTTGAACAGAAATTATTTTCTGGGCGTGTAGGGCTATTTTAAATTTTTTTAATTGCATTGTTAACCGAGCTAAAGCTAAAAACTTACAGCTAACAAATCATAAATACTATTAAAATAACAAAAGTCCTATTTGTTATATCACCAGTTGATTATGGCACGGGCGGATCTACGGGGGGGGGGGAAGGCTTTCGGGCTGAAGCCCCCTCCCCCAAAATGGCAAAATATAACCATGTTTTATCGAAAAAAATATTTAAAAAGTATCTCTTAAAGTATTATTGTTCGTGTAATTAATATTAAAAGGGCTTTAGGAATCACTTAAACACCATTTCATACAGGTAGTTAGTTTCTTTCTTATTTTCCAAAGTAATTATCGTTATTTTTATGAAAAAAAAAAGCTTTCGGGCTGAAGCCCCCCCCAAAATTAAATCCTGGATCCGCTAGTGGATTATGGGTTGTATGATTCATTGATTATGGATAGCACAATCCATTGATTATGGATTGAACGACTATTAGTTATTAAACAGTTATTTTCAATTGTAAAGTTTGCTGAAATTGAATTAAGAGATTTATATTGTCTGTCATAGACAGGACAAAACTTGTAACATTAATTGAAAGTGGATACTGTTTGAATATCACAAAGGAAAAATTGTTTTTCGGAATAAACGAACGACAAACACCTAATTATTTAAATATAATATCAGATCTAGAGTTATTTGAAAACCCTATCAAAATACAGTAAATATATGTAAGATTATAAACATATCCGTGAAATATTTCAGTTCTTTCACACAAGTACAATGCAATAGTATCCTAAACAGCGTCATTGCCTTGAATTCTTGGATTTTAAATACTTTTTCAAACTAAAAAAAATGTTAAAAGTTTACATTTAGTAAGAAATTTCATTTAATTTCCTTGAAAAAACGTAATTTACTTTAAATAATGTTAGTTTTATGAATCTCTTCGTTACCTTCAACAATTTTCTATATTAGATATTGTTTGTTTTTTTCTTCAATTTTCCGCTTTCCAATGATATATTACATGTATCCTTCTGGCTATTATTTCTGGCCTAAATATCTTTTTTTCTCTTATATTCAATTATCAATTTTTTTCAAAAGTTATATTTAGCATTTTTTTCATAACTCTTAACTATTAGAAATAGTTATTACTTATAATAAACCAAATTAAAGGTAATTTAGAGGAAGGCGCGATAATTTTTTGATTTCACAAAGGGAAAATTCATCAAATTATTAATTAATTTAATTATTTTTAAAGTTGCATGACGATTTTTCGAAATAAACGGACGTTAATACCTAGTTATTTAAATATAATATCAGACCTATAATTATTAAAATACAGTAAATGTATTTAAGGTTATAAAGTTTATTTAAAAAAAGGTTATATTGTTTATACTTCCATAAAATGATTTTATATTTCAGTTCTTTTTTCACACAAGTACAATGAAATAGTTTTTTAAACAATGTTATTGCTTTTATTAGATGTATTTTAAATAATTTTTCAAACTTAAAAATTATTTTAAATGTTTACATTTAGTTAATAAATTTCATTTAATTTATTTGAAAACATGTGATTTACGTTAAATAATATTAGTTTTCAAAAATTATTATTTATAATTTTTTCATTACTCTCCGTTTCCTTTAACAACTTTCTGTATTAGATATTGTTTTTACTAAAATTCTCCGCTTTCCAACGATATATTAAACGCATACCTTCTGATTAGTATTTTTGGTAATTCATTTTCGACCTGGATAAGTATTTTTATTTTTTTTCTCCTTTATTCAATCGTCAAATTCTTTCAAAAGTTATATTAAGGATTTTTTTCGTAACTTTAAATAATGTGAGATGACTGTTTATTTAAAATAAACCATATTAAAGATACTTTAGAGGAAGACGTATATGAACATTGCACACTTAGCCCTGTAAAATGACATCAATGTAGATAAGGCCTGATTGATATTAAAGACCACTTAATTATACAAAGATACACCGAGTTTAATCAAAATCGTTAAAGCCGGTTTTGAGAAAATTGTGAAAATGTGTTTCAGCCTAGATATAAAGTGGTACTTCCGGTTAGCCGATTTTAACGAAAAAGTTGCTGTCACATATAAGGCATATACCTATCTTAAATACGTAATATCAGTTTTGTACGACTTTTCGTTTTTGAGCTCGACTGCTAACACACACAGACCATTTTGTGGGACTTGGTTATTTGGATTCAGAAGACCTCAAAACATGTATTTCCGTTGAAAACTCAGATTCGAAAATTTTCAGGATCACAATACTTATCCTTATTATATATTTCATACATATGTAAGTGAAAGTAAAAAAGGCAAGCGAGCTTCGGAGGTATCGGGAACGATGCCTTAATAGGTCGTACTCTTCAAAAATAGCTTGCCAAATTTCGTTTTGGAGACACCCCGCAGCGATCCGCCCACTGAGGTTGATTTGAGTGATATCAAGGCTCTAATTGAACAAGATCGGTCACTACAGGTAGGAGAAATTGCGGGGACAGTTAAAATATGATTTAGAACCATTCAAAGGCATTTAAAACAGCTTGGCTATGTGTCCCGCCCCGATGTTTAGGGTCTCACAAACTGACTGAGCTACATCTGGCTAACAATATCAATCTGCAGCTCACTTCTGAACTGGCACAAAACGGATCCATTCTCCATGGAATAGTGAGGGGTGGATCATCTGGGACAATGTAGTGAGCAGATCTTTAACAACAGCTGACATGCTCTCCATATGGTGGGATTATTATTGCATCCTGTTATTTTACCATTTGCTTCCACAAAGAAAAAGGATTGATTCAAAGATCTACTGCATGCAGCTAACAAAATTGGACCAAGCATTGTGACAGAAATGCCCAGAACTAGTCAATTACAAAGGTGTTGTAATCCACCATGACAGCAATAATCCACAGTAAAAGATAGTGCAACTTGGATGGAATGTTTTATTACATCCACTGTATTCACCAGACTTTGCACCACCTGAAACCACTTATTCTCATCTCTCCAAAAATTCCTTAAGGGGAAAACCTTCGCTGAGGAGAGAAATGTGAAAACGTATCTCAATTCCCTTCTAAGCCTCAGATTTTTTATGAGTGGAAAAATGAAATTGTCAGAATGATGGCATTAATAAAGACAGCAAATACATAATAAAATAAATGTATTCTTTGACTGAAAAGAACGTGTTTTATTTCATCTTTCAAAAAGTGAACGAACTAATGCATCCATCCAATATATATTAGGATACATAGAATTTATTTCTATATGTTCATACATGTTTAGGATTAAATTTTCTTGCCTACAGAATATGCCAAGTATTTCTATGATGTATCATTGTCATGCAGTGATTTGGGATATATTTTTTACTATGTATTCCACTATGATAGTCACATAGACTGTGATAAGCCACAGTGATAGAGACCAAGAAATCTGAGATCGCCAGGCACTTAGAGCCGTGATTAATTGTCTTTGGGATTTAATTTGTAAATTGTGAATGCTGTAAATAGTTTACAATAATTTTTCCTCTCTCCTAATCAAGGCTGACTTTCACACATATCTCAGCACTTCTTTTGTTAAATCTAGCTGAATCAAGTCAAATTCAAGTAGGTGAAATGTCTGATTTACATATCATTCTTTAGTTTACATAAATTAAATTTTGTCATTATTTATTTGTCCACTGTTATCATCATTTTTGGTGCAACAACCCATGTGAGACAAAAGCCTTCTGTTACATCAATTACCAGTCATTTTTGTTCTGAGTAGCCGATTTTTTGCCTAAAGAAAAAAAAAGCCACATAATCAGCCCAGTTTGGATCCTCCAATTTGTCTTCTTCCAATCTACTATAAAATGAGGACATACTAACGCTAAATGTCTCTTCAGATATTTCGCCTGAATTAATAATAAATATTTGTAAACTAGCCAAACTGTTATCCTTTCATTATCTACTTCATGAAAAATTTAAAGAATTTATTTTATCATGCAAGAAAAGTGTTCCCGGTCACATGGAATTTACATTAAACATAATGAATAACAGCTAATTAGGGCAGGAACTATTTCACTTGCTTGTTGCACTGAAAAGAAAAAATATATATATTACAATAGTTACTAAAACTTATAATAATGAAAGGACAGTTTCTGAAAACATTCAAGCAAAAAATTTTTAAGCACTGTATTAATCATTTCACCTGTGCAATTATAACAAATATTGCTATAATTTTTATATTAAAGTATAAATTGAAAAAAAATAAATAAATAAGGACATGAGAGAAAGATCACAAAACAAAACTCTTGTTAGATCAAATAATTTGTAATTTAACATGGATCTGAATCCATAATCGATCTTATATATTTCTCTCTATTTATAATTATATATTTATATATATATATGTTTAATACTATAGTTTGAATATATATTGGAGAAAGACACTTGGAAGAATGGAGACCTAATTTATTTATAAATATAATATATAGCGAATTAATGCTAACATTTGAATATAATCAAAAGGCTTACAATCCAGTTCATTCTTAAATAGTAAAATCACAAAGAATTAAAGCATTGCAATTTATAAAAAAAGTTTTTAAACTTTCTGCTACAAAAAAGCAATGCATTTAATTCGAACAAATGAATGAGAAATTTAGACAGATCACAAATTTCATATGAAAATAATGCACATCATTGGCATAAGCTATATTTAATGATAATTATTTTTAAGAGCCAAATGTATAATAGATGACTATTTGTGCACATATCCTTGTAGACAATAAATACTTCTGACATAGTTTTTACTTATAATAAATTTATACAAAAACTATAATAACAAAATCAGAATATGGCAATACATAATATTAAGTCTTTTAGACTAAAATAAAATTTCTTTACAATAAATAATTTATAACAAATAACATGGAGTGTTTTCATTTACAACAAATTAAATGCAATGCTAATATACATAAACAAAAAAGTCTGAATTTATATGAGATACAACCAATTATTAGTTTCGATAATAATTTAGCAACCCATTTGATTATAAGCGCACAACAAGATATTTAATTTTAGACTTCAGTCTGCCATCTCCTATGCCCAGGTTTCTTCCATCCTCACATCAGGCTATAAATCTGAAAATAACAATTAAAAGATTGAGTTAATATAAAAATATACTTTATAATATTATACTGTAATAAATATATAAATTTTTAGAAAGAAAAATCCTAATCAAAATAAACATAATTTTTTTTAAATAAAAATAATTTCTTCTTCCAAATTTTTTTAGTCCTCCGACTGCACCAATATATCGGCCTTTTGACCTTATTTTATCATGATTCACAATTTTCACTAGGAACATTATTTATATTGATAATAAATGGGCCAATCAATTGTCTTGGAATCGATATAAACATAAATGTGAGTAAAGACTGATATATCGATCTTTGCTCAAATTTATGTTAATGTAGACCCGTTGATGATTGATCGACACATTTGGTAGCTATAAAAATAATATTTAAACTGAAATTCTTAGAATCTCGATAAAATAAAGTCGTAAGGACGATATATCAGTTAAAGAGGATGCCAGAAAAATGTGGTAGTGGCTTACAAAAAATAAAATAAGAAATCGAACTCTACTAATCTTGATAAAATAAGGTCGTGAGGCCAATATTTTGATCTTTGGAAAATCAAAATCTAATCCAATCAGGCTAAGAGAGCAGCAGAAAAAAAAATTTGTCAAACCGACATATCGGTCTTTGCTCAAATTTGTTAGTTATGCAGACCCATTAATGCATTTTTTAGCAATACAAATAATATTTAAAGTGCAATTATTAGAATCTCGATAAAATTAGGTCGTTAGGCCGCTATATCGGTTTAAGATTTGTAAGATGCTAAAAAAAATAACACAATTAGCAAACCCAACTTTATCTTGATAAAAAAAAGGTCAAGAGGTCGATCTATCAGTCTTTTGAATATCAGAACCTTCACAGATCAGGGTACCTATATCAATAAATGAAGGTTATAAGGCCAATATTTTGGTCTTTGCTCAAATTTACGTCTATGTTGATCCCTCAAAACTTGATTGACACATTTATTAGCAATAAAAATAATATTCAAAGTGAAAGAGGCCGCTATATCAGTTCAAGGAGATGGCTAAAAGATTTGAAAGATGTTAAGAAAAACAAAATAGTCAAGCTCTACTTATCAGGATAAATAAGGTCGTGAGGACGATATATCAATCTTTGGAATATTGGAATCTGTACAAATCAGGGTTAGAGAAGGAAAAAAAATGAAATAAAAATTTTTTAAACTACCAATCTCAATAAAATATGAGGCCAATTAATCGGTCTTTGCTCAAATTTATGTTTATGTTGATCCCTCAAAACTTGATTGACACATTTATTAGCAATAAAAATAATATTCAAAGTGAAAGAGGCCGATATATCAGTTCAAGGAGATGACCAGAAAATTTGGAAGATGTTTAAACAAAATAAAAAGAAAGAAAAAAAGCTGATATATGGGTATATAAGCATTTGATATCAGCCGATATTAATATCGGTAGATCTCTAGTTATAACCATCATGAGGATCTGACTGAGGACAGATAGATATGTAACCAAAATTGTTCCTTGATGTTGAAATTTTAAAATTTCTGAAGATTAAAATTTTCTCCATTTCTTGCATGATATAAAAATTTCACATACCTTTTGTAGTCACAAAAAAATAAAATAAATTATAGACTAAAAATATTTAAATTATGGTACTTACTATCCAACGTTTGTCTTATTGTAGAAAATCCTGGTGGAGGATTTGTTGTGTATAAATCACAGTGTTGTGCAGATGTAACTATTGCTGGATCTAATAATGGCCAATCCCAAGCTGTGAATTCATAATAAAAATTAATGTATTACTTTTTATAACTTAAGATAAAATTCTTTACAAATAGCTAAATTTGTGGTTTAGAAGTGTACACAAGATTGTGCCTCGTATAAATGAACAGAATTTTTTTTTTTTTTTTTTTATTTCCTAATGATATTTACAACTGTATTAAATAAATACATCTAGTAAATTTGAACATAATGTATATAATGACATGAAAACACTTGCTGAGTAACTATCCAATGGTAGCGCTCTAATGATATGTCTACATTAGGAGATCACGGGGCCATCTTATTTTCAGACGCCTCGGAGGGTTATCAGGAAATGAAGAGGAAGCAAGGTTAGAAATGAGAGGGTTGCGATAATTCTGAAGTTTATTATGGAAGGATAGGTATCTGGATTGGGAAAGATCTGAAACAAAAGAAACATTAAGGTTATTATGGATGGTTTTATTTATAACAAAGTAGGGAGCATTGAGGATTTTACAAAGGATTTTGGATTGTAAGGATTGGATACTAGAGGAATTCGATAATTTAGTGGAGCCCCATAGTTCAACTCTGTAAGTCCAAATAGGTTTTATTATAGTCAAGTATATGAGTCTTTTGTAATTAATTGGAAGTTTAGAGCATTTTTCTAGTAAGTGCTGAAGTAATCGGAAATTTCGAGCAGTTTCTTGTCGTTTCAGTCTAACATGAGCAGAATGTCTTAAAAATTCAACTAAACCAGTAAATTTACATTGAGTTTGAGGTTTAAAACCTAAATAATTAATTTTATTCAAGGTCTGAGGTCACAATACATAAAATAAACCCAAAAACTATTTTTATGAGTAAAATCCTTAACTTTTATGAGGTGGAATGTACTAGGCCAAGCGAGTTATATTACTCTCTAGTTAATTAGATGTATTACTCTCCTGGTCTAACATATATATAAACTATATGTATGTATGTAATATCGAATTAATCCGATATTTGATTTAATTCGAAAGTATTTCCATAAAAAAAAAAAGAAAAGTACCCACTACAACAGAATAGTAGACCCTAATATGGATTAAATCAGAAAAGTTAGGATGAAGCAATTATAAGATAAATTTACATAAATTTTGCTCGAAAGTTGTATGATATTCTCTGTTTTTGACAAAAATCACTTCCAATTAAACAACATGTACAGCGACTAGTCGTAAACATAACGACCACTACGGCCGATCAGTGCAAGCACTCTCGCCGTCCAGCCAAAGCGCCGCTAGGGCTCCGGTGAAGCCCCGTAGTACCAATTCGATCGCGAAGAACTGCTTCCCTGACCTCAGAGCACGATTGATTTTAGGCTCCGCAATCTTACGAACACTACGGCTTTACATAGACTGCCGATGTACAGGAGGATGCCTGCACCTCCGCAGTCGATGAGGGACTCGACTCAAACCGGAGGGTTCGAGACGATGACCGTCCCCAGATTGGCAGATTGACAGCGTTTTTAGTGTGCCTATTTCAGGTCAACATTTTCTATCAAATGAACCAATTGTTTCTCCACTTTGAAATTTGGCATACCTTTAGCCACCGTCACCATGTGCTAGAATAAAATATAATTATTTAATAAAAAAAAAAAAAGAAAAAAAAAAAGTTTTTCTTCAAATATAAAAAAAAAGGATTTGGTAGTCTTTAAAAAAAATTATAATTTTAGAATATAGTCAAGTTTTATATCAAAAGAAAGAGCATAAACAACCGAAACAGATGACAACGGTTTAGCTTTCTAGGTCAAATAGTTCTTGAAAAATAGCCCCAAAACTTTTTAAAAATTTATAACTCAAAACTGAAGAGCAAAAAATCTAAAATTTTGTATTTTTCTTTATACTAATGTATTCAACAAATAAACAAAAAAAAAATTAAAATCCAAGACACAATGGGTCAGTCCCAGGTTGATTTGGTATGGAATTACCTTATTATAATACTATAATTTGGTAATAAGACGCGATGTATAATATGCATTTTTAAAGAAATTAAAAATTTGTCTGATAGTAGTTTCATTTATTTTATTTTATGTTGCTAAAAAATAATATAATCTGAACTAAGAAAATACATGTAAATTACAGTTATACAATTTGCGCAACAAGTAGTATAATAAAATAAACAGTTGAATAATTTGTAAAATGGGGGGTTGGTCCACCGTCAGGCAGACAGCGGGTAACCCCACTAGCCTATACTATATGGTGATGCAAATCATGAAATAGCTGTTATTTATAATAAATAACATTTCAAAGTTAAACTTGTTTCTGTAACATTTTGGATCGTTCGTATCATAATTATTAGATGATTATAAAAATTCTTTGGTATCTTAGTATCCGATATCAATCAATTAAGTATTTCATTATATTGCTTCAATTGACATAGATTTCATGAAATTGATAATGAGAAATAGCAAATCTTAACAAAAGTGGCAAACCATTATCTGATTTCACACAGAAACTAGGAAATTCAAGTTTTATACTTTTTTTTAAGTCAGACATGTTTTTTGTTGAATAGAAAGTGATAATTAAAAAAATATTTAAATTTAGTGATTAACAATTGTTTCAAAGTAAACTAGACGAGATTTTCTTCTATCGTAAGTAGACATTGCCTTTATTAATCTAGAAGAAATTTTTAACAAATAAAATTTAGGTAATTTCTATTTTTTTAACTATCATGAATTTTTTTGTATGCGATTTTTTTTCACCCACTGGATTACAGTTAAAATTGTATATAATAATATATAAAAATTAACAATAATATAATAAAAAGCAAAATTTACAAAACAATCTTTAAAATGAATGAAAACTTAACAATTAAATAAACACTATTTAGCACGTAATTTATTACACTCCTCCTGTTTTGCATGTCGGATGAAGAGTAAAAATGAAACTATTGTTCAGATGGGCTTTCACCATCCCCTTAAAATTATATCTCGTTTTTGTTAACCGCTACTAATTTAATTAGCACAGACTCCTCAAAATTGAGTATTATTGGCATTCCAGCTTAATACATTATTTTTCAGGGATTTTTTAAGAAAATCCATTTTGCTCCTTTAAATGCAGAATGTATGAGTTTTACCGTACTATGTTTATGTGGGAACGAAAAATTTCCAAAATGTTTCTTGAGATGAGATATATGGTCTGACCCGAGGAAATATTCATTAATACTATTTGTCAGTTTCTTTCTGCCTGATATAAACAGCGGACTGAGAGACTCAATCCCACAATTAGAATATAACAATATTCCCAGAATATTGTTATATATTCACACAAGTCTAAATACAATTTTATTCACTCCTGTAAATACGAATATAGTTGTATTTACAGATGTAATAAAGAATATTGTTATATTCACGTAAAAGTATGTATAAATATTTTAAATTAAAAATTAAATATTAATATTACAGCAACTTTACTGGTCTAAATACAAATATTTGCATCAAAATACAAGCCTTTAAAAATGCATACACTTGTAATTACAGGAGTGATAATGAACACAATAATATTACCTTAAAATTATGAAGATATATTCTTCTTTATTTATCATGTATTTATTTTTACAAAAATTTATAATAGATATTAAATTTGCAAAAATTAATAGTTTCAGAAACCCATGTCCTCACTAGGCATCCTATACCTGCTTCCCTGACCGGCCACCCAAAGAGATAGTATTTTCATGATGGAAAAACTACATAACCCTAAACTGGAACGATATTTATTCCTGTACCTCTATTGATCATATGGTAGACATCCTCACTTCTAATCTTATCCATATTCTTGACATACATGCTCCAATCAAAACCTCAACCTTCCGTCACCAGCCTGCTCCTTGGATGTGTCAAGAAATCCGCGACATGCAAAAGAGACGTGAGGCAGCCCGTAGACGCTTCAGACGAACTCGACTAGCAGATGACTATGAAGTCTATAGGGTACTCCGTAACTTGACACAAACAACGATCAGGAAAGCGAAATCAAACTTCTTTCACGAAACCTTCTCTTCTGCTCCTGATTCTAAATCAATATGGCTAACCCTTCGTAAACTCTCTCTTTGTAAATCCTCTTCCTCACCGTTCTACCCGGTATCACCCGATGAACTAAATTCCTACTTTATATTTTCCACCACTAGCAATAGTTCACCCCTCTCACCAGTTTTCCTTATCACCCTCATTTAACAGTGATAATTTCTATTTCTCCAACATTTCACCGACCGACCTTATTTCCTCTATAATGAAATCACACACAAACTCCATCAGACTTGATGGGATACCAGTCAAACTGTTAAAATTATGCCTTCCCGAAGTCGTTCCAGTTCTCCTTTTCATCTATAATTTTTCCCTCCAGAACTCAGTTTTTCCAACTGCTTGGAAAAAAGCATTAGTCAGACCTATCAACAAAATTCCCAATCCTACCTCTCCTAAAGACTACCGCCCAATCTCCATTCTTTCTAACCTTTCTAAACCTCTGGAAAGAATAGCTCAATCCCAAACCTCTAAATTCCTTGAAAACTCAAAACTACTCGATCCTCTCCAATCTGGTTTCCGACCTGGCTTCTCCACACAATCCGCCCTACTAAAAATTACCAATGACTTACATACCGCAATGGACAAAAAATGTTAACTGTGTTAATACTTCTCGACTTTTCCAAAGCTTTTGAATCCTTAGACCACTCTATACTCTATACTAAATTAAAATCTCTATCCTTCTCCAACAGCTCTATCTTCTGGTTGCAGTCTTTCCTATCCGACAGAACTCAAGCAGTCAGCATTCCAAACCAACCCCTATCTTCCTTTCTTACACTGTCCTCTGGAGTGGCCCAGGGTTTGAGCATTTCACCTCTCCTTTTCAATTCCTACATAAATGATCTTTCCAAATCCATCTACCACTGTTCACATCATTTATACGCTGATGACACCCAAATATATTTTTCCTTTCATCCTTCTGAGCTACTAGTCGCATTCGCCAACATTCAGGCAGACCTAGATAGGATCAGTGCCTGGGCAAGTCTGAATAATTTAAATCTAAATGCGATGAAAACTCAGGCCAATATTATAGGTTCCATTCCTATTCTCAAATCCATCTCCTTCCTTCCTCCTTTAGTCATCAACGATCATCCTGTCACATTCAGTTCATCCGTTAAAAACCTAGGAATCACCATAGACGAAAACCTCTCCTGGAAACCCCATATCGCCCTCATCTGCTGTAAGTCAATAGGTACCCTTAAGCTATTTCATCGCTCCCGCCACCTACTCCCACAACCCATCCGCAAGCTCCTTGTATCCTCTCTCATTTTCCCCCACTTTGACTGCGGCTGTGTGGTGTACGGAGGCATCCCGATGGTACTCGAGGATAGATTGAAGCGACTCATGAATACGTGCTTAAGATTTGTCTTCGGTACATCAAGGCGATCTCATGTGTCCCACCTTTACGACGAGTTAAAGTGGATCTTCCTTTCTTTCCGCAGACAATATTTCCTCGGATCTTTCCTATTCCAAACAATCAACACCAGACACCCTTCTTAAATATACAGTCTCCTACAGTTTAAACCCGTGGCCCACTCCCAGAAAACAAGATCCCGTGTTTCCGACCTTTATATCCCTTCCCATAGAACTAAGACGTTTGAATATTCCTTTATTTCCCGATCCACAGCCTTCTGGAATTCCTTGCCATCTGAAATCCGCCATGCCTCTTCCTTGTCCTCATTTAAATATCATCTCTACCAATTCCTTCTCACATCCCAAAATGACGTTATACAATAAAATAAATATTGTGAAACAGATTTTGACTGAGGTGAATGGTTGATAAAATTCAGTGAGTCTTAATTTTAAAAATCAACCCATGCTTACTTTATTTTATTTTTATTTTCATTTAAATAATTTTTTTTTTATTTCGTTTTTTCTCAAAATTTTATTTTATTTTTACTTGTTTTAATTTAATTTCACTGAAGATACTGTATATATACTTTAATAGTGATTAATGTAATTTTTGGCCAGATGTAGCTTTTATTTTTTTGTTCATATCTGTTATTCATAAGGGATCTCGTCCAAGAATAAAGTTTACTTTCTATTTATCTATCTAACATCAACTACTTCAAAGGAAAAACACCGCCATAATGTAACTGTTCACAAAGGCTGTTTAGTAATTAATAAAAATATTTATTCTTAAGATTAAGTGAAAACGACAATATTCTTTATTACGTATGTAAATACACAAATAAATAAATATTTCGTCACAAAAGCAGCACAAAAAAAAATTGAATAGTTCACGGTTTTTTTTTTTTTTAAATACCCGTACATTTCCCGGTTGGTGAAAGTCCCGTACAATTCCTGATTTTCCCGGTCGCTGGACACTCTGTTATTTTTAATTTTAAGATCATCTACTCATACAAAGATTTTTACCTTCTTGATTTTTTTTTTATTTTTATATTATTAGTCCATTATTATAAATTGATATACCATAAGATCTTAGTGAGAAAATAAGATCTTAGTGAGAAAGTTCTTTCTTAACATATTATGACTACAAATAACTGGAATAAGCAATATTATTAGTAAATCAAGATGGACATTCCCGATCGGTAGTATAAGTTGTAATTTCAGTATTCTTAGTATTAGTATCTTAGTAATTTTAGTATAGCATCCTGATAATGATATTTTAGTATTTCTTCTGATAATCAAATAATCTACCTTATAGATTTAAGTTATTCAATACCTTAAGAAATTTAAAAAAGTAAAATAAAACAGAAGATAAAAGAAACAATTTCAACCCCTGCCTAGAATATATTGGACGATTAGTCGATGTATCAAGTTCTGAGGATGGATAGGAAACAAAAAGAAATAACCAAGTAGGTCAGCTTCCTCATAATTTTAATTGTGTAAATAATGAAAAATAAACTTAAATTATGGCATACCAACATAAAAATACCTTTGAGAAATGAAGGTTACACAGTAAACTAGTATATAATTATGACCAATGGAAGTAAAGAAAATGTTGACTGCCTTGAGTTGGTTTCATTAATTACTAATTAGTAGATAAGAAAATTAACAATAATCAAAAACTTACCAGGGGGCTGATGAGATGTGTGTTGTGGAAAGGCAACTGTTGGGTGAAGAAATGGTAGTATTTTACTTCCTAAAACAAGAAATTACACATAACAGTAATTTAATTTAATTCATTTATCTAATAATTTATTAAATATTAATTTATTTAACAATTAAAAATAAGTTTCTGTTTTTTAATCCATGTCCTGCAAGATGCATAATTTTCTGATTTTTAAGTAAAATTTGATGTTTCTAATTTTAGGTTTCTAACTTTCTTATCTCTCTTTAGTAAGAGTTTAATTAGCTGTTTTTCCTAAAACAGAATAAAAAAGAAAGAAAGAAAGAAATCCTTCAAATACGAGCACATTTAATGAGTAATATAAAAGTATACAAAGTAAAATACGAAGCAAGGCTCTTCTGCTCAAAATAAATAGGTCTTGAATGAGTACAATAATGGATTAGTATAAGTTCAGAGATGGATTTGTAATATTGCTTAACTAATAAATTGGAGGAATATTTTCTAGTGGAAGAAATTAATCACTTACTAAGTAAATTGTTGCTATAATAGTCGTGGTAAAGTATGAAGATTCACAGACTTAATATTTTAAATATATATTTCTATATTTTTATTTAATTACAAAACAACCATTCTTAAGTTCACTTATCTATAACAGCTAAGAAAATATTTTAAAAAACATACAAGTTACTTCTTGTCATATTTACCTGTACGTGGAATACCAAGGCCAAACGCATTCATGTGGTTGGGTGTCGATGTAAAACCTGGGGGTGGGGGTCGGGAATGAGGCACTGTAGTTCCAATTCGCAAGCCTTCCAACAGTTTTGTACAATTGTTCAACCTGTACAAATACCAGACTTATAAATAATTTAAAAAAATAAAAAACCCGTACCATTAAAACCCATGGGTGGTCTTGGGTGGAATATTTTGTGAGAAAGTACTGTTTCCTGATCAAGAGTTGTGCAAAAACAATTACAAAAACATACTCTACTACTAGTATTTTCCTCTTCATCAATGATTAATTAGTATTTCTTTTTTTTTTAGAAACCAAGTATATCCCATAAGGGTCTCCTTACATTTTCCCAAAAATTTTCAACTAGTGTAATTTTTTGCCCATATGGAATAATAAATCAATGTGTACTAGAAATCTTCAGTTTTTTTTTTTTTTTTTTAATTTAAACATACCTATGGCTTTAGAATTTATGACATAAATATTTCATAACTAAAATGACAAGTGCGTTAAGTTAACAGTGATAAAATTTTAAGTCCTTGGGATCCCCCAAGTACACAAAAAATTAGAGATGGAACATTGTTAAAAAAGACAGTTAAAGATATTGCACAATATTTCAATCATTTATAACAGCAAAACAAACTAATAAATACTAGTTGGCCCCTGCGAATAATCACAGAAAATTTTGTTTAGTGAAGAAATAGCAAAACAATATGGAAATAAGATCCTATGCATTATGTAAGGAAGGAATTAATATTTTTTCGTGGTTGATTACAATATTCCATTTAACATAATAGACCAAAATACATATACAAATTGCTTTGGTAGGACTTATTTTTTAACACTGATTGGAAAGATAGTAAAGACAAAATGAAGCTCCGATCATGGGATTTTCTAAATTATTAAAAAAAATAAAATGTAAGAACAAACAAATGCCTTTAAGAAATAATAAAGTTAATATATCAGTCAGGAAAAAAATTGTAGTAGAATAGTAAATACAATATCTTTTAAAAGGAAGAAATTATTAAGTACACCAAAACTAATGGACTGTATCTTTGTTAATAATTGTCCGATTTTTTTTGTTTTGTAGGAAATTTATTAATCTTAGTAATTATCATGGGTACAATATAGAAAAAATTGAGTTATTCGCAAATAAAAAGTTTCTTTTCCTTCATAACTTTTTTCCCAGAAATTTCTGGGGGAGGGGAGGGGATAGAACTATTTTTCACATGTGAAGGAGAAGAATGTCTTCAAAATGAGTGGTCAATCATTGGATTTGATGAAGAATTGACAAAGTTATGGTATACCGACAAAAAACACCTTTTAGAAATAATATACATGATGATATATAGACAATGGTTATTTGGTTGCAGCATTAATGTTCAACATGACTCCACTTATCAACATGAAACTAAGCAAGAATTTAGAGCTTTCTAATCAACACAAAATGGCCAAACCAGACCCACGTTAACAAATTAGAACTCGAGAAAAAAAAAAAACTTTGAGGTTTATTAATTTAAGTAATTAAGCTATGGGGAGAGAGTATTAAGCAGTATTAAACTTTCCAATGGTTGAATTTGGTGATGATCCTCTGGAGTTAAGAATGCTATAGTGAAATGCAGAAAAAGAAAATGAAATATAAAATTTTACTTGGCTTATTTTATCAGTAGCGTTTTTAGGTTTTCATAATTTTGTTTTCACATTTTTTACAAAACCAACAACAAATCGATTTTTGGTAATAATGTTATAACCTAGAAATACATACTGTGCAAAGGAAAGAAACAATAATATAAAAATATATTGAAATTATATAAGATGTATTTTTTCTCAGCTCTTAGAGCCGTAAGAACTCTCTAAAGGACTTGCCTAATAATTTTCTAGTATCTTATCTCCAAAAGAGTTTTATTGAAATCACTGATTTTACATATGTAACCTCTCCATTTTTAGAAATAGGTTTTATTTATATGTTTTAGTCATTATTAATTCAATTTTGAATTAATAATGACTACCTACTGTTAAAAACTTCTTACTTAGTAAAAAGGAAAACTTAAATTAAATAGATATCTAGGAAATCTGTGAAACTAATAAGATCTATAAAAATAAGTATGGTAATAGTACATATGAACATAACTGCCAACAAAAGAACTTTTAATTACTATCGTAAACATTAGTTACATTTAAATATATTAATACATTAGCTATTTATTATAATTCAACTTAATTGTTCTTCTAAAAATGAAAATGTCAACAGCTGAAATTACCTTAAGCACAGTTTATGAAAATTTAAAAAAGATATTAAAATTTTTAACTAATGACAACTTTTTTGACTTTTGCAAAGCTTAAAAAGGTAATTCCCGACCTGATATTTCCAACTAGTGGACACTGAATATTTTAATAAAAAATATATATAGCTGTGACAAAAAAATAAATTAATTCTGATTATTTATTCTGTAAATTATTTTTAAGACCAGTTTTAACATATGCCTGTCCCATATGAGATTCATTAATTAAACCAATATGAAAAAAATACAATTATTTCAAATTAAATATTAAAAAATTGACAAACATCTTCACTATTTCATCAAAATAACAAAGATACACTCAAAATTAAGCATACCCTAATACATTTCCTACAAACTAGAATACATTTACAAAACAACTCCGAAGTTATTTCCATCACACCATCACTTATTAAACCCATTAATATCAGAAATATGAAACAGAAAAACCATGAAATCCAAACATAAACATACAAGAACTCAAGATATACTGCTTTAAAATTAGTCTTATATTTTATTTTATTGTGTAACAGTATTGTTTTTTATTTTTACCAATAAATTTAATACATTTTATTTGAAACATATATATTATCTTTATAATGTAATGACCTGAGTGAAAGGCTTTAAATAGATTTTAATTACAACATACAAGCAAATTAACAAAAGTGTTCTTAACTTGGTATATGTTTTAATTGATTGAGATAATTACATGTTAATAATCAAACCTAATAAATAAATATTTTAAAGTTAAAACAAAGGCAAAGTAACTTTTACAACAAACTGATTTGTTAAACCAATTCCAGAAACTTTAGAACTAACAGAGGAATACAAATTGAACATTAGCACTTCAAATTACCTATTATTGTGATGCATTCGAAGCTTTGGTTGATATCCATGCTGTTCTTCTTTCTCTATCATTTCTGCTAATGCTTTTTGTGTTTCATGAAACGGATCAAACCCAAGATCATCATCCCTAATACAATGCTAAAAAATAAAATAAAATAAATCAATACAAATTAAAAACATAATTTAATTTATTTTAAAATTATGGATATGCTGGATACTTTCTCCCACCATCCGATATATGCTTATCTTCCCCAATCTGGACTACTATAGTAAGTGTGTGTCAAACAGTCTATAGTATGTCTAAAACAAAAGTTTGTCTGTCGAATTCCCTGACTTTTCTTTGCCGTAATTCAAATTCCCTGACTCTCCCCTCTCCCAATGGATAAGAAATCGAAAAAAAAAAAGGGAAACAATAAAAATATTATGTCAATTTATTAATAATAGTATTTATCATGATTGAATAATAAAAAAACAAAGCAATTGAACAAACTTGATCATGTTCTAAATATTATAACAAAAAAAAATAAATAAATAAATTACTATTATTCTCCAATATTAAAAATTATCTAAATATTATAACACCAATAAAAAAAAATGTCTGTCAAGTAAGCTATATTTTTGCTCAGTTACTTTAAAATGCTGCATAAGCTTCAATTAATTTTATTCAATTAAATTAATTTAATATAAAAAACATCTGCCAAGTAAGGTCAGTATAGCTTCCTCACCGTTTTCATTGGCTAAAATATTTAAATATTACAAGGTATATAATTTTTCGTATGAAAATAAAATCTCTGGGAGAAGCCGATTCGGAAATATAGTTACTCTTCAACATTCACGGGTTTGATATCCAGGAATTTCGTTTATCAGCTAATATTAAAATGTGAAATATTGCCGTGTTTGAAGATTCCATATTTGATTATCCTGATTAAAAAAAACAAAGAAAAATGCATACTGAAGATACATTTCACTACTGTTAGTGCAAAAGGTCATATGTAAAAATTGATTGTTTTGTAAGAGGGCATAAAAACTCATTATTTCTTTATGTCTTATTAGTATAATTTCATATTTTATTGTCATCTGATATTTTCCATAGTAGCAGACTACAAAATGTCACCTTTAGCACAAATAGAATTAAGTTGAAAATTTTTATGTACGACCTTTTGCACTAATATTAGTTATATATACTTAATAGTTATGTTTTCACTAATATGGATAGAACTAGAAAATCCATCTTGTTGTTTGTTCGGAGTTAATGAGACCAACACTTTCCTTCAGTCAGATAAAATGCGTTATGCTAGAAAATGTAGAAATATGGGTGAAGTTCACATAACTTTGATATTTAAGGAGGAAATCGAAACCAAGACAAAAATAATAAGTTGAAAATAAAAAGTTGAAAATTTTTATGTACGACCTTTTGCACTAATATTAGTTATATATACTTAATAGTTATGTTTTCACTAATATGGATAGAACTAGAAAATCCATAGGAAAAATTCAACTTGTTGTTTGTTCTGAGTTAACGAGACCAACACTTTCCTTCAGTCAGATAAAATGCGTTATACTAGAAATTGTAAAAATATGGGTGAAGTTCACATAACTTTGATATTTAAGGAGGAAATCGAAACCAAGACAAACTGGTTGAACTTCAATGGAAATAAACACAATCACAAATAAGACTTTTTTTTTTTTTACAAAATCAGAGTAAAAATTACTTTAAATTTACTCAAAATTACATGAAATCTATGTAATGGCAATAAGTGTCATGCCAGTAACGTTTGGAATTGACCAAAAAATACAGTATAAATAAAACCTAAAATTTTATAACTCCATAACAATATTGTAATAACTCAACTCCCACTCCATATGATCAGTGCCTTCCACATTTCACAGTCATTATATTGTCAACAATCATTTATATTAAATGGAATTCAATGATATTGATACTAAGTAATTTCTATACTGTTCTCCAAATTTCCTCCAAGTTTGGGTCAAATCGAATGCCCCATTTTCAAACTATAGGCATATCAAATAACTCATTTCCTGATCTAAAAGTGGAAGTTTTTTTTATTTTTGGAGTAGTAGATAGAATTTGATAAAATTGATGCCTATTTCATTATACGTTTACCAACCCCTGAATTCCCCCCAAATTTGAGCCAAATCGAACTTGTGGTTTTAGAGATAAAAAAGTCTTATTTGTGATTGTGTTTATTTTTATTGAAGTTCAACCAACTCATTGTGGTGTCAATTTCCACCTTAAATATCAAAGTTGTATAAACTTCACTTAATTAGTTTTGTTCTGAATGAAAAAAAAGTATCGGTCTCGTTAACTCCGAACAAACAAAAATTTGAATTTTTACTATGGATTTTACGAGTGAAAACATACCTATTAAGTATATATCACTACTGTTAATGGCAAAAGGTCGTATGTCAAAATTTTTAATATTTATTCTATTTGTGCTCAATATGATATTTTGTTGTTTGCAACTGATGTAAGCAGACAGAGGGAATATAGCAGAGGGCAATAAATATAATATTATACTAATAAATCATAAAGAAACAATTAGTTCTTATGCTCTCATGTAAAACACTAAATTTTTACACACATTAATGTTCAACTTCCTAAAGTTTCCTAGCGTCTGGCTCTTCTTCCCCCACCATCAGTAATTCTTTGTCTTTTTGTCCATTTTTGACAGTAGTTTGTGACAACGTCACTGCCTTCACGCCAACTATTTAAAATCACTATGGAATATTTACATTACAATATATATAGTGTAATTTCAACATTACATGGTATATAAATAGTGGTGCGAAAGTGACAAGAACATGAACTACAGGGAAGAAGTGGGGGAAGCAAGCTCATGTGACAGAGACTGCGACGGGCCGCGAAGAGGGAAGGTGCTAGCGGCCAAGAGAGAAGATTATGAGCCGCTAAGAGAAGATGTGACAAGCTGTCAAGAGAGAAGCCAGCAAGCTGAGAAAATAGAAAGAACCACAAAGTTTAGACTGGGACAGTAAAGGTTTTTGAATGTATAATTTCTTAATGTATGTATCTCGTTTCTTATATGTATTTATTAATTGGTAAATTATAGTTATTAAATGTTGAATGAGTGTTCAGTTGTCAGAACCCAACTTGAGATTAATGTTATGTGTTAAAATAAATAATATATTGAAAAAGGAAACTCGTTGTTTTGATTTATGTTGACAAAGGAAACGTTGCAACATGGCGCCCAACGAGCATGGCTTTTGAGTACGTTACAACATGGCGCCCAACGAGCGTGGCTTTTGAGTACGTTACAATAGATTATTTGTATTATAATGTGATATAACTATAATTTCTATGAAATAGAAAAGGAAGCACAATGAAAATATTTGAATGAAATGAAAGGCTCAAATTGATGTTGAGCTTATATGAAGCTGGACAAGTTCAATAATATTATGGTTATAAATGGGCAATAAGGCGAGATGTATAATATACATTTTTAAGGGAATTAAAAATTTTTCGGAACTGTGATTGTGTTTTGTTTGTATTAATTGTAAAATGTATTTGATCGATCCCCAAAAAACTATGTAATAATTTTTTGAAGGAATGGATTGAGCGATTTTTAACTTTGACAGCTGAAATTACTTAACGAGATCCCGTGAATGTTTTGAAACACTTTGAATACAAAATACAGAAAAATATTTTATTGTATCTCGATCATTAATTGATATGAAATTATATGTGATCATATATTATGAAAATAAAAAATATTTTAATTAAAAAATTAACCTGATGAAGCAATTAACTTTAGCCGTCATAAGCGATAGCTACTTATCTACATAAAAATGTAAGTGGATTCCTTACCTCTATTCATGCCAATATTCAGAAAGCTCCTGGAATCGTATGTTGTTTATACAAACAGATGATAAATTAATGTATTATTAGAAGAATTTAGTTTTATTAGGGTGTGGAAGGTACCCAACTACTTCACCAAGTTTCAATATTCGTAGACACTAACAACCTACTTAAATTTTTATGTAGATATTTTTCTGACCCTTAAGTTGGATGAAGTTATTTGTATAGTCGGTTTTTGTTAAAATTAAAATACATATTTTTTTAAATATATTCAGTTTGTGAGTCATAAATTTTTTAGAAATTCCTTAAGTGTGACAAATATTCCTGACTAATCCAGAAAATTTCCTGACTTATAAACAGTTTTCCTTGTTAATAGATACCCTGTAAATAATGGTCTTAATATTGGATCTCAACTTCTAAAACTAAATAGGATAAAAATAAACTGTTGTTAATTTATAGTATAACTATTAAAAAAAACTTACATGGTCTTCATTGTGACTTTTACTGGAATATCCATTGAATGTTTGTTGCCAATTTTCAGATGAGCTCGGATTTGGTAATAGGTCAGGTGTTTGTGTTGATAAACCATTTAAATGCCAATTGGTAACTAAAAAAAATTGGAATAAAACTTAATTTAAAATAAATGAAATCAGGTTCATTAGTATGATATTGAAAATAGATAGATATTTTTAATTGATAACGTAGGTTTACGAGGCCATGATCATCCAAAATAAAAATTATTTCACTTAAAGTCACTAAAATTCTAAAGAATATACAAGCAGAAGGGCAAATATATAAATCCATCTAATTCTGTATTTTTATTTTGTTATATTTACCTTAAATTTATTTATTTTTTTAATTTACGGCACATAAATATGTGGTGTCTTTCTTAATTTCGAATTTTTAAATGAATTATTTATAGTAATTTGGAATTAGTCTAATTTCAGAAATTTTTACAACACCAGAAAAAAAAAATACTGTATTTTGTCATTTATTTATCCAGAACATATAAAACAACAGTACACAAACATTTTTTTTAGTTACGCAATTATAAATTATCATTCCAAATAAGTCCTCTTCTTTAATAATTTACAAAATTTCTCAGATTCAATTTAGAATGCCATGGCAGAAAAACTGTTGCTTTTTCATGGTAAACCAGCCATCGAGCCATTTTTTTAAAATTTCATAAGATGTAGAGCTCTTCTGAACAAGTGTCAGAAATATTGTTGTCACAAAAACTGGATAGAGCCACTTCAACTTGGCATACCAATCTAAGGAACTGTCTGAGGGCAGCAATAGATTTTCGGATAATTTAGGAAATAAGATTATTCCAGAGCAGATATTGATCAAACATTACCCCAAGATTTCTGATGGAAGTGTAGAAGCAAATAGGCAGCCCATTAAGGTAGAGTAGGGGATAGTAAAGAATGGAATTAGCCATTAGAATAATTTAGAACTAATTAGAATGGCTTTGGTCTTCTCAACGTTCAACATCAAATCATTACCATATTTAAGTATGAACTATCATGCATCTTCTTGAGATTTTTAAAGAATAGATAGATTTTATGACTGCCATTAGTCATAAATAAAATCCAACATGATAGATCGAGAGCCCGTGAGAAAAAATCGACACCATTTGGATGAAAACTTGAAAGCATTTTTTAATAACATTTATATTTTTTAAAAATTAGTCTGCCAGTCGGATCTTGCAATCTGTAAAAATGGCAGCTGATTTAAAAAATATTAGACCAGTAACTTGAGGATCGAAACAGAAAATTTATTGTGAAAAATTTTGGAAAAGTTTTTATTTTTTTAACTTGTATATATGGGTTCATACATATAAAAAACAAAACTGTTAATGCAGGTCTCCATGAAACGCTGCAGCTTGGAAATGAGTTATCTAAGATAAAAACTCATGGATTTAAAGTTGTAGAGCAATAAATTCCACGTCCATTGTAACAACAGTTTCAATGTAGGTCACTTCACTTACTCTGGACCTGGTAATGGATGGCTGGAAATTGGTAATGAAGATATCTGTGATTTTAAATATTTCAACAGTAGGGTGTATATTCTACTGAGTTATTAATGTTAAGTTAGTATATACGGTATAGGAAACTTTTCCACCTCCAGTGTAGGATTTCAAGAAATGGGGGGTTAAAAAAGTGAATTTCATGAAGAAATAAGGAGCCCCGATTCGAGGATATAATTGATTTACATTGTTAAAACCATTAGTTTTAAGTGGATTTGGAATTTGATGCTCTACAACTTTTATTCTATGAGTTTTCTCTCTTAGAGAACTCATTTCCAGGCTGCAGCACCATTTATAGTAATTTGTACCAGTTTTAGACGAATTTGGTAAAAATTAGTGTTGGCTGATCAGGATTATCGACCATACTATTTAACCATATTATTAAGTTTAGGCACTAGCGGGTCCAGGATTTAATTTTTTGGGGGGGGGGCTTCAGCCTGAAAGATTTTTTTTTTCATATACATATAACGATAATTAATTTGAAAAAAAGAAAGTAATTAACTACCTATATGAAATGGTGTTTAAGTGGTTCTTGAAGTCTTATTAAATGTAATTAAACGGACAAAAATACTTACTTTAAGAGGTAGTTTTTAATATTTTATTCTGTAAAACATGATTATATTTTACCATTTTGCGGGGAGGGGGGAATTCAGCCCGAAAGCCCTCGCCGTAGATCCGCCAGTGAGTTTAGGTATAGATTTGACGCACAATTTAATGTTCTTTAATTTCTTATAGAGTGCTTTAATTTCTTATAGATACTGATTATTGGGGGCGGGGTGGCCGAACAGGCTAAAGCGTGTGCAGAACACCGCTAGTTGCCTGGCAACCAGATAACAGAGATTTGAGATGATATAAAAAGTACGAGTTCGCGTCCCGGTGCCGGAGGGGATTTTAAATTCCCCGCCCTCACCCCCCGGCCCGGGAAAATCCCTTTATTTCTTATAGAGTAAGTTTTTTCCTTCGCTGTACCGTTTAGGAGTAACAGTTGAAAAATTAATAAAAGGTCGAAAAAATCTGGCTTTTCGGTTGTAAAAAGTTTTCCTTTGGTAGATTGTGAGAACTTCCACAAACCTTAAATATCAAATGAATGACCTGGACATAAACAATGAATTACAAGGATCATTTTTGCTTAAAAATGATAAAAACCAAAAATAATTCAAAGAATAAATAAAAACACAGCACCCAACATAAAAAATAAGATCAGAAAATAAATGTAAACTATGAAAGAATTTAATGATTAATTAAAGGAGAAAAAAATGAAAATTATTTTCTCAGGTTGAAAAAATATATCTGCAATAATAATAATAATAATAATGGATTGATGGATGACTGTAGTGAATAGTTGAAGAGAAGTTGGTTGGGGTGTTCAGTCAAAAATACAAAGAAAAAATAAATAAATATTTGTAATGATGTAGAGATGGTTGACCATTGATATAATATGGGAAGGAGTTAGTCGGGGTGCGGTCAGATAAATACTAAATTAAAATATAGTAATTATTTTATTTTAATTTTGCCGACGTTTCGATCCACTTTGCAGGTCGTCTTCAGGGCTACAAAAGATACAAAATATATATTTTATTCTCAACATGTTTTGTATCTTTTGTAGCCCTGAAGACGACCTGCAAAGTGGGTCGGCAAAATTAAAATAAAATAATTACTATATTTTAATTTAGTATTTATCTGACCGCACCCCCGACTAACTCCTTTTCAAATAAATATTTATTTTTATTTTTATAAAATGAATATCATTTCTTTATTTTTATTTTGTATTTTTGACTGAACACGACAAACTTCTCTGCAAATAATAATAGCAGTTTAGATATATACAATATGCCATTGAAAAGCTAAAGATTTTAGAAACATCAATACACAAGTTATACAATCATAAAAGATAATGGAGAACGCATAAATAAAACAGATTAGACGGGTTGGGGGAAAATATATAGTAAATAATTATTTTAAATGAATACGAAGTTTATTCTTATAACATAATTTCTTTTACATCAGTAGAAAAATACCTATAGTCGCGGTCATAGAAATTGCATCACCTATTTGTTTTGATTCTTATGTTGATAACATTATCCCATCAAATGCTTTCTTTTTCTTTGATTATTAAGGTTACACAATGTTTCTCAGTTCAGTTTTAACTAATGCCAGAAGAAAAGCTATAATTATGACCTTTATCAAAAACTGTCCTCACCAAAAAACATCAAAGTTTTGAACATAGAAAAAAACAAGTGGATAATTTGACCGCTTAATGGAGTGATTGTTTTTAGAATATCGTTTCATGACTGGAAAAGAAATATCTGGAGATCTTGTAGTAAAAATCTGGTAAATAAAATAAAATTTTCACTGGGTGATGCAATTCCTATGACTGCAACTGTATTTCTACTCATATAACTTGATAAATGAAAGTAAAGTAATGTGTGCACAGCACCAATTTCTTTTTCTTTTATTGAAATAATGGAGAAAAATTCTGATATATAAAATTGAAAAGGCAGCAGGGAATCAGATAGGGAGATAAGAGCAGGACAGCCCACTCTTAGCAGAATTAGACTCGAGGGAGTGCCTTTCTCACTACTAAATGTCGCCCCTATGAAGCACATCCCAGGCGAGTTCATTATATTAATTAAGAGAGGGACTATGAATTAGGTCAATGGATATTCATCTTCTATGATCAACTACCATCTAATGAAATGATAAACAAAGAAAATAAGTTCGGAGATCCCTCAGATAATATAAAAAGAAACTTTTTGACATTTTTTATAAAAATAAACACACTTTGTAGACACGTTTTATTATTTTCTTAATTATCACTAATATAAATAAAATATATATCACCACAGCTGATGAAGTTCCTAACCACGTCTGTCTTCTTTATTCCTATCTCAATACATGAGAGAACCACAAATCAAGGATCCAGATCCATCTAATTAGTTCCAAACCACTATGTCTCCAAGAGTACAATACTGAGTTAGTATTAATTTACTGAGTCTTAAAGATAAATTGAAGAGACATTTTCTTCTGTAGAATAAGCTAATTACTAAGTTTATTTAAACATAGTCATTATTGCTAAGTATGGAGCTTTATCCAATATATGGTGTTAACACTTCCGTAATGTAACAGTTGGGAATAGAGTAATAAAAAGAAAAAAATTAAAAGGTTTTGATAAAATTTCCCTCTGTAACAGAGTATTTTGAAAGATCCCAATTAAAAAGACTGAAGTCTCAGTCTTAGACAGAGTATGGCGAGTTTTCTACACTGATTAATCAGTATGTTTTTCTTTAATATAAAAAAATATACAATTGTCATAGTTTTCAATACATAACATTATATATTACATACATTATGTAATAAATAGGTCATGAGTGATAAGCATTAGAGATGAGCAGGTGAATCAAGAACCGAATCAAAGAGTCTATTTCTCTGAAGGAATTGATCTCCCAAGCAATTCACACGAAAGAATCACAATTCACAAACCCGGCGAATCGATCTGGATGATTCAACGATTTAGTCGGAATTGGCAATTCCCGATTCCTCAGAATGCAATTCTAGATTCCTTAAAAATCGGCCGATTCCCGATTCACCAGTTTTGTTCTAGGAAATCTTCCAGTCGTGTTTAATTTCTTGTTATATTTACTTTCTGAATCTACTTTTCCACCAGCATTTCATATTCGGGCATTTATAACCTACGCTTATTTACATTACTATTTCGTTTATTGTTTCTCTGTTTGTCTTATTTATATATATATGTACAGTTTTTTCTCTCTTCTATTTCATTTCTAATTACCTATTATTATATATTTAATTTAATGTATGGCCATATTGTCATATTTAATTTTTTTGTATTTTAAATTAATTCTACAGGGTTGTCAGTCCCAGGATAATAAAACTTTATTTATAATATATATACACAGGCCAAAATCTAGTGTATAAGATAAAAAAAAAAAAACTTTTTCTGTCCAACTTAAATTTACTTCCTATTTCCAAGATTTAGCACTTTTTATTTGTATATATTTGGGACTTTTAATTCCAATAAGTTGAAAAAAAAAATTGTTTTGCCTAAATTGCCATAAGGTTTGAGAATGTTTATTTTAATTAAAGATTCTTTTTAATTTAAAGAAAAAAATAATATGAAAAGAATCAATCGAAGAATCGTCCATAAGAATCGATTCAGTTAAAAGAATCGAATTTCCCACCTCTAATAAGCATTTCACAGTTAAGTTTTAGTCCATTACAAGTTTTTTTCCAATTAGTTAAGTATAATTATTTTCCTTCTAATTATTTTTGGCTGCTAAATTCAAGGTTCTAGGTTCAGATCTGGCTGATGTGAAGTAATTTTTCATCATTCATGAATCGATCCTGGGTTTAGGAGACCTTCCTGGAGCATATCCAGCCTCCATAAAGCGGGTACTCTAATTAAATAATTAATCAAGAGGAAAACCTGAAGGATGAGCATGAGCTTGGCTCTATCAGCTCCATCAGTTTTGAAACAGTACTTCCTAACAATGAAGTGAACCCAAAATCTTTCATGAATTGCAGTGGTACAGATGTTTTAATTTCTTTTATTAGCTTATATAAGGAAGCTCATTTCTGAAGCGAATTATAATCATTGATGAGACATGGATTCATCAGTTAAAATCAGAGAGGATGTGACAAAGTTTGGTGTGGAAACATACTTTATATCCCATAGCAAAAAAAGTTCATCTGAATTTTGAAGTTAAGTGGTACACTTCCAAAAGGCATGATTTGTCTTCAGGATACTGCTTTGTTTTCATAGGACAGTATGAGTTCTGTGTCTTCAAAATCTCAATTTTCAACTACTGGACCATCTGCCGCCATATAGTGCAGACTTGGTTCCAAGCTATTATCATCGTTTTGGCCCATTAAAAGAGGAATTATAAGGGAACAATTATCAAACTGATGAGAAGACCGAAAATCTTCTTCCAGAAAGGGATTAAAATTCTCATTAGAAGATGGACTAAGTGCATTGAAGTAGGAGGGAATTATGTTGAAAAGTTAAAATAGCATCATTTATGTATGTACAAAAAATATATTTAAATTTTTTTCAATTTTCTTTGACTTTTAGACTTTCCCTCCTATATTTCTAATACCTGTAGATATATGTACTAAAAATATATGTTTACATGGCTTTTATATAATCTGTAAGGATTCAAGGTACAAAAAAAAAGAAGAGAAAAAGTTGGAAATAAAAAACAAGCTTCTATCACATCTATTTGGGAATCGTCTGTAATTCTTGTCATGACAACTTCAAGCCTATGCTACACACCGTATGGTGTTGCAAAAATTGATCTTAAAAAAGCAATTATTTGTCTATTTGCAACTAATGAATAAAGATAATTTTTTTTTTCATTTCTTATCTAAAGCAGAGGTCTCTAAACTTTTTGGCCCGCGGATCATAGCTTGTAAAGAAAAAAATAATCGTATTCTATAAATGACACTTCAGTTGTGAGATAAGCTTTTAAAGGGATAAAATCGATGCAATAAATATTGTAGTAACCTCATGTGTAATTTGCTAAATTTCATATTTTTAAAATTTTATCACATAATCAAGAGCCATTCGCAGATCGGATTGAATGTGCTTATCTTTCTATTCGTTATTCGTGTTTTTAAAATAAAAATTGGAACAATTGAATTGTCAGCATCTTTTAGCGAGCTTGCCTGAAAGTAAAAAGTGTAAACATTTTCCCTTTTATCATGTGAATGAGTGATCAGTTTTCAGGATTTGAACTATTTTTCAAGTTTAAAAATATACTAAAATAAAAAAAGTGTGACAATTTTCTTTTGCTTTTTATCTTTTTTATCTTGTGAAAGGATGATGAGATTTTCATGGTTTAAACTATTTTCTAACAGCATAGGAGTAGGCTAAAATGAAAAATCTGGTGCAGTGCATGCATCACACAACTCTTACTTATGTTACATTAATAAGCCATATCATATAACTCCTCGGATATGATGATAACATTGATATCGCAGGAAGTTTATTAGAGATTGCTAGGAATGCATTTATAGCATTAAAGAATGCTGGCACTAAAATGGTGCTACTGGTAAACTTCAGTAAAACCAAATACCTTAATGCGAATCCCACAATGTTGGGTCATGTAACAAATATATTAATAGAAGGGCAGGTAATTGGAAAGGTTGAGGATCACAAGTAAACAAAATGAATGATATTGGTGCTGAAATCAAAAGGAGAATAGTAGTCACAAACAGGTGCTATTTAGCACTACAGAAACATCTCTGAAGCAACCTATATTGAAGCCCTTGAAAATTCGAATTTATAAATTCTATCTTGTAACTTACTAACTTATGAATCTTCAACATGGACCCTAACTTGAGCTCAAGAAGCTTTAATATTACTTGTTGAAAGAAAAATTCTGAGAATATACGGGCTATTTTTTTCAGAAAGGCTTATGGAGTAGAAGGACAAACGTAGAGCTAAAAGTAATGTCCAAAGACATTAATGTAATCCAACACATCAAGCTTGGAAGGTTGCGCTGGGCTGGAAATGTGAGGATGGGAGACAAAGAGATTCCTGCCAAAATATTCCAGGAGCAAATGTTCAGAGTTTATCGCGAAGACAGACCATAGCTTCACAGGAAGAAATGTGTTGCTTCAGATGCCCAAGCTATACTTAATGTCTGTAGTTGAATCACAGTAGCACTCGATAGAGAAAACTGGTGATCAATGTTGAAGCAGGCCAAGACTCAACTTAGTAGGTCGTAGAGCCGATGAAAGAAGAAAAAGATTTTTATAACTGAGAAATGTATTATATTTATGCTTTATGTACCTCAAAACTTGTATTTCTATTGAAGAAACGGAGTAGAAAATTTCATTTACTATTACTTTCCCTTTCTAAGTTTTTCATATATAGCTAAGTGAAGGTAAAAGGATAGTAAAAATTTTTAATTCTCTTTTCCTCATGAACGGATGATCGAGTTTTCAAATTATTTTCTGATAGTTTATTTAGAGGTTGGTAAAAAAAGAAAATGGTACGAAAAATTTAATGGAAGATTGGTTTTCATTAAAAGATTTTTTTCCATTGAGTCTACCTCTAAACAGTATGAAAATTGTTTGAACAATGAAAACCAATTTCCAACTGATGAGATAAAAGAGGAAAACCTAATGAAAATTTGGAAACTCTTTATAATATTTTCCCTTTTAGCCTTAAGCCTACCTTAAACAGTATGAAAACAGTTTGACCCATAAAAAACTGATCATCCAAAAGCAACAAATTTTATAGTTCAGATATAAGCACTTCTAATACATTCTGACCAAATATATGAAGAATTGTGACTCTGGGATCGGATGATATAAAGAAATTGAAAATATCTGTTAAATTATCTTATATAGATGTTTTTGTGCTGAAATTTTTTCATAAGTGAATGTTTTGTATATGAACTTCAATGATATGTATACATCATTATAATACATTCACCTATCATTTTAACCCTACCAGTTTCATGAAATTTTCAGAAATTGTTCAAGTTGGTAACCATATGACCCCAATTTCAACAAATTCCATCCAGCCTTATTCTGATCAGGGAAATTCAAGCAGAATTCCCAACCAACTTCAAGGAATTCAAGGCTTTTGGACACCCCATTTTAACCAATAATGAAGGCAGCAAATCCTCAGAAAATTTTGTTATAAGGTATAAGTTGTCACTTTTAAAAAAAATTAATATTTGATTTAAAGTAAGTGGTAAAAGACATGTCAGTCAAAGCATTGGCCATTTAAAAAGTATTTTTAATCATAATAACTTGTCAATTATGATTACATAAAAGAGCAAAATATTAATTTTTGAGTTTTGTAGATTTTTTTTTTTCTAAAGTAGCAATATATAAATATTTAATTATTCATAGATGTACACTCACAAAAGCATGTATGTATTAAATATTAAGTTTTGAGTAGTGCCAGTCTTCATCCAATCTAGCAATATGTCCTGAATTTATCTCAGAATAGCAATCTCATATATGCTTTATAGATTTAAAGTATTAAAGAAGTTTCTGAGTAGAGGTATACATACTAAGTTGCCTAAACAACTTATAACTTTCTTCAAAAATAAATTAAACTACTAATAACAGTACAAGAAACAAATTAGCCAAATTTGAATTTTTAATCAATTTTTTAATGTACACAGTAGACCTGCTGCAAAACATATTCGTACCTGTTTGTTGTGTATTTTGTCTTATAACATTTGGTGAATGAGCAGAAGTTTCTCCATTTCTTGATCTGTAACCAGCATTAAAATTACGACAATACGGGAATTCACTAATGTCTTTGTAACTGTTGTCTCCATTGTGGTTCATAAATTCGTTAGGATGATTTTGAATAACATCACTGCCATTATGTTCCAAATAAACACTACCTTCTTTCATAACTTCATTGTACACTTCACTTTTATTGTCAGATATATCACTGTTATGAAGTATTCCATTAGTTTCTGAGCTTATATCACCAAAAGATTCTTGTATATGGTTAGTTGAGCTAATCCCCACCTCTTTCTGCTTTCTAAAAAAAATAAAAAAAAAATTGAAAATTAATATAATTATTAAGAATTTGGCCATTATAATTACTTTTAAAAAATTGAAATAACAATAATTATGTATAGTGACTAACGGTCTGTCTACACATATGACAAATATTTGGAAAAGTGTTTAATAATGAATACTGGCAAGTAGTGTGGCCGCTAAATTTGGCAACTGTCTGTCTAATGCGTAGCCATACCATAAGGATTCATTCATGGGTAGGAGAAGGTTGGGGACTCACAGTAACTATTAAAACCTCTTGAAGTGCTAGGGGTAAATATACGTGTTTGATGCCCACTATTTCTTGAACAGGGACCAAGTTCTTTCCTGTTAAATTAAAAATCGAAAAATATTTCATAAAAATCTAATAATAGAATTAGAGATATTAAACTAATTACTTTTATAACTAAATAAACTAAAAACTTTGAGACTAATACTCTATTGAAAAGGCTTACAAAACATCAGTCAATTCATTCATTTCCAAGGTATTAGATGTTAAAAATTTTTGTTTAAAATACATGTTAATAGCCAAAAATTATAATAAATAAAACACCAAACATTAAATTAAAATAAAAAAACATTTATCAATTAAAGAGGTACTAAAACCACACATTTCTAAGGAAATTAAATGAAATTTCCTGACATAATGTAATTTTTTAGAATTGTTCAAATTTGAAAAAAAAAGTATATATCCCAGTAAAAATCCACTGAATAAAGGCAATGACATAGTTTAAAAAACTATTTCATTGTATTTAGATAAAAGAAGTGAAATATAAAACTATTTGTAAAACATATGTTTATAACATTAAATATATTTATTGTAGTTTAATAACTCTAGATCGGATATTATATTTAAATAATTAGATACTTATCGTTGGCTTATTCCTAAAGTTCATCATGTAAAATTTTAGAAAATTAAATTAGTGCATAATATGATGTTTTCCCTTTATGAAATCACATTATCCGCTTACAACTAACTAATGAGACAACTTTTGACCTATATTGGTTAAAAATACAGATATACTTTCAAATCTCTCTAGGCATATTCAGCTCAGAAACTGGAGTTATGTGGTTTACAAAAGCAGATGGATTTAGGTGTTTATTGCCAACTGTCAATATAATTAATAGAGTTTGTGTGATTTTAATGGTATTAATGAGCTCTTAACTGTAAGGTTTAAGCTTTAGCTTCATTAAAAATGCACTTCAAACATTTTATAATAGCCCAACATAATTTCAATTCAAAGTAGAGTTGCAAGTAAAAGTTGTGTGATGAGTGCACACTAGATTTTTAAATTTATAAATGAACAATCCTATAATTATACAAAATAAAATCTTCACATCCCACCATCGCTGGGAAAACAGAACAAAACAAAAGTTGTATGCTATCCAAAATACAGCTAAGAACCAATAATCTTATGAGAACGTTAGTGCCCAGTTGGATGATTAAATGCATTCCAAATCTCAGGAAAATACAGTGGGAAACTGTAACTGTAAATGGGAAACGTTTTCTTATCTTCAACTTTTTTCTGAGATTCCCCAAGAGAATATAATACTTTTAAAAAAATAAGATATATGTTTGAAAAATGGGGAAGGAAAGGAAAGTCTATAAGATTGTTGATACGGGCTGCTAACATGTATACAATACAAGATATTTTTTCTTTCTTTATAGCAACCTCAAATCGGTTTTTCCATTACTACATAAAAATTCCTTATAAACAGTTAAATAAATTTACTAAACGGTTCATACGAAGAATAGATGCATAAACATTAATTATATATCATTGATATACACATAATAGTTTTATTTTTCATAGAAACTGCCTTCTTAGAAGTTAACATCTCGATTGCAACTGCATTGAATTATTATTTATAGCTTATTATTACTTATTAAATTATAGTTATTTAACTTTAAATTAAAATAAAATTTAATAAAGAATAAATAATCTTGTTATTTTCAATTCTCTCAAAAAATTTCAATGTTCAAGGAATTTCAATAGAAAATTAGTCTCTAAAATGAATATTACATTGTTAATTACATTAAAAATTTAAATGCAGCAATATATAGTACAATGTAAACCAAAATAATGAATCATGGTCATGAAATAAGGCAGCACATTTGTTTAGTACTCCTAGATTAAAAACAATAGTAGTCAAGAATCATTGCTTTGAAGCAGTAACTGGCATTGGTGAAAGTCCAATGTTACTAAATATTTTTTTCACTGGAGGAGGCTGCTGACAGTGGGTTACCAATTTCAAGCAAATTTATTTTGGTGATACTACATCAAAAAATATTGGACACATCCCGGCGTTCATTCCAATGGGCCCTAGGAGTAGAGAAAAAAATATTTTATATAATATCAAACAAAATTTATTGCTTTGCCTGGATTTTAGGGTACTATATTTCAATTGATTTGTTTTTGTGCAGAATAATAAAATAATATTGTCTATTTTTAAGAACTGTTGATGTAAAGCCTTCTGCTGCTTACACTTTAAGATTTGTTTATTAATGTAAAAACGACACAAGCAAACTTCATATGTAAAAAATGAAAATATTTGTTAATACTACATGTATAAAATCAAAATTTATTTGTTATAACTAAACTTAAAGAAAAAATATTATCTAATGGGAGGTTAGAGTCAATGGGTCATCGAATTCAACCAAATTTATTTTGGTGATACTACATCAAAAAAAGATTGACACATGTTCCGGCATCGTTCTTACCGTTAAACAATTCAACCGTGTCACTTTGTCCCTTACCTTTGCTGGGACAGATAACCCCTAACATGGTCTTCTGAATAGGGAAAGATTGCAAAAGAGTCCTTACTTACTTGGCCCTATTGGATCCCGGTTCGAATAACTCATATGTCAGGGCAGAAAGGGTGGAAATTCTCCATCAATAAGGATATGTTGTTGAAAAAATTCCTGAGTGGGAGACTGTTCGCATGACGGGGCACTATATGTTTTAGTATCGCTTCCATTTGTTTCAGTTAAGAGTTAGACTTTATAGTTAAAACCAATATGTACACGAGTCTTCGTGAACAGATCTGGTGGTTTTAAGATTATTCTAACCATTACTGGGGTATTCTTTATTCCTCCGAAAAGTTGGATATCAATAGAGTACTCCATGAAGGCTTGCTATTTCCAAGATTCTCTGGTATTAACAAGGGTCGCCAGTGATACTGGTGTTGGAGCGGTCTTAACTCATTCACAAGATGGAGAAAAAGTCATATCTTTTTGTTCTCATACTCTTAAGTCCAGCTGAAAGAAATTATACTGTGACCAACAAAGAATGCATAAAGTTATTTGTTTATGGTTATTACTGATCATACAAAGTCTTAAGTGGATACTGAATTTGAAAAACCCTTCAGCCGTTTGGCTCGATAGAACCTGGTTGGTTGATATAGGACAGTTATTATACCACCGAAAGAATCCTTTGAAGGGAGAGCTTGAGAATCCCAGTGAAGAATGGAAGGTGTCATTATTCCTTGACATCCACGGAGACATATAATATATGATAAACATGATCTAGAGTCGGGCCACCTTGGCATAGATAAAACTGTTATTAGGATTAGTAGGCAATATCATTGGCCTAGACTATATTGCGATATTAGCCAGTCTGTGAGTCAATAGCTGTTCTTTTCTGTCCTGAATTAGCGAAACGTTGACAGGTTTGTTTTTTTCCTGCATTTTGGAGACATAAGGCTGTGTGGTTTGGAATGTTTCCAAATTATAACCTAAAACTTATATTTTTTAATTCTGTCTCTTGATTAATAATTTATATTAACATATTTTTTACTTTACTACCTATAGCAGGTAAGGAAAGTATTGCAATCGGGTCAAATTTCCGATGTGCGGTTTTCGACGGATGTAAACATTTCAGAGCCCCATGAGACCGAAGAACACATTTTCAACCATTGGTCTGTCTGTCTGTGCCAAGATTATCTTTGGAACTAGTAGGCTGATTTTGTTGTTTCTTTTTTTTATTTTGTAGAGTTTAGACTACTGATGCTTGTGACACAAATTGGGTAGAAGGTTTTTTTATCTTATGATATCTTATTCTTATTTTACCTTTACTAGATCATTAATAATTCATTTTTCAATTTCTTTCTTCATTAAACCTCATTTTCTTTATCTGTTAACCTACAGTTATCAAATGTAATCTTTACCAGTTTGTTATCCACACACTCATATCTTATATTTTTTATCACAATCTGTTTACTTTTAACTAACATGCTATATTCACCTTTATTTCTATTTTTGTTTGTATCTTTTTATATATCTATATATATATATATATAAAATATTTGATATGTTAACCACGCTATCACCCACTATATCTCTGATATCATCTTATTATTTCTTGATCAGACAACTGTTTCTAACTTTTGTTTATTTATTTTTTTCTAGGCTGTTCTTACAAGTATTTTACAACCGGTAAGCCTCATCAAAATCAAAATAGATACCCCCCGATCAACTCCTATTCATATTATAATCACGGTCAACCATCTTTACAGCATAATAAGTTTTATTTGGTTATATGTTCTCTTATACGAAGAAAATATAATTATTGATGTTTGGTTCCGATGGACTTTCATTATTTGAACTACCTGAACCTAAACCATGTCACAATTAATAAATAAGTCTTAAAGTGTGAGCAGCAGAAGGCTTTACATCAACAGTTCTTGAAGACCCTAAAGGCTGTCCTTATCAATGGAAACAAAATTTTCATTCTTTTATGGGCTCATTCTATAATGCTCTGAGAAAATTCAATAACCAAAATTAGTGCTGTAAACTTTAAAGTGCAACTAGCCAGTGATATGGCATTTTAAGATGGTTAGCTGCTAGACAGGTACACCAAGACCCAAACTTTGTGTCATCAATTTGCTCCTTATGACCTGTCTTCAAATGGTATTTAATTTATCATGTCCATCATAATAATCAAAATGAGTCATAAAAAGTAAAATAAAAAAAACCAATGTTAGTGCATTCGACATTTAGAAAATGAAGTGCTCATGAAAATAAATGATATGATTGCAAGCCAGAAAAACTGAAATGGCAAATAAAACTTCAGAGTTAAGAATTGATTTTGAAAAAGTAATTACAGAAATAATTTTAAAATTCATTACCTGCTAATTTAATCAAGTCTTTTTTTTTCTAATGAAAAAATCCTTCCTTATTCCATGCCCAAGATTGTAAAAAAAAAGAAAGAAGTATAAATCTACAAAAACAGATTTATTACCTGTTGTCTTCAGAACAGTTCCTACTTTTAAGTTTCACAAAATTATTTTGTTTTCTATGATCAGGCTTAAAGCTGCTGTTCAAAGGATTTAATGAATCTGGAGGCGATGAAGACGGAGCAACTCCAACTATAACTTCATAAGAAATTTTTTTTTAATAACAAATTCTACAGAGGCAGTAAAATCAATAAAATATAGCATCAATACCTGATGGATTTTGATGATTAGGATGCAGAGAAGGCCACGCTTCTTTACAGCTTTGTTGTACAGAAACTGTTGGTGGAGAAGGAGTTGGTTTCCTGAAAAAATCAGTAATGACCAAAGAACTAAGTAGAAGAAATAAAAATAGAATATATCTTTAACTTCACATCCCCTTGTGACATAGCTAAGTTAGGAAGTACCGAATTCTATGAATTTTCCTACTTAAATGATTATTTTAGAGAATTCTGTTGACTTTCGAATCAACATACACATAATTAACTAAAAAGTGTGTAATTTTTTAGTTGCTTACAAAATAAATTCCGCATTTATCATAACTTTTTTTTCAACTTCATTTTGTAAAAATATGTCATAAACTTTAATTTTTAGGGCTACAATGAGTAAACTAGAATTGTTAATGTCCATATCCATCAACTTGTTTCATGACCATTGCTCAACTCTTAGACCATTGCAGCAAGAGGGGCCTAAAAGACGAGTTTCTGAAGTTAATTTACGAAGCAGCTTTAATTCCCAAGATACTTTACACTGTAACAATCTGGCACGAAACGATTAAGAAAAAATTTAACCTTCAACAGCTTCAACGATTGCAAAGACTCATTGGCATCAAAGTTGCCAAGGCTTACAGAACAATCTCATACAATGCAGCATGTGTACTGGCTGGAATAGTTCCTACTGATGTTAAAATTAAAGAGTTAGTCAAGCTATCATCAATCAAACTACTAAACAGTGGCTGTGGGGAAATTTTATACAACGCAATAGAAAATGAATACGAACCTATAAATTGATTACATCCATCATGCTAGGTTATATGCAGAAACTAATACAAACATTACAAATAGATACAAAGACGGTAATAATGCAGGCTGCGCATGGGTGCTTTGGAACATAAAGGGGACAATGGTTAGTGCGCCAAGTTCAAGCTTGGCGCAACATATTCCAACAACCAGGCCGAAAAGTACACTCTTGTAAAAGCTACAGAATACCTTCTTCACCTTCCAACTGACAAACACCAAGATGTCTTCATACAAACAGATAATATGATCTTAATACAATCTGTCCTAAATCCAAGCATATACGACCAGCTCACCGAAACTATTAGCATAAAGTAACATTCATAAACTACGGCTACTAAATTTCGAAATAAAAATAAAATGGGTCAAAGGAACGAGATAGCTGACACTTTTACAAGAAACTAAGAGATTTAGCACTACCAGATTAAATTCATAACTGTTTTGTATAAATGGTAAATAAAATTGAAAAGCTATCATTTAAAATTCAATTTCCTTTCTTACCGACTAAGTGATGTAGATAGCAACTGCTCATGTAATTTCTTTTCATACTCTTGATGTTTTCCTTGTTGCATTTCTTCTTTAGTAAAACTTGCTTCTGGATCACCTATAAGAATAGAACATAAAATATTTCTCACCAATATAGTCTACAGATTCATATTAAAGAAAGAAGCAATTGCTCTCGAATAATTATTAATCTGTAAAAGCTAGAATTTACAATTTACATGGTAGACCAATGGTCTCTTACATATTTAAATCTATAACATTTTATATTGTGATTAAAACTAATGAAAATTTTTTACATTAGTTGTAGAAAATATCGGTTAAGTATCCACCATTAGAATTCAAGCATACAGCATTACAATTCTGAGTGAACAAAAATGAGAATATTTATTTCATTTATGTGGTACTAATGAACACAATATTCATAAAATAATGAACTTGTTGCAAGAAAAATTTCTTAAACAGTGTTATCTCAAAAAAAGGGAGATTTCAGATAACAACTGCAATTGCCTGGTCTGTCGGCTTCAGACTTTTTCCTGTGTGTCTACCTGAAGTTCTAAAGAAAGTAAACATTCAGGCAGAAATCAAGCATAACACGGAAATAAAAATAACTAAAGGCACACATTTTTTTTTAACTTTTAAATAAAAACATTTTGAGCAATAGATTTCTTTTCATGTTGACTTCTTTCTAAGCAAATTTAGAACATTTTATTAAGATAAATGGATAAAATGGTGAACAGATGACAAAGGTGAAATTGAAAAAAATAATTAATTTTTTTAAGAGTAATGAGGAATTCAAATAAATATAGAAAATATTAGAAATCAGCAAATGTTTAAGTTCCTTAATTTTTTTTTTTTTTTTTAATATATTAAAGTTTCAAATAAGAGTTTAAAAACACAATCACAAACACAATCTCAATAAGGGTTTAAAAACACTATTTTGTTTACAATCAAATCAACTTTAAAGTACTTGTTTTAAACACTCACAACTATCCATAAAATGTGTTCCTAATATTCAACTGCAGATATCAGAGAAGTAAATTAGAAGTCTGATAACTAAAATATATTATAAATTAAAAAAAAATATTGAGACTTAGTAAAATTTAGTCTTCAAGGCTCAGTTGTGCCAACAAGTACATATCAAGTTATCATCTAATTCTCTGTTTGAAGTTAGTTAACAATAGTTTGATTTTTAAAGGTTACTTGTGGGTGGTCTGGTACCCTTACCTGGTACATCTTCTGAAGATTAATTTTTATTTGGAAACTATTCCATCGCTTATGAAATATCTTACCCAAACATGCATAGACTTCTAAATTTCTTTCCTCATCTTCCTCTCTCCCTTCGACTATGGTAGTGTAGTGTATGGTCGAGGTATATTCATAAGAGAATTATGAATAGCTTAGAAAGATTAGTCAATAGGACCCTAAGACGTTCCCGCATCTCCCAATAATATGCTTAGTTAGGGTGTCTTTTTCCCTCCTTCTTAAGCCAATTTTCTATTAGCACTTTCTCTAGTCAAATTATCAACAGCCATTGTCTATTCTATGTATACAATCTTCTCCAATTTAAATCCTTTTCCTTACCAAAAGAATTTGACCTTCTGACCTTGATGCCCCTTTTCACAAATCTGCCTCATTCCAAAACTCATTTGTTTTGGAATCCACTCTGCTACTTGTTGAAATTCCCTCTTTCAAAATCCACATTTAAAACTCTATTGCAATTCTTGTTCAGAAAACAGTCAAACGCCAGCTAATCATGTACTATGTAACAGTGATTTATTTCTATTGTTCCTATATTACTTATGACCTTGTACATATATTTCATATAACTTTTCGAAGAATTATAGTTCTGTTTTACACTTTAATATTACTAATATTTCATTCGATCAATTTCCTTATTAGTATTTTTTTTTTTTTTTCTGTTAGCATTATAGACCATTTAGATCTTTTGCCGTAGAGCTTAATAAGCTTGCTCTATCTCTGCATGTCTTGGGCTATTTCTTTCCAGTTATCTGCACACAGCTCTATTGCATCTTTGTTGATTCTGTCTATCCACCTGCTTTTTGGCCTTCCACATGGTCCTTAGCCTTCTATTAAGGTATTCATTGTTATGTAGAGGCTTCCAGATAGATTGCTATGAGCAACATGCCTTGTTGCACATGCCATCTTACATACATGCCCCGCCCCTCTCTACCTCTGTGTCTTCATATCATGGGATATTGATTGATCAGTTTCTGTAAGCAGTTCTTTATTGGTCTTTGTTCTCCATGTGTTAGTACTCTGATCCCAGATTGCTCCGGTTATCATGTGAAGGATCATCCTCAACTTTTTCCAGAAATTTCCATTCAACCACCAATTATGCCTTTCATTCATCCCGGATCAGATTCAGCCAAATGCTAATTTATTTTCATACTACATAGTCTTCTTTGACAATTCGTGGCCTTGGTTTGAGAAGGTTCTAACTAACAAATTTGAGCAAACTGAGTTTAGTGAATAAAAAGAGTCCCAAGCGCATTATTCATTCAACTCTACTTAGAGATGGCCATTGATAGTCGATATTAACGAAATATCGATATTTGCCTCTACTGCATTACTACATTCTATATGAAACAGACAAGATGAGTCTAATATTTTTTCTAACGATCTGATTTATAAATAATTCCTAGCTCTTTCCGAAAGTTTTAATTTTAATTTTCAAATTAAATATTAAAATATCGAAGAGACGATATAGTCAAACATATCGAAGTAGATACTATCGATGGTAAAATATTGAATATCGGAAGGAAAATATCGATATTTCAATAATATCAACTATCAATGGCCATCCCTATGTAGAATTAAAGAGTGCGTGTGGTACCGCTATTAACTCAGGAAACTCAATTTGCCCAAATTTGTTTGAACCTTACCAAACCAAGGCCAAAGAAATCTATGTAGGATGCAAATAAATTAGCATTTCGCTGAATCAGATTTATGAGTGAATGAAAGACATAATTGGTTTTATTGAAATTTTTGGAAAAAGTTGAGGATGATGAAGATGGGCAGGAACTAGAAAATTAATATTACTAAGGAGGGTAGAAGGATAGGTATTTCCATTAATTAATTTCAAGAAAAAAATCAGATTTTTTTTTATGTGCCTACGAGGGTGGTCTGAAAAGTTTCTGACCGCAACATGAAGATGACAGCACTCTTAAATAAAAGCAAGTGAATTTTGTTGTCCATCTGTTGACAGTTACAAAACAAAGTTTCAGCCATTTTGGATGCACAGTTTTTATGTAATAGTCGTTTAAGTGAATTGATATGAGTGTTTTTGTGAAAACGGACAAAATCAAGTATCCAATTGTCATTAAACATTTGTTTTTGAAAGGCAATACGCCTACACAAATCAAAGATGAGTTGGATTCTGTGTATGGGGACTCTGCACCATCATTTACCACAGTGAATTTTTGGGCAGCTGAATATTAACATGGCCGTAAAAGCTTGGGAGATGATGAATGTTCGGGACGTCCAAAAACTGCCACTACTGATGAAAACATCGCCAAAATTCACCAAATGGTGCTAGAGGACCGCCGAATCAAAGTGAGAGAGATTGCAGAGGTTATGAACATGTCAAATAAACTTGTTTGTTACATATTAAATCAACATTTAGATATGAGAAAGCTGTTTGCACGTTGGGTGCCGCGTTTGATCACGTTAGACCAAAAATGTGTTAGATAGAACATTTCCAACACTCTGTTGGCGCAGTTTAGACGGAACAAATCTGAGTTTTGGCGCCGATTAATTACTGTAGATGAAACTTGGATAAACCATTATACGCTTGAGACAAAAAAAAACAGTCTAAACAGTGAACTGCTAAGGGGGAACCGGCTCCAAAAAAAAAGCAAAAACTGTTTTCTCGGCTGGGGAAGTGATGGCGACTGTTTTTTGGGATAGTCATGGAGTTATTTTAATCCACTATCTTCAAAAAGGAAAAACCATTACAGGAGCAAACTACACATCATTACTTGACAAGCTGAAAGTAGAACTTACGGAAAAATGGCCACATTTACAAAAAAAGAAAATCCTGTTTTACCAAGACAACGCACCATCTCACAACTTGCCATAGCGAAAATCCACTAATTACGGTTTGAATTGCTTGACCATCCACCTTACTCACCAGATCTAGCCCCAAGCGATTTCTTTTTGTTCCCTTATCTAAAAATTGGGCTCGGAGGACAGAGATTTTCGTCAAATGAAGAGGCAATCACCTTTATGAACAATTAGAGAAAAAATACTGAGTACTTTTTGGACGGGTTACAGAGATAGGATCATCGTTGAGAGAAGTGTGTAGAGTTACAAGGAGACTATGTTAAAAAATAAAAAAAAAAAGATCGGAAAAAATGTCTTGTATTTTTGTTAGGTCATAAAACTTTTCAGACCACCCTCGTATGTGCTTAAGAATCAATATTTATATTGATATTTCAAGTTTGATATTTTGATGGTATCGATAGTTATAGGCCGATATTAGCAATGAACAATATTGATATTGGGCCTTCGATATCCCATCCCTACCAGAAAGCATAAGCATGCATTATTGTGAGTAGCAATTTATACTCTTTTAACTTCATTATTCACTAATTTGCCCAAGATTTAACATTCCAACTTTAATTATCACAATAGATTAAAATTTAAAAAAGTTTTGTCAATAGAATTAAAATTAAAGAAGTACTTAATTTGAAACACAACATACCAAGTTCATGTAGGTACATACAGTCGGCTTTTGGACATGGCTGGTTTTTCATGAAATGTGAACAGTATTTGGTTGTACCTAAAGAAGTTTTGACTGTCCGCCCGTCTACTACTATATTATTTACAGACTGAATTGCTCTTAAGGCATCATCACTCTTCTGATAAGTTACATATGCACTAGCACTTGGACCCTACAAAGAAAAATGAATGAAATAAGAAATGATCATACAATTTTAATAAGTTCCTCTATCCGCCACTTACATTGCTCCTATATTGAATAAAACAATTAAATAAGGTACAAGTATGTTGTTCTCAGTGGCTTGTGTCCACAAAGTGTTCGTGTAAAGGTATCAGAAAGGAAGGGATAGCATGCTCAAGATTGCTTTGGAGCAGGATTGGATGGAAGCATACAAAGTTGGTAAAAACATAAATAAAATATATTTAAAAAAACCTATACCACTACAACTCATGAAAGGTCTTGGGTTCAGTACTATTTAGAGAAAGCTCTGTTTCTTGGTCCACAGTTGTGCAATGAAGTGATTTGACCGAGATCACGCTCAACCACCAGGTTTTTCCCCTAAATTAATTATTTTAATTAAGGGTACCCACTTTCTAGAGGCTGGGTGTGCCCCAGAAGGTTCTACCTACCCAGAGTCACTCCACGGATAATGAAACAGAATAAATAATTTTTCTGCCATGAGTCGGGATAGTAACCTGGGACCTTTAGCATTGGAAACTCAGTACCCTAACACTGAACTACCCCACTCCCAATTTCTGAACATTATTTAACGTAGATCACATGTTTCCAAGGAAATTAAATATTTTCTTACTAAATGTAAACTTCTAAAAACTGTTTTAAGTTTGAAAAAAAGTATTTAAATCCACCGAATCAAGACAATGGACATTGTTTAAAATACTATTTCATTGTAGTTGTGCGAAAGAAGAAGTGAAATATAAAAATATTTCATGCATGTATAAAGCGTATGATGTTTATAACACTAAATACATTTACTGTAGTTTAATAACTCTAGATCTAATATAATATTTAAATAATTAGGTATCAATGTCCATTTATTCCGAAAATCATAATGCGATCTTTTAGAATATTAAATTACTGATTAATTTGATGAGTTTTCCCTTTGTGATATTACATTATCCACTTAAAATTAGTGTGACAACTTTTGGCAGGAATTAAAATCTCGTAATTTCATTTTAGTAAACTTTACAATGGAAAATAACAGTTTAAAAACTAATAGCCATTGAGTCCGTAACCATTTATAGGTTGAATATACAGATATCATCATCATCATCATGTGTGGCACGACATCCCGTTACCGAGACTGGGCCTCCTCCAAGAGCCTCCGCCAGTTGGCTCTGTCTTCTGCTGCAGCTCTCCAGTTCCGTACACCAAGCAGGGTTCTCGCATCATAGGCCACGTTGTCCAACCACCTCGTCCTCGGCCTTCCTACCCGTCTCGCGAGGTGCAGCTTCTCCATCATTATTTTCTTGGGTATCTCAACGGTGCTCATTCTGGCCACATGCCCTGCCCACCTTAGTCTGGCCAGTTTAATATAGGTGACTACGTCGATGTCTGCATAGAGAGAACTAAACTCCCTATTTTTTCTTTTCCTCCAGACATCACCCTCCTTTACTGGACCATAAATCCTTCTGAGGACTCCTCGCTCAAACACACTCAGCTTCATCTCATCGTTTTTGGTCATCGTCCAAGCCTTTGAGCCATATGTCAAAACAGGCCAAACAAGAGTCTTGTATATGATCAGCTTGGTCTTCTTTGAGAGGTACCTACTTCTTAAGTGTCGGCCAAGTCCAAAGACACATCTATTTGCAGCCGTGATCCTTCTTTGTATTTCTTGAGCCATGTCATTTTTGCTATTAAAAATTTTCAGACCCAAGGTATATAAAACTTTTCACTCTCTCAAACTTAAAAGAACCTACCTCAAATGGAGAGTTCAGATCTACCTCACCACCAACTCTCATATACTTAGTTTTCCTCTCGTTGACTTCTAGACCAAGTGGTCTTGCAGCTGCTTCAAGGCCTATAAACGCTTCTCTGAGAGCCTGTTCAGACCTACCTATTATGTCAATATCATCAGCAAAACCAAGAAGCTGTCAGGCGATTGAAGATTATATCGTTGGTCTGAATACCGGAGTCTCTTACAGCTTTCTCCTCTGCCAAGTTGAACAATAGACAGGCGAGGGCATCCCCTTGCCTAACCCCACTGCTCACTTTAAACTCTTCGGAGTCGTCAGAACCGACGCGTATTCTACATCTCGAGCTGTCCATGGTCATCTTGATTAGGCGTACGAGCTTCTGAGGGATGCTTAGCTCCTCCAAGGCACAGTATAGTTGCGTTCTATCAACGCTGTCGTATGCTGCTTTAAAGTCTAGGAATAAATGGTGGGTGACTACCTTATGCTCCATGGTCTTTTCTAGGATCATCCTCAGAGAGAACAGTTGATCAGTGGTTGAGCGTCCTCTTCGAAATCCAGCCTGATATTTCCCCAGTTCCTTTTCAGAATACGGGAGAATCCTCTCAAAAAGAATGTTAGAGAGCAGCTTATAAGCACACGAAAGGAGTGAGATTCCTCGATAGTTAGCGCATTCTGTTTGGTCTCCTTTCTTATGTATTGGGCAGATAATGGCTGTTGCCCACTCCGTAGGCATAGCTTCCCTCTCCCAGATGGTCAGCATTAAATCATGCAGAGCTTTCTTAAGTTCTTCACCTCCACATTTCAACAGCTCTGACTGGATTCCGTCCGGGCCTGGCGCCTTTCCATTTTTCAATTTCATCAGGGCATTTTCCATTTCCTCCTCATCCGGGGGTTCAATAGAATGCAGGGAGTCTTCCTTCATTACTCCTACTTCTCCAGGCACCATTCCTCTGTTTAATGCGTCTTTAAAATGTTGTACCCATCTCCTTAGTACGTCATCTTTGTGGCTTAAAAGAGATCCATTCGTGTCTTTGCATGCCGTCAATCTGGGCCTGAAAGCTGCCCTACCCTCGTTTATTCTCTGAAAAAACAGCCGACTATCATTTTGGCCGCGCAATGCCTCTATATCCTCCATGTTCTTGTTTTCCCAAGCTCTTCTCTTTCCGCGGAATAATCTCTCTCTTTTCTTCGATATGTTTCTTGGGAGAGCCTTGTGGGACGCTGAACCTTCTTTCTGTAGGCTTCATTTTTCACTTTTACTGCTTGAAGGCACTCAGCATCAAACCATGGAGGCCTTCTAGATTTAGTCTCGTAGCCAAGAGATTCTTCTGCTGCCTGTTTCATTGCGTTGCTGCATCTCTTCCACTGTTCATCGACCATAGAGCTGTCATTAATTACATCTTCATTAAGTTTCGTCTCCACAGCTTGTTGATACGAATATTGGTGGTCTGAGTCCTTAAGTTTAGCTACATCAATCTTCTTCTTTGGTCGTTGGTGGTGGTTTTTAATCAGCGAAATTCGTGATCTGACCTCGGCAATGCTCAAATAGTGATCCGTGTCCATATTTGCACCTCTATAAGATCTTGCATTTATCATGTTGGACTTGTGACGGGCACTAATGAGTACATGGTCTATCTATGATGTTTTTTGCCCATTTGGAGAGATCCATGTTGCTTTGTGGATATTCTTTCGAGGAAAAAGAGTTGTTCCAACAACCAGTCCGTGCAATGTAGCAAAGTTCACCATCCGTAGCCCATTATCATTACTGGTCTTATGCAAGCTGTGGGTTCCTATGGTCGGCATGAGTGCCACCTCCTTACCAACTTGGGCGTTAAAGTCACCAAGAATGATTTTAACATCATTTTTGGGGCAGCTTTCTGTCACGCGTCCAAGTTCTTCATAAAATGTTTCCTTATCCTCCTCAGGTGACACCTCTGTTGGGGCATGGCAGTTAATTAGAGAGAAATTAAAAAAATTTCCTCTAAGCTGAATGTAGCATAACCTTTGGTTAATGGGAGTAAATCGCATCACTAGCTGTCGAGCTCTGCCTCTCACAACAAATCCGGTACCGAAGACGTGATGCTTTTCATGGCAGCTATAGTAGAGTGTATGGTACTTCTTCTCCATAATTCCCTGTCCTATCCATCGGACCTCTTGGATAGCTGCTATGTCGATTCTATATGTGTCCACTTCTGCAAGGAGCGCACGAAGTGCTCCTAGTCTATGTAATGATAAAATGTTCCAAAATCCAATTCTTAGGTCATTTAGGAGTTTCCTGGGTCTGTTACCGTAATTCAGTCCGGTTTCTTCTCTTTGAGGTTTCGTAATAAGGTACTTTAGGGGGGGTGGGTTATCAGCCCACTGCCCCCGAGTCAGGTAGAGGGGCTGCCTCCTCCGAGCATCCTGACTAGCTCCCCCATCCGGGGGCGGCTACCTAGGGAAGGTGACCCTAGGGTGTGTACTGTAGGTGACCTTTGTCTGTAGTGTTTAGGTGTTGTAGTGTGCTGTATAAAGTGTACTTGGTGTGTGTGTTCGAGTAAGTGTTCCCCCAACCTGGAGGGCCAGTGGCTGGTTGCGGTACAATGACCGGGCGATGGGACCGCCACCTCCCTACGCCATGAATATACAGATATACTTCCAAATATCTCTAGGCAGAAACTGGAGTTGTGTGGTTTATAAAACAGAGGGAGTAATGAGGTTTTTATTGCCTACAGTTGATATAATTAGTAGGGTTTTTGTTATTTCAGTGGTATTAATATTAGCAGTAAGCTTTAAGCATTAGCTCCATTAAAAATGTACTTAAAAATTCTATAACAGCACAACATTGACAGAAAATAATTTCTAATCAAAGTAAAGCGGTAAGTAAAAGTTGTGTGTTGTGCGCACCAGATTTTTCTTTGATTATGAAGGCCACCATCCCAATTTCCAAGGTTATTGCAATAAATAATTCATTGGCAAGATTGAAATTCAGATGAACCGGACCAGAAATGATAAGCATGCATTTCTGAGTAAAACTTTTCCAGGAAGAGATAAAGAGGAAGAATGACAAGGCTTGCAAAATGAGAGGTACATCATTTTATTAACAACATTATAAATATACATTCTTGAAAATATTTAAGTTAATAAAAGGTTATATTACCTGAGAACCAGCATATGATGTGCTTTGATTTATCACAACTTTATGAATTTTGCCAAATTTCCCAAAATATTCATGTTTTTTTAACATCTAGAAAAAAATATTAAATAACATTAATTAAAAGGACGGTTAATTAAAGGTTTTCATTCATTTCAGCAACTAAAAATTTTATTGACAATTGCAAATAGCCTACTTTTTAGTTAACTACTTATTTAATTAACTTTCTTTTATTTTATTTATTTATTGAATTGCCCCACCCCCTACCCACCATTTCTGGCATACGGGGAGGGAGGGATGGTTGTTCTAGAGGTAAAACAAAACCTATTCCAAACAGAGTGGGAAGGTCGAGTTCCATTCCAAGGATCCGCCACGAAAGACAACTCTTCCCAGGCCAGGGAGGCGGGGTGGCCGAATAGGTTAAAGCGTGTGTAACAGCACCGCTAGTTGCCTGGCAACCGGATAACAGAGATTTGAGATGATATAAAAAGTACGAGTTCACGTCCCGGTGCCGGAGGGGATTTTAAATTCCCCCCCCTCACCCCCCGGCCCGGGAAAATCCCGTATAGCCTAAAAGGCGAGATAGGGAAGAACAAAAAAAAAAAACTCTTCCCAGGCCGGATTCGAACTGGTGACACTAATCACAAGAATGCTACAGCAGGCAATGCTCCAACACTCTTGGCCATTGCGACCTATATATGTTCAATTAATCAATGCCTCTTTGATTGTTTTCACAAAATTGGATAACTAATGACAAAAACAAATACCCACAATTTAGACAAAATCAGTCAATTTCTGCTATACTTTAAAATACATTTGTAGTAAGTAAAATTTATAGAATTAAAATAATAATTTGAACATAAAAATAAGGAAGTAGTAGCATCAAAATTAGATATTAAAGAGAATATTATTAGAAGAAGGAAGAGGTGATCCAGAGGATTACAATAAAAAATAACTCCAAATAGTCTAAAATGCAACCCCAGACCAGCTCTTCTTTCAATATAATCACAATCAGCAATTAAATACCAAAAAATAATATTATTACTAATTTATTAGAAACAAAATATGGGTAAACTGTTTATCTGAATGTTATAGGAACACAAGGCTCAATGATTTGGAATTTTCAATTTATATTTGAATTACTCTTTATATAACTTTTTAAGTATTTGCTCTTTGATACAATAATTAAAATAATGACAAAAATATAGATGTATGGAGAGAAGCCAAACTTTTATTTGAATAAATATGTGATTTTGAGGTTATTATACAGTTTGAAATGTTATTACTTGAAAATAATGGGCAATGATACACACAACAAATCTATCCCACGTTAGGCATGTGTTTATAACAAGATATTGATCTTTATGAATAAATAATGCCAGATCAATTAAGTAAAGGAAAATCAATTTACCTCAGGGTCTGCTAATCTCATGGGAAGACCAACAACAAATACTAAATTCTTTTGTACAACACGGACATTAGCTAAATGTTTCCGATTTTCTGAAATTTTTTGTTTCCTTTGTTGGTCCTTCTGTCTTTTTTCAGCCTTTAGTTTGGCAACTTCCTCTTGCGTCAAAGGTTTAAAATCAGCAGGATCTTCAGGATAGGCTTTACGACAAGCAGGGCACAAACCATTTTCATCTGTTCTGATCCTGTGCCAACAAAACCTACAAATCTAAAAAAAACAAATATATTTTTGATATCTGATATCACAAAAATTGCTTCATAAAAAGAGAAAAAATTACACACTAAGATGGAATACAGAAAAAACAATAAAATACAATATTGAAACATAAAATTTTAAGAAAAAGAAGGAAAGTCATCTTACCTATGAACAATGATAAATTAAGAATAATGACAAATCATAAATCAGCAAAGTGAACTGGAGGGAAATTGTAAGTATTGAAACACATCTTAGAAATCTATTTGTATATGTAATACGGAGTTTTTTTCGCAATGTAGATCCCTTTTCTGGCTCTCAGGAGCAATGGATTATTATTACTATTATTATAAGTTAGTGATTTTTTAAAAATATCAGTGAAAATTCTATTAATTTTTGAATATCTTGGCTGTTCCGTAAGAGGTTGAGGAGCCCGTCATTGTTATAATAAATAATAAACAAATAAATAAAATGTCTTGGCCTGGAAGTTTGAGATTTAACCTCTTTGCAACGGACATCCCTAAATGGACAATAACAACCATATTTTACTATCCATATTCCTCTCAGTGGAGAATCACAAACATGAAAATCGAGAAAACCATCATTTAATAGTTGCAGGTTTTGACATTTATATGAAAATAATACAGGTCTGATTAACCTGTCATAGACAAAATTGTTTCATGGTTTAAAACCAAAAATCACAACGTCATGACATGCTAAAATGCAATGCAACCAATTGTAGGTGAAGATATATGTAACTTCTGAATATGTAAAAAAAAAGTAACTAACAAATTTAATAAAATGATAAAGGGAGTATAACAAAAAAAGAGAAGGACCTAATAACAATAGTGCATAGGTTTCTGATGATGGGAACGCTTTTCTTAAAACCTTAAAAAATGTTATAAATAAAAAAATATATAACAGTCATAAGAAAACGATAATTCCCACTTCACCTGTATAATAAAAAAAAAACGTCTGCCAAGTAAGATCAGTTAATATAGCTTTATACCTGCATAACTAATTTTTTTTTCAATTTTAAAGTGCTAAATAGAAAAAGGAGATCCTAGAGATTATAAATGCCCAACGGAGAAGTTTATAACTACAATATTTACGGCGTTATAAGTCAAAAAAGAAAAAAAAATACTTAAATATGTCCATCATTGGTGCGCTTACCCTAGTCCCGTTTGTTCAATAAATATTTTTCCACGTGGTCTATATTTTTCTTATATTTTAAAAATTGTATTTCATTAAGTTTTTGCTTATTAATGTTATGATAAATATATCGTTTAGAGTATTTCTTAAATTTTTGATCTTACTTGGTAAGATAGCTTTAGATAGCTTTCTCACCATTTCATTGGCTAAAATATATCTATATTACAAAGTATACAATTTTTCGTATGAGAATTAAATCTATGGGAGAAACCGATTCGGAAATACAGTTAACCTTTAACATTCACGGGTTTGATATTCACGAATTTAGTTTATCAGCTAATATTAAAATGCGAAAGAGTGCCATATTTGAAGATTCCCTAATGATTATTCTTAAAAAAAATACCAATGCATACTGAACATGCATTTCACCACTGAATAGTGTAAAAAGTCGTATGTAAAAACTCATTATTTCTTTATGCTTTATTGGTATAATTTCATATTTTTTTGTCCTCTATTTTCCATCGCAGAAGAGTGCTTATATCAGTTGCAGGCTACAAAATGTCACCTTTAGCACAAATAAAATAAAAGTTGAAAATTTTTACATACGAACTTTTGCACTAATAGTAGTGATATATACTTAATAGGTACGTTTTCAGTTTGTGAAATTGATGGAACTAGAAAATCGATAGGAAAAATTCAACCAGTTGTTTGTTCGGAACGAGACCAATACTTTTCTTTAGTGAGAACAAAACTAATTAAGCTTGAATAAAGAAATATGGGTGAAGTTCACAAAACTTCGATATTTCAGGAGGAAATCGAGACTAAGACAAACTGATTGAACTTCAATGGAAATAAACACAATCACAAATAAGACGTTTTTATTGTTTACAAATTCAGAGTATAATTTACTTTAAATATACTGAAAATTACACAAAATTTTTAGAGATATAGAGGTATCAAAGAAAACACATTTGCGCATATATAAGAGAAGGCAATGGACAGAATTCAATAAAATTGACCTTACATTATTTTTTCACAAATACCTACCTTTTATCAAACTTTGAGCAAAATTGAACTAACAGTTTCTGAAATATTGGCATATCTACAAAAATGCAATTGTGCAAGCCTAAGCAGAAGTGCTGGTTAGAATTTAATAAAATTTATATGGGACAATCCAGACACCAACCTACACAATTCCTAAAAATTTCATGAAAATCGGATAAACGGAAGTAGCTGATATGTCCGTTACATCAATTTGACCACAGTCAGACAGACACCAAACCAAATTTGATCCTTGATGTCTGAAACGTAAAACATGAGTGAAAAATTTCGATTCTGAGCACAACATTCTTTTTTAATCTCTCGCACAAATACAATGTTTCCCTACCTTCGGTAGTAAGGAAGCAAAACTTTTTAACAAAAGAATTAACAATAAGAAATTAACAATTTATTCTTTTTTCAATTCCATAATATTTTTGATGTAATAAGATTTATTTTAAAGTGCAAAATGGAAACACTTCTAAATAGGGTTATATTATATCATTATCCAAAGAAATCTACAAATAAAAATTATTCCAATGTTCTTGAGACTTTAAAAAAATTTAAACTTTTATAAAATTAAATGGGTCATAAGAGGCAGCAATATTTATTCCACAAAGTGATTGTTAACATCATAAAAGAAATAATCAAGGAATATTTTAAAATTTCCGTTTAACAAAAAATAATTTTTTTAAGGTCTAACATCACAAAATTGGCAAACAGATGCTGTTCACCAGCAGGTTCATATCTTCTCACCATATTAATAGGGTGTATTAAAAAAAATTACCGTTTTATCAAATTCCAGATTTCAAAGGACTGTAAATACTTTGAAGGACTGTAAGTATATTTAATACTTACCAATACTTAATAATCCCTTTAAAGCATTCTCTATGCTTGTTTAATCCCATTCGAATTCTCCAAAAAAAATCCTCAGTTTAGTTATTTCTTTAAAACAGGACAGTGTCCTACTAAATTCAAGTAATTTTAAGGCATTGCTGGAAAATAAATTTCACAGCCACTGAAGCAACTCGTGAAATTATTGAATATAATGGAAAAGGTGTCCATGACCAGCGCATTGCACGGCGTTGGTTTGAAAAATTTATCAGTGGAGATACAGCATTGGAAAAGAAGAAGGGCTGCAGGCAACCATTAATGGATATTGATGAGGTTCTGCAGGAAACTGTTTAGTCAAATCCACCCACGAGTACTCGTGAACTTTCCAGGGAATGTGATGTGTCGAAAGATACTGTTAGTCACTACCTCCTCTCCATGGGGAAGATGAAAAAGTGCAGTAGACTGGTCCCTCACGAAGTTACTCCCTCAGTCACCAGCTAAGAGGTCAGAAATGACTGAAAATATATTGAAAAACCTTTGCATGAAAAACTCCTGCCACATCCAACAGATAGTGCAGATCCCACACCATTGGATCACAACTAATTTAGATCCATGGCCCATTTCCTTCAAGGGAAAAAATTTGATAATTTTGCGGAAGTTGAAATTGCAGTCAAAGAGTTCTTTGAAGCCATCCCAAAGAATGGTATCAGTGTGAGACCAAGCAATTGGCTAGCAGATAGCTAATGACAGTATATAACAATGGACTATACTTTGATTATTTATTGTATTTTATATCAAAGAAATAATAATACAAATATTTGGTTGAAAAACGGTCTTTTATTTTTAATTCGCCCTATTAAATCACCCATCATCAAAAACAAATCTCTTCATCAAGGAAGTTTACTTAATCAAATTTAATTTTTTAGAAATTAAATCTTGGGCAAGTATCTATAATTTATATAAATAAACAATTGAGATAAGCTGAAAATTTACAATAGTAAAACACTTAATTAAAAATGGTTGGATTTTTTGTAGAACACAATTACAGGAGTTTTGTTTAAGTTTTATATATATGTTTAAATTACCCAACGAATATAATTTTATTTATTTCTTGACAATGTCACTTCTTTCTCTTTGTTTAAGTTTTATATATATGTTTAAATTACCCAACAAATATAATTTTATTTATTTCTTGACAATGTCACTTCTTTCTCACGTAAAGATTAGTGTTCATAGAAATTTATTTACTACTTCTAGTAAATTAATTCTAATAATGACGTTTTTCACTTTCATTATTTCAATGAGGTGGGACCAATATTAAAGAATTCAAAAGGATTTCTGATAGATGAATTTCTTAAACAGTTTAGGTAAGATACTTATGTTTTTTTCTCTTATCATTTTTATAAACAAATAAAAGTGCTTATAGACAGATTAAGTTTATTATTCCTAAAACACGGATACACAAAGTTACAATATGGACCACCAAAAATAATGATTTAACTGAAGTAAATAAAGAAAATAAAATGTCAATCAATATTAAATATTGGCAAAACGTACCCTTACTTCAACAATTAATCAAGAAAATTCTTTTTAATTTATAAAATAAGAATTATGGCAAGAGAGATTTCATAACATTGAATTTTGACATTGAAATGAATGAAAATTTTGACATTAAACATGAGGATTAAATGAATCTAGTAGGCAGGTTACTATAATGAAGTCAGGCAGACATAAAGTTATAGTTTGATTTATTATATATACTCAAACTGCTACAGAACTTTATTGATTTTTCAGTATCTTATAAATCTAATTGAAATTTACCTGATATCCACAAGTACATGGAAAAAAAGTTAAATCATCAACCTCCAACGGTTCCATACATAATGGGCATTCTACTTGTTCTTCTCCTATTTGATTCAGCACTGACATTTCCTTAAAAGATATAACAAACTTTTAATATTTATGTCGATGATAAATACTAAACAGGTATTATGAAAAAAATAATACATAATAAAAATGTTAGCATAAACAAAAATAAGCCAAGTCAATTTTACTATGATCTAATACAATCATCAACAGAAAAACACATACAGACATGTATAATTCCAGGATATAGTTTTAAAATAATTCTGAAATGAAAATATTAAATAAATGCTAACAACTAAGTAACTGAAAAAAAAAGGTTATTAAACTTCATCATTTAACTTAAAATCCCCATCTAAAACATAATATTTCACAAAGATTATTAACAGCTGCTAAGATCACTAGACACATAACTTGAAAAACCAAAAAATAGTTTCAAATTACTTGCAAAAAGAGGAGATAGCACTCAATGTAAATAAATAGATAGTGTAAACATTGTGTTTATATGTAATGAGAAATTTAACAAAAATTAATAATACAATTTTTACATATACTAAGAGGAACAACATATGTTTCAGGGTTAACTAAAACAAAATATTTATTACCTTTGAAATGACACAAATTCCCAATCTCAAGAGTTGAGAAAAGGAATCTTATGGATTAACTTGAAATGTCCAAAAGAAAATGCTAGGGAACACTACCCTGAAAGCATATAATCAAATATCTAAATAGTAATATTGTTGTTCAAAGAAATTCCAATATTAATGGACTTTCAATCTTGTGATAATGCTTGGCAAACAAAATGCAAGAAAAAGGAAGAAGGCCAATGTAAATTCAATTCCTTATTTAACAAACCAATAGAAAACTATTCTGCAAGAGACTTTACTTTGATAAATGTTTTACATGTATATAATAGGGTTTAGTTAAAGAAGGAAAGTTTCAACACAGTTCAAAATTCATTATTTTCTTTACAGCAATATGTTATAAAATCGCTAAAGGAATGAATTTATTAAAATCTACCCTCAAATTTTACTCCTCTAAACAGAAACGTACGGTTTATTATAACAAAATTCGAAATCCTTTTCACTTTGTTAAATTCAAATAATACATTAAATTAACAACTACCTTTCACTAAACTCATCCAAAATAATATTTGATACACTTACTACTGTTCCTTAATAATATTGTCCGTGAGCAATAACTGTAAATATAACCAGAACGATTTACACGTACTGTTTGTGAATCTACTCCGAATACTTTACCAGGAAATTTATGGTAGACGAATTTCAGTTGTTGTGCGCAGCTGTCAGCGCATTGCCATCGAATATGTCAGTAAATGCCATGTGAATAATAATTGTAGAGCATCTGATAGAAAAATAACATGATTTCTTTCACGTTACAACCATTAAAATGTATTCAACAAACTGTAAATTAATATTTTTATTGAAATTTCTAAGAATAATTTTAATATCAATCCAATTTAGGTTATTGTTTCAGTAATTTTGAAAATTATCAACGAATGAATCAAATTTTAAATTTACGAAGATTTATTAGTGGAAAGTATGTTTTTACAAATACAATTGTTCTAGATAAACTATTAATTTCCATCAACAACAATAGAACATAATAACAATAGAAATTTCATTATTTCACTATTTGTTCATATAGGTTGTAATTTAACCTTTCGATTTTTTTTTTTTTGTTTATTTATAGGACTGTTATCTTAGATACTGCTCTGTGTTTGATTTCATTCATTAAAACAGAAGAATAACATTGTTCTCCAATCACCTATGTGTAAACTTATTAATCTGGAATGTAAATTTATTTAAGTTGAATCAATAGTGAAAATTTTAATACACTTAATGTATGTATTATTTATATGTACTATTTCTAATAAATTTGGAATAATAATTTTACATGTTCAGCTGTTTAATAGCCAATTATTTGATAAGTCATATTGGTTATTACATGAGTACTGTCTTTTGTTTTGTGTGTGAAATTAGATCAATGCTCTGCTTGTTAGCTCCTTATACTGTAAACATCCCTTCTTTATATATATATATATATATATATATATATATATATATATATATATATATATATATATATATATATATATATATATATATATATATATATATATATATGTATATGTATATATACATGAGTTAATAGGTAAATAAGAGAAATGCTTTACAAAACGTGTAAACAAGAACTTGTCATAATAATAATTTGTGTGGCCTAAATGTAAAGAAACTGAATCACATAAATGTCATTCATATCTTAATTTAATATAGATTTTTAAAACAGCTACATATTTCTGAAAAAGTGTGTATGGCATTAAGAAAAATATGTCCAATATGTTGAAATACTCTCCACATTACACAAATAGGTTCTGTTCATTAGACTTTCAGTTTTTTCAATTTAATTAAACAAGATATAATCACCAGTTTATAGATATCAACCTCATGAATACCTCCCTGTTATTACTATGTTCCTTCAATTTAAAGACAGAAACAATTTCTATTTAAACCCCAGGTCAATTTTGTACCACCAGTTGTGTGATTTCTAAACTGAATAGTCGAATGAAGCGATTTTTAATTCAAAAACAAGGTTAATCTCTTACGAACTTCATAGCATTTTTCAATTTTAACATTATGCTTTTTATAATTTTTTAACTATGCCTCTCCTCTTCAGCTTCTGCCATTAGAGTCCTAGCAGCCCAGTACCATTCTTATTTGGACTGTTCGATTTCTTGTCCAGTAAGAGAGTATGCCCTTGAATGTATAGCATCTAGGACTGAAGGAAAGGATAGGTATGAAGTGATCGCACTCGGTAAATTCATTACCACGTGCCCCCTTTAAAAGCAGTGATCTTTGAACCTTTTTAAGTTCATAGATAGTTAAACGAAAACTTGAGATCAGTGTTGTAAAAACAAGCTTCGACTACAGTCATTAGGCTCCAGAAGTGTTGCCGCGCGATCTGTGACAAATCCTGTTACTTCAAACTTCCTACATCCTCCTACGCTTGCTCTTTGAAAATGCGTACTACTATAGGCCCAATATTATTGTTTGTTTTTAAAAGTAAAATTAGATCAGAGCTTTACTTATTACCTCTGTTCATATATTTTAAAATGAGTTTAATTAAAGGAACGAAATTAAGTACATAAAAAAGTGCATATCTTTTCAGAAACTATTGGAAAACATTTCATGAAAATTAAAATAGCAAAACAAACTTTTTAAAGGATACAATATTCCTACCATTATTGAAAATAAAACATTATTATGACTTCATAGAAGTTCGAAATTAGGTAGCATAAAATATTTTTTTAAATATCACAACAAAACTAATAGTGACCAACTTTTCATAACGACAACCAACTGTCGACCAACACATACATGATCTCTACTTCAGATTTCATCTTAAACTACACGGACATCACAACGGACTTATTAACGACATGGCCATAGCTGACATGCCGATCAGGAGACGACTGAAGAGGAGCTGGATGAGAGATTTTCTTTTCTGGATTAAGCAAGTAAATCAAGAATATTTAGAAGTGCTGCTGGGTACTATTTTTTCTTATGCCTAAAATGTCAATTTTTTCTTACAGTTACAGCACATCTGGCTATTGTCAAGCTCATGACAGGTGTGGATGAAAATATAAAGACAAAAAAAAAATATCACAGTAACAATTTGTTTTTATAATTTTTTCTCTATAAAATTTTTAAAAAAAGACATACTTATAAGCATGGTATTATGAACTAAATAATAACCATACTTTAATTAAAGTAGATATAATTGCAGTTTATACGTCTATAAAACAACAGAAGATAAGTATTACATATCGATATTAAAAATAACTGTAAAACAAATCTAAACTTCATTCATAAAAATATAACTTTAGATACGTCGCAAAAATTATGTACGAGGTAGGAAGCTGGTTGATCTTCGTAACTCATACCTCATACGTCATAACCTCGTACAAACACGATCTTCGTACACTACACAAGAAGGATAATATCCTTGACTGCTCCAATTACCGTGGAATCTCAATTTTTCAGTGTGCTTATAAAATCCTCTCAAACATTATCTATTACAAGCTCCTCCCATTTCCTGAGAGAGAGATTGGTATCAGGCGGGTTCAGAGGAGGAAGATCTACAGTTGACCAGATGTTTAGCCACCGTATGATACTGGAAAAGTCTTACGAGTACAAGGTGATGACATTTTTTTTTTGTCCTCGTCTTTAAGGCTATACGGGGTTTTTCCGAGCCTGAGGATAAGGGCGGGGATTTAAAAGACTCCTCCGACACCGGGACGCGAACTCGTGTCTATTTTTTAATCACTATATCTTATATCAGGTTGCCGGGCAACGATGGTGCTGTGCCAGGTTAGCCCATTCGGCCACCCCGCCCACAACAGGATGATGGCCCATCACCTGTTTATTGACTTCCGGAGTGCACGCGACAGCATCAAGAGCCCTCAACTGTATGCAGCCCTATGTGACCTTGGAGTTCTCCCGAAACTTGTCCGCCTCATCAAGATGACTATGGTGCATTGTTCGGGTACAATTGGACCTGACACCTGAATTTGTTTCCACATGATTGGAGAAGAAGGACGAACAGGGACCTAGACCTATATGATCTGTATGAGGTGAGAGATGTGTTGAGGTGCATCAAGCTTAGGCTGTTACATTGGGCTGGTCATGTATCCAGAGTGCCATGCGGGAGTTCCAAGAAAGCTGCTCGATGGGAAACTCTACAGGACAAGAGGGAAAAGCAGACCACGTCTAAGATGGGAGGACGCCGTCATACGGGAAGCCAGAGAAATATTACATACCCGCAACTGGTTAGGGGCGGGGTGGCCGAATGGGCTAAAGCGTGTGCACAGCACCGCGAGTTGCCTGGCAACCTAATTACAGATTTAAAAAGTACGAGTTCGCTCCCGGTGCCGGAGGGAATTTTAAATTCCCCGCCCTCACCCTCCGGCCCAGGAAAATCCCGTATAGCCTAAAAGGCAAGGTAGGGAAGAACAAAAAAAAACCCGCAACTGGCGAGCGACTGCGTAAGATAGAGCCATCTGGCGAGTGCTCATTGAGGCAACTAAGGACCACACCGGTCTGTAGCGCTATGGAGTTAGCTATATGAAATTTACAATAAGGGACAATATCGTGAAAATTTTCGAATCTGAGTTTTCGACATAAATACATGTTTTGAGGTGTTCTTAGTCTAAATAACCAAGTCCCGCAAAATGGTTTGTGTGTGTGTGTGTACGCGTGTGTCTATGTCTATGTATGTGGTAAGTCCACCACAAAAACGAAAAGTCGCATGAAATTTAAATTGCGCATTTGAGGTTTGTATATAGCTCCGATGTTACAGCAAATTTTTTGTTGAAATCGGCTAACTGGAAGTGGCACTTTATATCAAGGGTTATACACATTTTTACCTTTTTCTCCAACGATTTTGATTAAGCTCGGTGTATCATTGTATAATTAAGCAGTCATTAATATCATTGTACTATCCACATTGATGTTACTTTACAGGGCTTAAATGTTCAACAGATCTTCCTCTAAAGTACCTTTAATTTGTTTTTTTTTTAAATAATTAACTATCTCTCATTGTTAAGAGTTACGAAAAAATGCTAAATATAACTGTTGACAAAATTTGATATTTGAAAAATGGAGAAAAAAAGGGAAAATATTTATTTAGGTCGAAAATGAATTTCCGGAAATACAAGTCAGAAGATATACATATAATATATCGTTGGAAAGTTGAGAAAAAATTGTAGAAAGTAATAGAGAGTTGCGATAAATTATAAATTATAATTTGTGAAAATTAATATTATTTAACGGAAAGCCCATAATTTCAAGAGAATTAAATGAAATTTACTAACTAAATGTAAACTATTTTTAAGTTTGAAAAAAAAGTATTTAAAATCCAACCAATAAAGGCAATGTCATTGTTTAAAAAATTATTTCATAGTACTTATGTGAAACATAAAAATACTAAATGGATGTACAAAGCATATGTTTAATTCAGCATATTCAAATTCAAACTAAATCTTCTTCAGAGGCCCTCGTGGTTGATCAACATTGAGAGGTATTAGAGATAGGGCAAAACAAAATGCCAAGAAGTGTTTCACAGAGAAGTTCATTGAGGAAAGAAGAAAACTAAGTACCTGCCAAGCAGTAACTGATTAAGCTATTCTTAACAAATAACAGAGGCCAAAAAAATAAAAGGCATACTCAAAGAAATGTTGTGAACTATTAAAGACAACTATCAGGTTGGGAATAAATCCGAATTGAAATTTACTTTAGTGAACTTAGTAAAGAAGGAATGATATATAGCAAGAAACAGGTGAATGAGAGGAAAACATCGTAAATTTAAGGCATCACAAGAAAATTTAATATGAATATCACGTGAAAAGAGGATTTTTCGTATAGTAAATTAAAGTTTATAAAATTATCTAAAACCTTTATTCTATAGGTTTTATTCGGATTCTAAGCCGTTTTTGAGCTTTTCGCTCGGAAAAATATGACATTTTGAAAAAAAAAATTTTATCCTCACGTTTTCATCAAACATTCCTAAATGTACTTCAACTTAAAAAAGTTGCAAAGACTTAAATTTCATGTTAGTATTTATATACTTATTTGTTATATATTTATATGTTAATTAATCTCCAGCCTGTCTACAGTTTCAGCTATTTTAAATTGTTATAGTTTTCAGAAGAAGTTGTTTTTCGCCATTCTATCATTTGTGTGCAGCAGCCATTCAATCTGTTATTCCAAGAATATTCTTGGCATCTGCGAGGACGCTATCCATGCATCTCGTTTTGGGTCATCCCACTCTTTTAGCTTGATACAGGATTTCAAGAGCCAATTTTTTCAGGATTTCTTTCTCCTGTCAGGTATCCCTGCCATCCGAGCCTCCTTACACTGATCCGTCTAGCAACTTGCAGAGTGGGTAGATCTCCTGATTATTTCTTGTTTATTAGAAATTACTTCCCCGTATCAGACCAAAAATTCTTCTCAATAAAGTTCTTTCTAAAACCAGCAGCCTTTCTTTACACTGACTCAGTAAGGAACAAAATTATATAGTTTTCAGGTTTCTTTAGGGTCATCAACAGTTTCGATGCCTTACAGATGGGTTCCAGTGGCGGATCCAGGAATTTTCTCAGAGGAGGCACCTCTGTACCAGGTGATTCATTCACCCCTACCATTTCCCCCACCACTACTCTTCCCCCCTCACTCTTTGGCTGAGTTCAGCTGCTCAAAAGTCCACTTTAAATGGTTTTAACAAAACCAATCAAACTCTATTTTTACTTAAAATGAAATTTGTCTAGTTTACTGTGAAGCAATCGTTAATTACTTATATAAAAACTATTTTTAGTTTACTTCCTATTAAAAAAAACAAAAAAAAGTGACACTTAGAAATTCACAAAACATTAATTTTCTACTTTCTATCTGAAAATCGAACCATTGTTTTATAAACTTTTTTTGTAGCTGTTCAGTTATTATTCTATCACTCCTTTAAATGATTCCCTTTATTTATGGAACATGCTGTATATGGGTTAAGACTTGTAAAAAAAAAAATTGCTTACACGGGTCACCAAGGGAAATCTTTTTACAGACGAAAAATCCAGATTTATCTGATATTTTTTTTCATCTATTGTTATTAAACAGGGCATCGAAGCGAAAAACGTATTCTCTAAGAAATTAAAGAACGTTGAATCGTGCCTCGAAGAAATACCTAAACTTAATAATTCGATTAAGTGATATGGCCGATAACCACGATCAACGAACGCTAATTTGTCAAAAACTGAGACGGATTACCATAAATGTAGGAAATGAGTCCTCTAATAGCTCTTTTTGGAGCCAGGGCCCAAAAATCGACCTGATCGCAGGCGTAGGTTTGATTGTAAATTACGAAAGTGTATGTTATTCTGAGTAAAAAGAACCTTGTCTGCCGTTTCAGAGGCATTGTTTTCAAAAATGGCTGAATTAAAGAATATTAGGCCAATAATTTGAGGATCGAAAAAGGAAATCCATTGCGAAAAATGTGAGAATAGCTTTTATTTTTTAACTTGAGTATGTGGGTTTAGACATGTAAAAAACAAAATTTCTAACGCGGGCCACCAAGGGAAAACTTTTTATAGCCAAAAAAGGCAGATTTTTTCGATGCTTTTTTTTTTACCTATAACTTCTGAACGATGCATTAAAGCGAAAAATGTATTTTTTTTTTATACATTTTATTTTAGGACTAAGTCCCCTTAGAATAACTACAATGTACAATTTAATGACAATTGTCTATAATAATAATAAAAGGCTTAGCGAACCCGAAGGTTCGATACCGACACCACTAATCGCTCACTACACACCTCCCTCCATCGTTCGCCTTCCAAACACAGTCCTTTCAGATCGGCTTTAATGCAATCTTCCCACTATCTACCCCAGTGTCTATAGCACAATCTACCCCTCGGACGTTTACCATTTGGTACAGCAAATATTAACCTTTCAGGAATTCTCTCGTTACTAAGCCCCACAATTTTACAAGCCCATTTGATTCGCCGCGATGAAATTACCTCAAGTATATTACCCGAATACAGTTCACGCAATTCGGCGTTGGTAACCGTCTGAACCTTCCCGTTAACTGATCCTTCTTCGGTCCGAATATTCTACGCAATACTTTATTTTCAAAAACCTTAAGAGGCAGCTCATCCCTTAATGCAAGCTGCCAAGTTTCGCATCCATAGAGAACTGTAGGTAAGATAATGGTTTTATAGATTCTAATTTTTAAGTTCCGAGACAATAGACGCGAGCTAAGTAGAATGACAATTGTTTGGTATTGGAAGTAAATTAGATGGCAAGATTATCTAGATCTAAGGTTACAATAAAGAAAAGGCATTGCTCGATATATGATATCATAAATTCAGATATGCGAGTTCACATATTTTTACACATAAACAATGTGGGTGGTACACATAATTATCTGTCAGATAACATTATTTAATAAATTAAAGAACGTTAAATTTTGCGTCAACAACTAAATAAACTTTATAATTTGTTTAAATGGTAAGGTATAAAAGCACGGCCAACCAACGCTGATTTTAACAAATTTTGTCAAATACTGAGACAAATTACTATAAATGGCCCTGTGACTTGGAAATGAGTTCCCTAAGAACAAAAAGCCATAGAATCGAAGTTGTAGAACATCAAAATTTTGCATCAACTGAGTGCCAACTAATTTAATGTAGGTCACTTACTGCGAACAAAATCGGTAATCTCCTGATGGTTAGAAATTAAGAATCAAGGTAAACGTGATTTTCAATATTCCAACACTATGGGTGTCTAGTATACTCAGTTATTTTTGTTTAGAGCCTGTTAAATGCAGTATAAGTCTCTTTTCCATCTCTCAAAAACAGAGGATTTTGGTAAACGAATTTGTTAAAAATCATCGTTGGTTGGCCATGGTTTTATACCTTACCGCGTAATCAAATTATAAAGTTTGTGTACTAGTTTGACGCAACATTTAACGTTCTTTAATTTATAAACGAATACATTTTTCGCTTTGATGCACCGTTTAGGAGTTATAGGTGAAAAACCCAAAAAAATCAAGTCTGACTTTTTTGGCTGTAGTTTTCCTCTTGGTGGACCGCGTCAGCTATTTTGTTTTTTACATGCCTAAACCCATATATACAAGTTTAAAAAATAAAAACTTGTCTCCCATTTTTCGCAATGTATTTCCCGTTTCCATCCTCAAATCAAAGAGGGTGCCCTCCCCCCCTGACAGAAATCACTGGTGCTGTTCACAATAATAATTTTGTTTACATCATATTACAAAATTTGTCTATGAGGATGAATTTTCTCTATATTTCTCTTTTCTTTAAATAGCTGTTTAAACTTTTTTCCACCTCCCAAGGAGAGGAGTGCCCCTTGTAACAACCTTCTCAATAATATTCTCCACTGGAAATCCATAATGGATAACCACCCTTTGTAGTTGCATTTGTGGCCAATCCATAATTTTTTAAAGAATTCTATAACTAGAGAACTAAACCATTTATTATTGTCTTTGATTTTATTCTACCCAGAATAATGTAAAAATCAGCAATATACAACTTTTTAGTGAGAGGAATATCAGAACTTAAACCTCTGAACTTTTGGGTAAAACTGATTGTCTATGATTTCCTGTTGATAAACCATTGAATTTGTATGAAATAAGGGATCTTTTCTAATTACTTTCTACAGGAGAAATAAATTTAAAGAAGGAAAATAAATATTGGTGTAACATTTTCTTACGACTTATTTTCTTTTTCATTATTTTTTTTGCTATCTCATTCCATAACCAGATATTTTTACTCTTTCTATGGAGCTATAAAAAGCTTTACTGTGTGCAAGATTTTGTAACTAACACAAAAATGTATTTCTCAAACTATTTTATGACAACTAATTATGTGATGAAAATTAATTTGCAATAAATGAAAATTTCCAAGGTAATTTTTAATAAAAGAGAAATATCAATACTAACAGATATCAACATTCACTAATAAAAAGTATTCAGAAAAATATTATATGAAGCTTTTCATAAATAAATTTAAAGTGATAAAAACAGATTTTACCAATTTCATTGGCGTTTTGAAAATTTATGAAAGAAAAAAAAAACGTTAAATATAAATCAACATATTACAAAATGAAGTTAAAAGTAATCATAATTAAAAGTCAGAATTGGATGAGGATGTATTTAAATGCCATGACCAATGTTTGATATTTCATTAGCTATCACAAAATAAATACAAATACGAAAAAAATATTCTATTTTTATGGAAAATTTAAATACTTTTCATTACAGAATAAAGGATATACAGATATATTTACAAATATATATATATTACAATCTTATTATAATGAGGATTACAAAAAATAAAAAATATATCTAATTTTTTTGCGATTTCCAGCACTAAACTTTACATTAAGAAACAACAGTTTTCAGGCATAAGCATGTAAAAAAAAACATTTAATGAACTAGAATTATCCTCAAAATTAATTTCATAAATTGATCAAATAAATTTCACAGTTGATGTAACTTAATATTATATATAAATCTGCCCAGTATAGGCTAAGTGCTCCTATCAGGATGGAGTCATAAGATCTTTAATTTTAATTTTCGGTGGTGGTAATTTTACTGGTCTTAAATATGGATTGTCAATTGAATCAACATCAGCTTTTGCATTATCATCTTCTTCCTTGATACAATCTTTACCTTTTTTTCTTTGAGGACTTTTGGATGAATCATCATCTTCTAATTCAAATACTTGGTCTTTTGGAAGCAATGCCACTAAGTAAGGAGGAAAAGTTGGTTTGCAAGCAATAACTAAAATTAAAAAACAAATAAATAATTTAAAAGAAAACAAAATATTTTTTTCTATTCACAAATATATGGACATTTGATCACCATAACTTTATTTGTTTTATAACATAAACATTTTCAAAAAGGCAACGTTTAGGCCATTCTAAAGTCTGAAACTAAATAAAGCAAAGGGGGTGATCAAATGGTTGTATATTTGTGAACAGAAGAAATTGGGACATCATAAATAGGAATAATAGATAGAAGAAAACAATTTTTTTTTTTTAGTATTTACTCTTCTAGCCCCCTTACTATTGGAGGTTTCTATCTGGAAAGTTCTGATATTTTTCAGTACATGTTTTTGAGAATTTACCACACTTAGCAAGTGAGCCCCACAAAGGCAAGTTAGCTACACTGTTCATATAAAATCCATCAAACTTTGAGGTTAGAGTCATTTCTTTGAGATAATACTTTTGGTAGAGAAATAACCTACCCCTAGAGGCACTGGCATCCTCAGGACAACTGCTGAGGGCAATACCTTCTGTTTGGGGTCTCCTATTTATATAAAGCATATGCAAAGAGCTAGGCTTCTATGTACTTCCTCCAGACAGGAAGTCTACAGGGAAATACCCTCCATTTGTGGTTACATTTTCTGGTATCTTCTTGAAGTCCATAACCTTTATTCACTGATCATAAGTGATTGATCCAACAACACATGCAATCTTCCTGTTTTAAGCTATTCACCTGTTCCATACTGGAAAGTCATAGTTTGAAGCATTCTAAAAATCTATCATCACTTCACCACATCAAGCGGTGTTTATTCTATACTCCTGGTCAATGACATTTTTTTCTTTTTTTTTTTTTTAATTTAACATTATCAGGGGCAACATTTGTCTTGGCTAATAACTGGTATCATTCATTAAGCAATTCAATTACCTTTATGCTTTTTAATATTTTTTTTAATGCATCAAGGTTTTAATAAATTTGAAATTAATTTTTAGCAGTTATTTTTAGATAAAAAAAACTTTGTAATGATTGAAATGTGACATTTTAAATAAATTTCAGTTTAAAAAAAACATAAACCTTTGAAATTCTATACAAACCAGGAAAAATAGTATCAGGAGAGAGGAAAAGGCTATCTGTATCATTGATTTTTGTTTCAAATTTGTTAAGAGCCCGTTCAATATCTCTCTTTTGTATCGCAGATTTTTCCCTGATTGCTTCATATTCAGTTACAGGTTGCTTGTGAGTCTGAAAAAAAAAAAGAAGAAAATATATTACAGTTTAAGATAAAATGACCAGAATATGATGTTAAAACATAATTACCTGCCAAAACATATATTTAAATATTAGAGATGGAGATATAATTGATTGCTAGAATTATGAGGATGACAAATAATCAACAATAACAAATAATAATGTTGTTTATTAAGTTTGCCGGCCTTTGACAGTAATTTTCAATCGCATTGTCAAGCTAGCAACCACTGCCTTGATGATGAAACCCTTGATGTTTGGGATGAAATGTTGGCAAACTAAATAAAAACATAAATTATTGTATATCCTAATCATTTGTCATCCTCATTTTTAATATTAAAGATGTAGGTACATTTGTAACACTCTAGTCTATGTTTTCATACAGTATTCATTGATCATTAGTTCCTTCAATAATATTTTTGACGAAGAATAAATCAGGTTAAATTAGGTCTCATATTAGTATCAAAACTTAATACTTTGATTATTATATTAAATCAATATATGAGTAACGTTTAAATCAAAAAGACATTTTTTAATCAAAAAGTTTTGTTTTAATACATAAAAATCTTAATAATATAGTTTAGTGGTATGTTTCAATCACAGTTAACAAATAGCGACTTTTTCCAAAGTCAAAAAAATTAAATATATTTCTATAAATACGATTCTGGAACTCAGAAATGAGTTCTCTAACAGGAAAAGTTCATGGAATAAAAGTTGTAGAAAATCAAATTCTTTGATATCGAAATTGGTAATCTTGATGTCTGACATTTGGTTATAAAGTTTTCGCTCATTTATACTAACTGCTTACATCTTAAAGCAGTAGCATACAGACACCACTAAGTAAAATATAATTTTAAAAAATTAGTACACTATTTAAAAACTTATCTTTACTTATATTTGAGAAATAAAAATCATTATATTAGCAAATGGATAAGGATAAGTGACTAAGTTAGAATTTCTGACACAATAATTGGAATTTTTAGACACAATTTCTCCATATTTACTCAATTCGACAAAAACAAATGAATTTAGAATAACTGTTAAATATTTCTCTGTAGACTTGAATTATTTTTTTAGACTTCCGCTGAATACCCTTGATCAAAACCCCCAATGGGTCCTTTTCAGTTGAGGTCGGAATCTTGTCATGCAGTACAGTCAATTTGGGACACACAGGACCATTCATGCGATTTCATTTCCATTTTCATGATATCTTGTGCAATCCATAAAGGTGGAGTGACACTCGTACAATAATAGCCAACTGTACTGTACAAATGTCACTCCAACCTGTCCAGTGGACCAAGATCCCATGTTCACAGTATAAATGGCATTTGAAGAAAGGCCCAGGATTTACAACATGTTCACAGTTTAATTTCCATTTATTTAGACCGCAATTTACAATTTAAGCAAAATCCTTATTGGTCCTTTTCAGTAAAACTTGAAGCATTAATTACATAACTGCTTTCAACTCCCTCTTTCTCTATAAGGATAAACAAATCACCAATAGGTCCTTTACAGTGGAGGTTGGGACGTTATTAGGCAGTTCAGTCACTTGCATCTACTTCTGAACACACTCTCAGGATTCAATTTTTCTGTGAACAAGAGATCTTGGTCCACTGGACAGATATGGCATTGAGAGACATTTGCACAGTCGTTCCCAAATAAGTATTACACAATTGGAGTCATTATTGGTATGTTTATCTAATACTGAACTTCATTAAAAGATATTATCAATACTCACTGGAGTTCTTATGTATGCATGTGGATCAGGAAACACTGGAAGATGAGCAGGTATATGAGAGGGATGTGATGGTTTTACTCCTGCTTGCAAAATTCCTAATTGTTTAGCAGGTACACTGGTAGTGGGTGCAGGAATCACGATACTGTTTGCTCGTTTTGCAAATCTTTCAAGATCACTAATGTGCAATCCTAAATTAACAAGAGCAAGCAAAACATCCGCAAATAAAGGTTCAGTCCTTCCTGCTAGTTCACAGTAAGCACGGCTACTGTTTCCAATTTCAACAATAACTGAAAATGACAAAAAAACATTAATCATTAAATAGAAAAATAATAATTCTCTGTATGATAAATATACATGAAAACTTACTACTTTGAAGAATTTCAACTAACGTTTCAAGAGCAGTGTCATAGCTGGAGTCAAATCCAGCTTCAATTAAAGTACTGGCTGCAACTGCTGACAGAACCTTTCTTTGAGCTTTTAAAGGGCCAAGCATTACTTCAAAATAATAAAATCCTGTCAAGAAGTAATATTTCAGCTCTATTATTTTAATTCACATAATTGAAATAAAACTACACAACTGTACTGTTCAGTTACAAAAACTCATAAAAAAGCTGACTATAAATTTCATTTCAAAACAGGTTATTTCATTTCAAAATATTATGCTAGAGATTGAAAAAAGTATCGATATAGAAGTTTTTTATACTTCTACTATCATGTCACTCCGACCAAAATGTGTACTAACCTGACCTAGTAGGCTTGTAATTGGGTAATATTTTACTGAGTTATGCTTACTTAAGTAATTGAGATCAATTACGTATCAAACTTAAAACAAGATCGTGAAAAATTTCGAATCCGAGTTTTCAACGGAATTATTTGTTTTGAAATTTCTTAAATACAAATGTTTTTTATAAGATACATTCATCTTTATATACTGTATTAACAAATATAAAAAGTTTGACAATAATAGTGTTTTATTAACACAATATTATGGTACTAGTCCACAAGAGTTCCGCACGGATTACGCATGGTTCACAATCACTTCGGTCACACTTGTTGTTTAATAGAAAATAAGTGTACATTACAGATGATTACATACTACTTCCTATACCTTAGTTGAGGATAGGCAACACATGAGGTTCCAAAATCTCATCTACATAGCGAATGGCCGTCAAAGACTCTCCACGAACAACAACCAATTCTGCGCGGCGCTCCATTAAAATCTCAGTCCACACCATTAAGGAACCACGTTGGAAAGGTTGGCTCTGGGAAAAATTACAGGCTGCATATCTTTCGTTTCTTCTTCTCCACACTCTTTCACGCCCGTCTGGAGATCGAAGAGCGAACCTTGACTCATCTGTGAAAAGTACAGCACTCCATTCGTCCATAATCCAATGGCTGTGTTCTCGAGCAAAAGCCAGCCGTGTTACTCTGTGAGTTGTGGTCAACTCTGGTCCTCTTACTGGACGAAAAGCCATTAATCCATACTCATTTAATCTTCTCCGAGCGGTACGTTCAGAAATTTGCACACCTCGAACTTCTTCGAGCTGATGAATCGCTTGAAGGTGACGGTTTCGTAAAATTCTCAAAGTCAAAAACCGGTCATCCCGTGGTTCTGTTACCCTAGGCCGTCCAGAACCGGGCCTTCTATTGTAAGAACCAGTTTCCCGAAAACGCATGACGGCGTCTCGTAAAGTTTCATATAGAACTCCGATGGCATTAGCTGCATATCTAATGGAACGTCCATTTTCAATAAGTGCCACACCACGCGCAACATCCTCAGCACTTAGAGGCATTTTTAAACTTAATATTGAAAAAATTAAAAGCCGGAGGCTAAGAAATGTGTTGCGAGGAACGGCACTGAACTAATGATACTGAATAAACATTTAGATTCCATAGAAAGTAAACAATGGAATCTAGAATCATTTCATTGAATTAAGGATTAATTGTTATTGTATTTATATATAATTTATCAACGAATTTATTCTATTTATTACTTCATTCTTTGATTAGAATTTTTACGATGTTTGATCAATGAATTCTCGAAAGCCCTTATATTTAGAAAGTTGCCCATTCGATCTGTTCAATCACGAGTGAAACAGTTATCTAATTATAAATGTAACTGTATCTAACTACTTAATGAAAAAACTGTTTCAAATAATCAGATTGCTACAGAACACCCCACCACTACACTACGGCGCGCTCAGCTTAGTATTAAATTGACTGTCACTGAAGATACTACAAGTGAGTTCATACCTTATTCTTATTTATATCTAGTTTTCACTTATTTGGGAATGTTGAAAATAATTCTGTTTTATTTAATCATGTTTACAAGCCTTATTTGATTTAGTATCCAATCATTTTTTTTTATTTTTGTATTTTTTTATTATTTTTTTTATTATTTTTTTTTTAATCATTTCTTAAACAAAGATAAAAATACTATTTGAATATAAATGTATAACAAATATTATTTCAATACTATTTCATATATAAAGGTTAGAATTGTTGGGTTCTGACTATATTTTTTATAATTTATTTGAATTAAACATAAGCAGCACCCTCTTACTATATAGCTTTAATATTCAAATGCATATAAATGTTGAAATATGTTTTTTGAAAACTTACTGTTTATGGCTTAAAACAATCCCAACTTCCAACCCCACCTCACTGCACGACTTCCGTCCTATTTCTCTCCTGTCCAACCTTTCAAAGCCGTTAGAACACCTTGTCCAAAATTAACTCTCCAACTTCTTAGAGGAACGTTCTCTCATCAACCAATCCAATCTGGCTTTCGACCTGGTTAGTCAACGCAATCCGCTCTCCGTAAAATAACCTATGACTTCCAAAACTCCATTGAACACCAAAATCTTACTATCCTCATCCTTCTAAGATGTTTTCAAAGCGTTTGACACTGTTGACCATAACACCCTCTTACTATATAGCACAATCTTCCTCTATCCAACAGTACCCTGCGTCGGTTCAAATCCTTCCTTTCAAATCGGTCCCGGTATGTAGTCGTCCCAGGTCAACACCTAAATCTAAGACCTTATATACATTTTTTCGATTCGGTTGGACTTCCTATATGAATTGGTCCTTCTTGAGCATACAGAAACGCTGCTCGACTACAAAGATCCTTCATCCAGGGTCCGTCGACGCCTCCATACTGTTCGTATAGTAAAGAAACGTCGATGTCCTTCTCACTGATAGTTTGCCAACAGTGGTCTTGGGCAGCTTCGCAATAGTTAAGGTTAAGCTGTAAAAACCTCATTTCCTGCGCTTAGTTACTGCTTCATCTGCTCGCTGGTAGACTGGACAACTAAAGCTGTCCGTCCGATGCTTCTTGCGTTTCTTCCGCCAGGGATTGGTCCTCCCCTTCCTCACCTTTAAGGCTATACGGGGTTCTCCCGTGCCAGCGAGTGTGGGTGGGGATCTAAAAGACCGGTGCTGTGCACACTCGTTAGCCCATTCTCATCGGAATCTCTGGGGAGAAATTTTTTCCCTTACCCGGCTGCTTATCCAGCCAACTCGGATGTTCCCCTTTTCTATAGCTTTTCTTGCTAATTCCATAGCTAGACTACTGCTATCTGTTTGCCATCGGAAGCCTTGCGAAGTGACTTTAAAACAGAAATATCAAAGTTATCTGCACCTTCAATTTGATTTTGAAGTGCTTTGTGCACATCTTCAGCCACGGTCAGTTCATCAAGGTCCTTCAACTCAAAAGCAACAAAATCTCTCTTGCAGGTGACCTCCGTTTCGTCAGATATTTTTTCTGCTATCGCAGTACGAATTTATTCTGTTTTTTCATTTGTTTTTCTATCTAACACAAGAAGGAAACTACCCGCGGTACACTTTCGGATTTATTGCACCTTATCGCCTATATTATCTTGGAGATCAGGATCGCTTTTTATTGTGCACAGGATATCCGCGTACGTCGAGCCTTCCTTTGCATGACCATCAAAGCATCTGGGCGAGCAGGTCTTGATCGGATTTTCTGCTTTTCAGTAGCCTTCTTTTCCCTTTTCTTCTTAATCTTTACAGTTTGCCATTGTTCACCGGCCTCATTTCTTGGATTACTTTCAGCTGAATCCGAGATCTCTATTTCTTCCTGGCCCTTCGGTGTCTTTCTCTCCTCGGTCTCCTTTCGAGTGCCTGCTGTTATTACTTGAGACTCTTCATTCAAAGATTGAAATAACTTCTATTTTGATCTTATTATTAGTATTATTCTTCATCAATCCATGAAGTTTAGCAATTTTATCTCCAAACGATTCCCATAATTGCTTCCTCCTCTCTTCACTTGTAGTATTAGTAACTACAGTGGCCAAGTGATCCACCACTGCAGTCGCTGAATAACTATATCTGAGAACCCGTATTCCCAGATGCCAGTACTGGGGATCCAACCTCCTGCACCATAAGGTTTGTCAGTTTAACATGACTCCCCATGTTTGGTTTATTATTGAGGGTTCCTTCCCGTAGTATGTTAGGTCCACGAGAGGTATTTTATTTCCCTCTTGCCCTCTATTGCTAGCGAGGTTTCTCCCTATCCGCCACCTGGGGATGCGCCATGTGAGGGTTTCAGACTCCCACTGTGGTGTGTAATATTTATAGTGGCGAATGAGGAGCATCCGTGATATAGACCTAGAATAGGTAAGAGGATTGGGCTAACATTGTTCTAGCTTGTTTTGGTTTGGATGGTGTCCAGTAGAAGAATTATACATACAGAGATTGATGGTATCGGCATCGAACCTTCGGGTTCGCTAAGCCTTGTTATTATTAATATTTGTTTTTACTAATTTTTTTTACTATACCAAAATGTACTTATGTTAGCAGGAAAATGGTGGTCAAATTGACTTACTTCGCAATGTCAGGGCTAGGAGACCCCATAAGGCTGTTACTGTCTTTCTGCAAGACGGAATTTGAAGATATCAGGATTGGCGATTGGAAGGAATGGCAGAAACTGAAACCCAGTTAGACTATTTTACTATTTATTTTATTAATAAAAACAATAAATATTTATTAATTATATTAACAATAGTCTTTTATTATGTGATATACAATTTCACTATTTACAATATATACATTATCACCGTACTATATCCCAAATAATATTTCAAGGAATTCTGTCAATCCTTATAGTCACTCAACTCCTTGTTCAAGATTTAGACTCATTTTATTTTAACCATTTTGATGGATTCACCTGAGTAATATAATGCTCAGCAGTAAATTATACATTAGTAGATAACGAAATATATGAAACAAAATGTAACACGTATCTTATAGTCTTTCTTCTGCAAATTCAAGATAATTGTAGTAAGAAAGCTATTAACAGAATAATATTTCCTAAATGCTGCCTATATTCTTTAACTAGTTATTGTCCATTGTTTAGTAAGCCAATAATTTAACTATTAGGTTTTCAGAATTGATACTGATATAATACAATGGATTATTCTTATCCTCTGCTTTAGAGACAGAGAATATAGTGGATTATTAAGAGCTATAAGGTATTTCTACCATTTCAAAGACGTTATTAATAGCATTGTGTAGTTGTTAAGTAAAACATTGTTTTTTTTTAATATCTACATACAGTTGAATTTTTAATATCTAATATTTTTTAACTGTTAATTATTTAGTCTCTTCAATCAATGTGGATGTGTTAATTCATGATGTATAGTTTTATAATTAAACAATTAGTACTCTAATTAATAAGTTATCGAATTTCCTATCATTCTCTCAAC